TTATTCCATTTATATGAAACATCCAAACTAGGTAAATGCATAGAAACAGAAAGCAGAGGTGGCTGCCAGTGGCTGGGGGGAGGGGAAAATAAAAGGTGACTGCTTAAAAGGTACAGGATTTTCTTTTGAGATAATAAAAATGTTTTGTGACTAAACAGAGATGTGCTTGCAACAACATTATGAATATACTAAATTCCATTGAACTATATACTTTAATAATTTCACATGACGTGAATTTAATGAATTTCATAATAATTTCATATTATGTGAATTTCAAAGTGTGTATGGTGAAAAGCTTATCTTTGGTCTACTTTCAGCCCAGTTCCTACCACACCCACCCATAGGTAACCAGTGTTCTTAGTATCTGAGGAATCCTCCAATATATTGACGCATAAACAAATGGATAGATAGTTATCTCCCTCTCTTTTTTCACACAGAGGTAGCACGTGATATGTTATTCTGTGCCATGCTTTTCTCAGTAATTTACCTCAGAGATCATCTGTGACATGGACACTCTTGAACATCACAGGCCAGTTAATTAGTGAAATGTTCCTCAATCTGGTTCGTTTGATATTTGCTGATTATTAGGTTCTGATTATGTGTCTTTGGTAAGAATACCACAGCAGTGCGTCTTCTCAATTGCATCTTGGCAAGTGACACACTATTTTGATTTGTCCCATTGCTAACAATGGTCATTGAATCATTGGATTAAGGTGGTACCTGCCAGGCTTTTTCACTGTAAAGCTATTTTTCCCACTGTGCAATTAGTTAGCAATCAATCACATAACATGTGCTATTAAATCTACTATAACAATGTTTTCAATGACATCTTCTGCTATCTTATATACTGCCCTTTTTAACATAACCTCATGTATATGAATAAATGTCATGTGTCAACTCCGATTTTCTCAGTCTCATCTGTCTCAGGGGTCCTGCCTCTGCAATGTCTACTTCATGAGGTCCTAGGTTCCTCCACCTGAGGCTGACACCCAAGGCTCCTCCCACCACACTAAGCTGTAAAGCCTGGGCTATGCTCAGCTAGGAGAGGACGGAACCAGTAGGTAAATTCCCTCTCAGTGCCTAGGCACCCTTTGTTGGATTGTTCCAATGCATGATATTTCAATAAACCTGTCCAGAGACATCCTACATGGCTGACCAATTGACTGTTTCTGTGAAGGAGCTGTAACCAGCTCAATAATGTAAAACCTAGTATTTGCTTCTCATTCTTCCCTGTCTTACCTTTTTGCTTCACACTTACTGCCCTGGGATTGGGCCTGCCAATAAAACATTCACACTTAAATTTTGCCTTGGGGTCCATTTACAGAGATCATGGGCTTGACACTATGGGAGAAATTTCTCTTCTATCAGAGTAATAGAAACAATTGTGTTTTTCCTGAGTGATTTTTAAAAAAATATTATGGAAATTGGATCATGTAACCAATCATATTTCTCTTTGCTAGGACTCCAAAAGTTTAGGGACAAATGTGCAGCCCATCCCTAACCAGTGCATAAGGCAATATGGTATAGATGTCTGTGTTCTAATCTTGTATCTGGTTGTATTTTTTCTTCATCCTTCATTACTTCATTATTTCTTTTTGTGTGTTTTTTTAGTAAGAAACTTAAAACCATTTGTAGAATATCCAGAAGATAAAGAATATAGCTTAGAATAATGACAAAAGCACAAAATGAAAGACAGAGGCTATTCTGGGGCTCTCTCTAAATTATGGCGTGACCATGTTTTCATCATCTACAAAATTATAGGTTTAGACTAGGTATCTCTAGGGTTCTGTCCTAAGTTCAAAATTCAATGATTCGGGACACCTGGGTGGCTCAGTCAGTTAAGTATATGCCTCTGGCTCAGGTCATGATCCCAGAGTCTTGGGATCGAGGCCTACGTAGGGCTCCTGCTTCTTTCTGCCTCTGCTCCTTCCCCCGCTTGTGCTCTCTCTCCTTCTCTCTCAAATAAATAAATAAAATCTTTAAGAAAAAATAGATTTAAAATCCAGTGATTCATTAATACCGACTTAAGAAGTGGAGCACACTTGACTCCTAACCACAGTACCAGGCTTCCCTTGAAGTATGATTCTCTCTCTATGATGGTAGAAAGAATATGGGCTTTGCACCACCAAAAAGGCTCGGATTCTAATCTAAGTTTAGTGCTTATATGACCGAGGAAGTGAATATATTTTGAATTTTAATTTCTTCTCTAGGCAAAACACATCTTTTAAGTTTGACATAGTATGCGTAAAGCTTCTACCAGACTAAGGCACTCAGATCTTGCCTCCCTCCTTTCCCTCCCACTCTTTTCCCCCCTCACCCCTTTAAATCTACTTTGGCCATAACTGATTCTGACCATAATCATGGGAAAATAAAATGTTGAGATTACGGGAATAAAGAAAATAAAAGGAAGAGCTCATCGATTTTAAAACTAACTTTCTAAACTATCCCACTTCAGCTTGCATTTATGTTTGTACTTCTGTTTGCTATATATTTGATATATATATTTCTATGTATTTGATATAAATTGTATATATCTATAGTATTTATTTGTACTCTACTCAAACACATTTTAGGGACAGGCAGCATTGTGTAAAGGAAAAATCTTAGGCTTTGTAGACATTTCACCTTCTATATGGCCTTTAGCAAAATACATAACCTTCCTGAATCCGTCTCCTCATCTCTAAAATGGGGCTAATACTACCTACCTGGAAGTGTTGTATTAAATAAATTATATGAAATATCCTAGCATAACATAGCAGGCACTAAATATGTATTGGTTCCCTTCTTCTCAAAGAGGTTTTCAAGTTCCATGAGAGCAGAGATCACATGTTGATTTTATTCACCTCAATAAATATTTCTTGGTCATTTAACAAATTACTTTTTAGCTGTTTGTTTACCACTAGAATTTCTGGGTTATATGCTGAGCAGTAAAACCGAGGCCTTACCAAACTGTTCACCCTAATTAATAATTAGGGACCGTTTGCTCAGAATGTGCTCAAAATGTATTCTAGCTCATTGCAAAAAATATAAACCCCGTGTTTCCATCATATTAGAGCCAATTATTCTGATGGTATTCTGTTGAGCCATATGCTAACCTGGCAAATATATACTTTTAAAATAATTATGCCTTTTAGCCCAGAAATTTTACTTCTAAGGATTTACTGTAAAGAATTAGAGATATACTCAGACTCATGTTCAAAAGTATGTCCAAAACACATTGTTTATAATGGGGGAAATGGGAACAATAAAATGATTAATAAACTAGCACATATATATAATACCAATTATGCATAATAGACCTTACACTACATTTTAGAAGAATATTTAATTATATGAGAATTTGCTCAATATAAAGTGAAGAAAACAAGTGAAGAACTATATGTCGATATCTTTTTTTTTTTAAAAAGTGCATATGTTACAATAAATAATACACCAAAAAAGTAAAGTTGTTTTCTTTGGTGATACTAGTAATTTTTGTTTTAGAATTTCCTGTATTTCCAAATTCTCACAAAATGTACATATGGTTTTTAAAATTCAAAAAACACCAATGACCTTATGCCCGCTTTATTTTCAAAAAGGTAAGATTAATATTTAATGCGAGGATGAAAACCAACTTTAGGGACGCCTGGGTGGCTCAGGCAGTTAAGTAAGCATCTGACTCTTGATCTTGGCTCAGGTCATGATCTCAGGGTTTTGAGTTCAAGCCCTGAATTGGGCGTGGAGCCTAATTAAAACAGACAAACAAAAAAAACTTTGAACACAGCTATGTTTACAAAGATTATGGTAATACTTTTTTTCACTTCATTGAGAAAACAATTTTTTTTAAAAATCAGACTTTTAAAGCATATATTGAGCTTTTGAAAGGTAACTTTATGAAGTACAAAAAGCAAAGAGTTTTCAGAGTGAAAGCCAGGTGGGTAGCCCTGATCAAGTTACCTGCTGAGCCATTTTCCTCATCTCTAAAATGGGAGCATAACACCCAAATCACCGGCTGTACAGTAAGATTTCCATGATAGCAATTGTGAAGGACCCTGGCACATAGTAGGAACTCAGAGTCTATACAAAGTCTCAATGTTCATTAAATGATGGTCAAACTAAGGGAAAACCCACTGAACTTCGGGGTAAATAATTCCAACTGTTCGGCATAAACTACACCAAAAATTACTGTATTTTGTCAGTATTCTCCACCATTTTCACGGACATTAAAATAACAGTAAACATTCACTGAACCCTTAAATCCCAACCTCTTTCACATTATTTAATCCTCGCAAACCCTAAGGATAGCACTGTTTGTTTAATTTTTATCCTTTTTTAAAAATTTTTATTATGTTAGGCCATTTATAGCTGAGTAAACAAAGGTCTTTAGGAGGAGACAAAGGCCTTACGGGGTTAAGGAACTACCCAGCACCATCCCTAAGTGACGGACAGAGATTCTGAACTCAAGCTGCCTCCAAAGTCTTAGCCACTACCCACTAACCTACTACTCCATAGGCAACATTCAAACTTCAATTCCAAATCCATTTTTTTAGGGCCGCAAAAACGAAACGGAAACAAAAACAAAATCCAGCACTTCTCAAAGTGCTTATTCTCCAAGAACTGCCATTTAGCATTTCAGATCCGAGAGAGCTGAAAGTCTGCCCCCCCAGACGCGGAAATCAGTGCGATTCTGATCAATACCGTTACATCAGAAAGATTAAAGACTGCGCCGGGTCTCTGGTGGCAAAGCAAAAGCAACAAAGAAACAGGGAGACCACCACACCATATTCTAGAATCAATTTGACCTCCTCTAACTATATTCTGTACTTGACTTCCTTTGGTGAGTTTCACGTCTCTTAAGTCTAGTCCTGCTTCTCCCACTTCCTTTAAAGTGGGCCGAAATAAGCGTTACAGAATAGAGAAGGGGACTGTGGTATAGAAGCCCCCAAATCACGGAATCTGTGGGAAAGTGAGCAAGAAACTCAAGAGCCAAGAATCCGTCCTCACAGGTGTAAAATGGCAAGACAGCCCCATTGGCCATGCTGGCGAGAAATCATGTCGGCTCTACAGGACACACAGCCGAACCCTCGAGGCAGGTGAGCAGACGAGAAACCCGGACCCGCCTCCCTGCCTTTGCAGCCTCTCCGGGACCCTCTCCCGCCAGCGCTACTACTGAAGTTTCCCAAAGGGCTGTGCGCCGCGCGGAAGGCTCGATCGCTCGCGCAACCACTGGTTGCCAGGAGACACTGCCCAGCCACCTCCTCCAATCAGGACGCGTCTCTCTCTGCCCAACCAGAGAAGCTGAGAGAGCTGTAGTCGGAGGTGAAAGGTCACGCGGCTGTTTGGCGGCCATTTCTCTGGAAGCTCCGCGATTCGCGCCCGGCGGGAGCTACGCCAGTCACGAGGGACGGACTACACCTGGGTCGGCGGCGAGTTTCCTGCATCATTTGCTTGTAGTCGCCATGGTAAGGAGGAGGAAGGGAGAGCAAGGGAGAGCGGTGACCAGCCTCGCCGGGCCTGTTGGTTGATTCGCGCGTTTCCCATTCATCCGCGTGAGGAGCCGCGCACCCGGTCGCCAGCCCCTTTCTCCCTGCTTTGGGGATCTGAGGCGCGTGCTCTCCTTCCGATGCCTTTCCCTCCCCAGCAGTTTCCGGACCCCTTCCCCTCATCGTTTGATTGTGAGCCTGAGTTATCCTTGCTGGCTGGGACCACAGGGTCGGGGTAAAGATGAAGCGGTTTTTATGTCTCTCTTATCACGCCCAGAATCGGTTTTCTTTCATCATGTTGCGATTCTTAGCCCCGCAGCCCTCTAGAATACAGAGCCCAGGCATTGGAGCATTCATTTGTTCGTTGACCAAATGTTTTTTGAGCTCATGCTACCTACCAGATGCTGTTCTAGGCGCCAGAATAAAAGGTGAAAAGTACTAACGCGGACCCTGCTCGAGATTTACTCAGTCGGGTATGAGAGATTGTATTAAATAACATCAGCATGTAATTGCAAATAACGTGCAGTGCTAAGAAGAGAACAAACAGGATGCTGTGAGGATACGCGGTGGTACATTAGAAGAGTGGTCAGGCATGGCATCCCTGGTAGGAGGATTTAACCAGAAACCTAAATGATATGAAATATGAAAGCCAGCCCCTTAAGGAGCAAGAGGAAGGGTGTACAAAGCACAGGGAACATGTGCATAGGCCTCAAGGCCTGAAAGAAAGCTTGCCCAGTTGGAGGAATTGACAGAAAGCCACACAGCTTGCAAGAACAGTGGTTATGAGATAGGGTCGGGAAGATCTCTTAGGTCATGTTAGGAGGTCTGGATTTTACTTAAAGTGCAGTTGCAAGCCCTCGAGGCATTTTAAGCAGAGATATCCCATGATAAAAATACTTGCCCTGTGGTAAGTCGGAGAAAAGAGTAAAAACTGGAGACCCATTAGGAGGTTATTGCAGTAGCTCCTCTGTTCTTTGACATCACTCTGAATACGCTAATTACCTTAGAGAGCTTTAGTAGTCAAGTTTCTTGGTTATTTTTTTTCTTCGGACTGATGGGTGAGCAGATGAGGGAAGAAAAAGTCTGAATTCACTGGGGAATACTACTGCTGGTTTGCTGAATAAACAAACATTAAGTGATTGCCCATATGTATAGGCAGCTTTGCTAAATCAAATCAGACCCACAAGACCTAGCTCCTGGAATTCAAGTGAAAGACTGTCAAATGCCATCTGCCCCCCTTCCTTCCCTCTGTATCCTCGTATTGGACTCTGACATCTCTGAATTGTTTGTGTGTCCCTGAGATCGTCTTGTTGTTTTACTCTTCCCTCCTTTTACATAGGTAGCCTCTTCTACCTAGAACAACCCCTTTTCCTTCTGGAAATACCTTTCATCCTTTAAATGGAGGCATTACTTATTTTGGGCAACCTTTCCTTTCGACTCTGGATTGATTTGGTACCCTTATACATAGCATATCTCCTCTTACAGTATAATGTCTATTGGTATGTGTTTTGCCTCTCTTCCTCCTGCTGTGAGCTTGAGGACAAGGAGTGTAATCTGCATTTATTTTTTTTCACTGCTTTTACCTTGTTTCTTTGTAGCCTGGTACAATGAGTAATGTATAGTAGGTATTCATTGTGTAAGTGAATACTGAATGAAATTGCCTAACTGGGTATTTAAATTTCTCTTACGCTTTTCAACAAATAGAAGTGAAAAGTATGTAGTAAAGTGAGAGTGAGTCAAGAACTTGCTTTATTTGGATACCATAAAATATTGGTGATTTGGTAGAGGGGAGTAGGTAATGGAAACTGAGCTAAGGAAAAATAATTGAGTCCTGTTTTTGTTCTTTGTGCAGAGTTTGCCTCTCAATCCCAAACCTTTCCTGAATGGATTAACAGGAAAGCCAGTAATGGTGAAACTTAAGTGGGGAATGGAGTACAAAGGGTACCTGGTATCTGTAGATGGTTATATGAACATGCAGGTAAGCTGAAGAGATAAGAATCATTAAATTGTATTTATTTTGCTCTACCTTAACTCCTCAAAGGTTTACTGTGATTTATAAGAATGAAATCAACCAAAGTGACAAACATAAAACAAAATTCAGAAACAAAATCAAGGTCAGGGAGGATATTATAACTGTGATAAACTGTGTATGAGACCTGTAAAACCAAAATTCAGCCACAGAATTGACTTCTAGTGGTTAAAATAAAAAGAACTCCGATATTTGAGTCACAGTGGCATAAGGAAAACACAAATGAGGTTTTTGTTTTGTTTTGTTTTGTAGAAAAGGCAAAACTCTCCCAACATTTAGCTCTGAAAGAAATTTTACTTTTTTTTTCTGAAAGAAATTTTCAAGTGAATTTCTTCGGTCTTTTAATGAATGCTAAAGACATAAAATCAAAGTAATTCAATAAAAGCATTTCTTGAGGGAGAAGACAGGCCAAACCAAAGGAATTGATGAACTGTGACTGAATGTCTGTTATGCTAGCTTCTGTAAATGTTTAGGACCAGGTGTTTTTGTATTTAAAGATTTATTTATTTTAGAGAGAGAGTGCCGGGGGGGATGGGTGGTGGATGGGAGAGAGAATCTTAAGCAGACTCCCCGCTGAGCTTGGAGCCCAACGTGCAGCTCCATCTCATGACCCTGAGATCATGACCTGAGCTGAAATCAAGAGTCAGATGCTTAACTGAGCCACCCAGGCACCCCTTGTTTTCTTTTTGTAATTGTGGTAAAATATAGCTAACATAAAATTTACCACTTTGACCATTTTCAAGGGTAGAACTCAGTGACATTAAGTGCATTCATATTATTGTGCATCTATCACCATTAGTGATTTCTGAAACTCTTATATCGTCCCCAACTGAAACTATACCCATTAAAAAATAACTCCCCTTTCCCTCGGCCCTTGGTAAATGTTATTCTTTCTGTCTCTGTTCTAGCTCATATAGTGGAATCCTATAGTATTTGCCCTTTTGCGTCTGGCTCATTTCATTTAGCATAATGTTTTTAAGGTTCATCCATGTTGTAGCATGTATCAGAATTTCATTCCTTTTAATGACTGAAATAATATTCCATTGTATGTATATACCACATTTTAATCCATTCTTCTGTTGGTATACATTTGAATTGTTTTCCGCCTTCCGGCTGTTGTGAATAACGCAACGACCATGGGTGTACAGATATCTGTTAGACGTTCTTCTTTCACTTCTTTTGGATATATATCCAGAAGTGGAATTGCTGGAATTTTCTGAGGAACTGCCATACTGTTTTCTATAGCAGCTGTATCATTTTACTTGCCACCAGCAAAGCGTAAAGGTTCCTGTTTCTTCACATCCTCACCAATACTTGTTATTTTCAGTTTCTTTGATAATAGCCATCCTCATGAGTGTAAAATACCTCATGGTTTTGATTCGCATTTCCCCAGTGATTAGTGATATGCGATCTTTATGTGCTTATTGGCCATTTATATATCTTTTTTGGAGAAATGCCTGTTCATGTCCTTTGCTCCTTTAAAAACTGGGGTGTTTTATTTTTTTGTTGCTTAATTGTAGTAGTTTCCAGCCCGGTTTTTGACGAAAGAGTCTGAAGTTATATTTTCCTGAAGCATAGGTATTTATGTGACTGATTAATGGCCGATGGATTTTAAAGATTACTTGGGTGGTCAGTCCAAGTATGACTCCCAAGTATTCCATACTGGTAGTACTTGTAGGAAGAGTACTAACAGGGGCACTTGTAGGCAAAAAGCTGAGATTTTCCTTAATTTAAGAGGTTACCACTTAAACAGATGATGCTTAGGTCCCCAAAGTTCTTACAGAGCATGGTTTTGGCCTGGAAAATTCCTCAAGCAGGAATCATTTACCAAGGCCATAGAAAAATCTGAAGAGTATACCATTCTGCTGAAAATGTTCTAGACTTTGATAGTGGTGGTGATTATACAACTTTATGAATATATTAAAAACCACTGACTTGTACACTGTAATAGTGAATTTTATGCTATGGGAATTATATCGCAATAAAAGAAAGAAATAAAGAATACCCATGGAATATTTGGTTTTAGAAGTAATGTAGTTCCTGGTGAGCCTGCCAGAGTTGTGAAATGTATCTGAGTAGCCACATTAATGATGTTTTTTAATTTATTTATTCAGCAAATGTTTATTTTTTTATTTTTTATTTTTTTAAAGTATTTATTTATTTGAGAGCGAGAATGAGAGACAGAGAGAGAGCATGAGAGGGGGAGGGTCAGAGGGAGAAGCAGACTCCCTGCCGAGCAGAGAGCCCGATGCGGGACTCGATGCCGGGACTCCAGGATCATGACCTGAGCCGAAGGCAGTCGCTTAACCAACTGAGCCACCCAGGCGCCCTTCAGCAAATGTTTATTAAGAGCCCATTATGTGCCTGGCTCTGTGTATACACCAATGAATAAAACTAAGTCACTACTTTCAAGGAGTTTGTGTTGTAGTAGGAGATGGTAATATAATGTGATATCAGATAATGATAGACACTATGGAGAAAAAGAAAGCAGAAATGGGGTAGTGACAACCGTGTGCAGTGTTAGATAGGATAGCCAGCGAAAGGTTCTCTGAGGAAGTAAATTTAAGCAGAGAAAGGATTGAGTGAGCAACTGAAGGGCATATCAAAGAAGGAAGAGCATCTCAGTTTGAGGGAACAGAAGTACATAGGCCTTGTGGCCGAAACTTGCTTGGTATGTTGAAGGCATGGCAAGAAGGCCAAAGCAGAGGCACCTGGGTGGCTCAGTTGGTTAAGTGTCTGCTTTCAGATCAGGTTCAGGTCATAATCCCAGGTATCTGGGATTGAGCCCTGCGCCCCGGGCTCCCTGTTCAGCGGGGAGCGGCTTCTCCCTCTCCTCCCAACTTTGCGCTCTGTTGCTATCTCTGTCTCTCTTAAATAAATAAATAAAAATTTTTAAAAAAGGGCCAAAGCAGAATGATGTAGGGGAAGAATGATAAAAAGGTTGGAATGGTAGTCATAGAGAGCCCTTTAAGTGATTGTGATTTCTAAAAGTAACAAAGTTTGTTACCTGTATGTGGAAGAAAACCTAAACATTTTGATGTAAAATTAGAGTTTCCTGAAATAACTATAAAGGTCACTCTGAATTGTTTAACTTTCTCTTAAGAACTTATTTTGCTCTCTTTGTTAGCACATAATTTAAAAAATTACTATTCAGTTCTTTGGTTTGGGTGTTCTAATATAAAAGTATTTGATAATTTAGCCATAGATTTTGTACTCTGAATTTTGTAACTTCTTTATAACTGAATTTTTGGAAACCTTTAAAATCACAACTTATTCATAAATTAGAGACTGTTTTCCTCAACATATGTTTTAATGTCTAATAGAAAGAAATGTTACATAACTAAGAGATTTAAAAAATTATGTTGAAACAAGCTTTATTACATATTCTACATCCATCAATGTTAACTTAACAGAATGTTTATATGAAACCCAGAAGTACTATAGTAGTAAAAGAAAGCTAATCTATTATAGGTAATTGTTGGTATAGAAAGGTCTCAGTTAATAAGTTCTCTCACCAATATTACCTAATATTTTAGGTAGTGTTACACTATTTTCTTCCTGTGTTACTATACTAATATATTTTCTTTTGATTTAAAGCTTGCAAACACAGAAGAATACATAGATGGAGCATTGTCTGGACATTTGGGTGAAGTTTTAATAAGGTAACAAAACAGCAGTAGTATATATAAGGAATGACTGGAGAGCATTAGAAATACCTGTTTAAATAGACAAATGCCTCAATTTCAGAATCACTTTAAATCACTATTAACATATTCTACAATTAAACTTAAAGAATTTTGAAATCCTTAAACTTGTCCAAGAAGATGGAAATTTTTTGGAGTTATTCATCCTTAAGATTTTTCTAGTGATGATAGTAAACTTTCTAGCTTGTAGCTGTAACCTTTTTCAGTGGTTTTAGTTGCAAGAGCTTGGTTTTGAATTTCAGTTGGATCTGGCCGCTGTTAGGGATTTTTGTTATATTCATTTTCTTGAACTAGAGTCACACTTTCAAATTTGAGTCGTTCCTTGTGGAAGATCATAAAGATACTATTTTATAACATCCACTGGGTGAATAAGTGCCATGGGCTTTTTAACAAATCAATGGTGAAAACATTTTTTAAAAAAGAAAGAAATGATACATTGTAAATTTAGCATTCAGTATTTTTATAATCAAAAATATCTAGCAATAGTAATTCAGATTTTAATGTGGTTTCCGGTTGGAACAACAAAATGGATTGTTTTTCTATTTACAGGTGTAATAATGTCCTTTATATCAGGGGTGTTGAAGAAGAAGAAGAAGATGGGGAAATGAGAGAATAGCATCTTTTGTGGGGAATTTTTTTTATATATATTTCTAGACAATAAACATTTTTTTTTTCAACTTGACTCATGAACTATTCCTATTCAGATATTTAAATGTAGAGCTCAAATGTTGAAACAGTTGAAAGATTATTCGGAATTAATACTTTAAGAGCCATTCAGCTTCATTCAAGTTGGTTTTCTTTTGTAAGCTCAGTAATCTTTTTTTCTACAGGGGAAAATTATATGCTTCATAAACATTTATGAAAGTGAATTTCAGCCCTTTTCTTGTAATTCTATATTAACTGAGACCTTTTAAAAACAACTTTCTTTTAAAGTTATTTTTGAACAACTTTTGACATGTATTAAGTTAAATATTTTCTTAGAATTAATACATACTGTTTTATTTTACTTAGTAGCTAACAAATTACATGTTAATTCTATGTCAGTGTAAGCTAAGTAATGTACATGTTACAGCTAAAATTGAAACATCACCTGAAAATTAAAATGATTGTGGATATAGAGCACAACAGAAATTGTGAACTGATATTTAGGCTAAAAGCATTTGGTTTGTTCACTTAAGAGAATTAAGTGTTCTGAACAGAACTCCTTAATGTGAATTAAAAACCAGTCTCACAGTTAAATTCTGAGGATAGTACTAGTGGTTTTCATTTATGTTTTAAACTCCTCAAAACCATTTAGAGTTATACATTGTTAAAATGTATATTCCACAGTGATAAAATATATACTATGAACTGTGAACTGGTTGAAAACAAATTAGGTCATTTAAAGTCCCATGTGGTCAGAGAATGCCATTATTGCACTTTAATGGTCATTCACCACATAGTTACACCAGTAAAGTAAACTTTGGATGTGTATCCCCAACTGGGACAACTCAAAGATAAAAATGTTTAGCTGTATGGAATTTTACTTAGTATATGATAATAAAAGGCTTCAACAAAAGAAAATAACTCCCATTCCCAATCCTATAACCACTAGAATAAGTGCTGTCTTCCTCAAATTGCTTAGACCAGCATATGGGGCAGAATACTGCCATTAATGGAAACCAGAATCTACAAAATATGCCTAAAAAATTCTGGTAATAAATGTCTTACTGCTTCTATTCAAGTGAAAAAATATTCATCCTCTAGTGATTTTGTTCTTGTATCCTTGACTAAAAGTAGTTCATGTTTGTTACCAGATGGCGGTTTTGAGCGATAGACAAGTCGTCTTCCCAGCTGAAACAGAAGAAAAATACTTAATATTTTTTAGCGTAACTATGTTCTGTTGAAACATAAGTAAAATAATATTAACTTGATTTTTCCAAGGAATAACATGACTCAAAATAGTAAATAATCACAGTTACAAAGGGATTGATAACCTAATGGGTGTCCAACATGCTAGGCAGAATTACGTAACAAAGAGAGCACCATAGAATGCAGGAGACCGAGCGGTTAGGTTTTATGGGAAAGCTGGGAGATTTAGGTAGTCCTCTAAAAGCCTATGTTTCAGATACAGTCGGCCTAGAAAAGCACCATGTTTGAGACCAACATTTCATTTCTCAGGGCCGTAGCAAGGTTCTCCTCCATTGGTTAGAAGAGATCAGTTTCCTCTGCTGAACACCAATTGACTGGCATTTAAAAATTCTATTAGATAAAAACTTGAGGAAACCATGTACATCTTCTTAAACACTAGTAATCTTGTTGGCTCTTAGATGTGCTCCCACCAGGAGAGGCTTAGGGAAAGCCCTTGATTTGTACCTATTCATTCTCTGGGGCATATACTCAAGTATATTATACTACTCATTATTTTTCTCTTTTAGTCTTTTTTCCCCTTCCTTTATGTATGTATTTGGTTTTGCTTCTATCTCTGAATTTGTGTAAATGAAATGGATGAGAAAGTTATTCTGTTGAAAATGAGATTTGATGGAATATCTCCACTGTGTCTCAAAAGAGGCACTATCACTATGTGAGACTGTCGCCTGCATTGCAGAATTTGACATTCCTGGCCCATGGGAATTAACAATGGCAGTCTTCCCCATCATTTTATCAACAAAAATGTTCTTAGGGACTGGAATCGCCAAATTCCTTTCTTAATGTCAATTTTTTTTTTCTCTCTCAACGATCTTTTGGTAACCTTTGTTACTAATACTGTCTGAAAAAATTGCCAGTGAGGAAGTGCCTTGACTAGGTAAGAACTTCTGTCAGAGGTCTTTGTACATTGTCAACTGATCAAATGGGCATTATTTTTTTTTTTTCATTTTTCTTCCCATTTTAGTTTTCAGTCTAATTTTTAGTCTGCTAATTCAGTAAGCATTTATTGAGTATCCACTGTGTGCCAGGCACTGGGGACACAAAGTCATAAAAACTTACTCATGGTCTAGAAGGAAAGATGGATCTATTAAAAATAATCATTTCAACTTGGTGAGCTTAGTGAATAGTAGTATGTATACGCGGAAGGGTGATGAATGGTTAATTCGCCTTTGGGAGAAAGAGGACAAGTCCGGTCTTCATAGGAAGAGCTGAACTAGAGAAGTCAGACCCTTTTTAAGGTGAAATGCTTATTTAAATGAAATTAAAATAATCAACATTTTTTGACATACATATTAACAGTTACTGTATTTCAGAAACTTTTTCAAGTACTTAACGTCCGAAGGCTGGTTGTGAGGCACACAAGAAGCATTCACTGTAGGTTAGCTATTACTGTGGTAAGAATCAGTGTCCATAGTAGCTTTGCAGATAACCATGAAATTAGCTTCCCCAAGTATATTTCAGACCTTAACTCAGAGGAAGGAGAGTGGCATATAGAAACACAAGGCCTTCCATACACAGTGGGAATTCATGGACCATGTACTCAGTGACTGCCCAATCCCATATTTATTATTGAATAGGTAATCTTGCAATATAAAGAACCTTGACTTCTGGTCCTGGACCTGCTGTTAAATCTGAAGTGACTCTGGGTGAATCATTTTAACATCAACTATTAATCTCATTATTTTTTATAAGGTGAGGATTAGAAGACCCTTCCAATTATATGCAGTTCTCTGGATTTGCTGTCTCCATTGTTGACTGAAAATAGCAAGGCTCATGGCTATTATTTGTAAGAAGAAGATACACATAAATACATAGACTATTTCCAGAAGGATGCAGATGAAACTTTAAGAGATTGCATCCAGGGAAGGGAACTAAGGATGACTTAATTTTCACTAAATACTCTTGTATCTTTTGCACTTTGAGCCATATGCTTGTTATTATGTATTCAAAAAATTAAAGAAAAAACTACCTGGTTTCATGAACCTGGAGCTAAAGAAAAAGAGGAGAGGGGAAAGGTTTCTTTCACTAAAAAGTGCGTCTAACGGAGAACTATAGACCCAGAAATTTGAATTATCCTCAAAGTTAACAGGGAATCAGAGAGAGACCAATCAAAGCTGGATAAATTATATGAATTAGGTATTTTGTTTTTATACCACAGAAGCACTCACATATTGATGTAGCTGGACCAATTGGTAACAAAACACAAACCTTTTTCTTTGGTTGTGCTACTGCTCTTTCCAGAGCAGCTCTTAGCCTTTCCTCCTGGTGTTTTTGTTTTTCTTTCATTTTCTCTTCACGTAACCTGTCAAAAAAGGAAAACATTCTTGTAACTATAAATCACAGAAAGTAAAAAAAGACCTACATTATTTTTGGGTAATAAACTGCCTAAATATTATAAGATCTCCCTAAGAGTTAAATTAAAATAATAATTCACCTTCACCCATACTATGGCTTTTGAATATTCAGGTGAAATCTCAACAACAGATCCCATTTGTGTTAAAATGGGAGAAAATTGCTTGTCACCATTTTGGAAGAATTAAAATCTACCCAGATCTTGGTCTAAAACAAGCACCTCAGCAAAGCCTTCTTGTCACTCCACTTACATTTGAGCACTTCACAGTTAATGTGTACAAGGCCTCTTGAATTTACAGACCCCCCAGTAGCCTTTTTACTAGAGTATAATGTGCAGAAAAGTGCACAAACCACAGTTATATATATATATATATATATAACAATGAACTATATACATATACATAGTTCATTGAGTTACCACAAAAGCGTACTTTTCCAGTTAACCTTTCTGAATGGTATCCTGAAATTAAGACCAAGAAATGCTATTTGTCTTGTTCTCTTTAGGGTTGTTGTGAGGATAAAATTAAATGAAATGACCTATGTAAACTGTCCAGGCCAATGCCTGGTGCAGAATAGACCTCAATAAGTGATAGCTATTTTATGGACTTAAACAGTTATAACATTTACTGAACATTTTTTATGCAAAATTAGGTGTCAGGTACCTAGGAAAAAACAGTTTTCTTTTTGATAAGGATAAGCAATTGGAACTAGGTTCATACATCACTATTGAAAATAAGTTGTAATTACAATTCAATGAGAATATATTTCCGACTGTAGAAAAGATCCAAGTGGTGTTAATGTAATCAGCCATAGGTCATCTTACAGAAGGAGTGGTTTTTTTTTTTATAATTAAAAAAAAATTTTGTTTTAATGAAATCCCATCAGGATCACCTTAATGTATTCTGGACTTTGTTTTGATATGGGGAAAACCATATCCCCCATATACCAGTAAGCCGTAATAAAATATCTAACACTAATGCCTAATGTTTGAATACTTACTATGTGCCAAGCACAAACCCTATGAGATAAGTATCATCATTCCTGCCATTTTACAGATAAACTGAGGCTTGGGAGAGGTTATGTGCCCTACCTAAGGTCACAGAGATTGTAAATGGCAGAACCTGCATTGAAGCCAAGCAGGTCAGCCATAGTGCTCGTCTCCCTCTTAACGTTTTTTGTTACTGTTGTTATGACATGAACAATATTCCACCTATAGGCATTCTCTACATGCCACATGATACTAGGGGTCATATATTTATAATCATTGCCTCAAAAGTAGTTACCCTTATTTAACTCGGTATGGAAGTTTGTAAATCAGTGCATTCTCCTGGAAAGGCAGGCAGACAAGGATGTGGGTATGTCGGGGTGGGGAGGGGGTGCTGTTCCAGGGATGATAATCCTCATGAAGTTGTCTTGAGGAATGAATGAATTAATGTGTAGATGCTGTGTGTGTAAGTGTCGCCAGTTATGCACTCAGAAGAACCCTCCTTGCATGGCTCTGACTTTCAAACAATTCCTTCATATATAGTCTCCTTGCAGTGAAGGGCTCCTAATTCTATGCCTTGGGCCCTCCACTACAAGTGCAATTCCTCTTCCACAAGATAGCTCTTCAAAAATAATAAGTAGTGAATATTCATTCTGAAAATCCATTTTTTTCAGGCTAAAATGACCCTTTACCCATCTCAAACTAGATCAGTTGTTGCCTCAGTGAACTCTCCTTCACAGTGCTCATTGCTTGGTAATGACACATTATTTCATAAGAATATTTGATGAATGTGTCTTCACATTAAATAATAGCTCTGAGAAGGGTATGTCTGGGTTTGGGTCTAATCTTTATTGCAATCCTTGCCATGTAACGGGCTTGCTCAGTGTTTGTGGAATCCCAGCAAGAACAGTTTCTCATCTCATTAAGTCATTCACTACACTACACTTCTATCATAAGATATTGACTGTACTTTTGCCGCCGTTCTTTCTGTTTTATCCTCTCAATTGCCTCCACATTTTCTTTGGGAATGGATTCAATGAGATCACTCAGTTCTACGAGGCGAGACTCTACTTTTACCAGCTTTTGAACTGGGTTGAGGCTGCCAACATCAGCATCTCCAATGCAGACTTTGTATACTTGATTAATTTTTTTGCTAAGAGAGTCTATCAGTTTTTCCTGAGATTGAAAAGAAAAGGGGAGCAGAAAACATAACATCTCATCACTATTTTCTTGTTCATTCAATAAATGTAAAGTTCCATTTTACTATATTATAATGAAAAGGCTCTTATATGATACTACGTATTTCTTTTTAAAAGAAAAACTTTAGGGGTGGCTGGGTGGCTGGGTGGCTCAGTCGGTTAAGTGCCTGACTTTGGCTCAGGTCATAATCTCAGAGTCCTGGGATTGAGCCCGCATGCTGTGGGGTGGGCTCTCTGCTCAGCAAGGAGTCTACTTGTCCCTCTCCTTCTTCCTTTGCCCCTTCCCCTGCTCATGCTCTCTCTCTCTAATCAATAATCATTAAAATAGAAGAAAAACTTTAATATAACAGAATGGTGAGAAAATGCAGCAGTGATATATCATAATTTATAGTTAGATCATTACTGTAGTAACACCTTGGACTATTTTCTTTCAAAAATATTGCATTCTAGGTATAAAAAGCAATTTTATACGACAGTATCTTTTCTTGAGTGTTTTTATGTACCTGATTCCCTGAGTATTCAAGTAGAGGCAATGTATACATACATTTTAAATCCTTTTTTTTTTTTTGCCACTCCAGTGCATTTCCTTGCAACACAACATGTGAGCTCTGTTTGTTTTGTTTTGTTTGCACTTAACTACTCTTCATTGCTGGAACTACAATCATCCTGTATGAAAGCTATTTGTGTACATGCCTTGTTTCCCCTTCTAGACTGTAAGCACCTGGAGGGCAGGAGTTATTTCTTATGTTTACACTTAACTAAAACAGCACCTTGCACATAACTATGCACTTCATAAATGTTTGCTGAATAAATGACTGAATGCATTCTCTCAGAGGAAAAAAAAGTTACAAGCAAACAGATTGCCAGGTTGACCTACAAAGTCTTTTAAGGAGTTTAATTTTCACTCTTGCCATTGGAAGCCGTTGGAGTATTCTTGTCTAAGCAGAGGCTTAGGCCAAACCTTGCTGATCCCTGTACCTGGCCACTGCGCCGTTTTAACTGTTGGTAGATACGCTCGAGCTTGTAGGTAACGTGTTTCGGGACCAAATAACTCTCAGCCTCTTTCTCCACCGTGAACCCGGCATTCGCAGTTAAGAGGATCTCAATAAACTGCTGGGCAAAGTAAATCGTTCTCCAGGTAGCATCCTGCCCAAATTCCTGCTTCTGCTCGAGAAGATGAGAATCATCATGAAGCCAAGGACAAATAACACTCAAGACAGATGTGGTGCCAGGAACCATGGGAAACCCCTCCTGGAATCACAGACTCCTTACAGAGCCACCAACACTTAATTACAAGTCAAGATCTGTTACCAATAGTTAACTTCCAAGAGCTTGTCTCTCCCACCTGGTTTAATCACCTTTCTGATGTCCTGTTTACCACTAAGCACCCCTTTTTTTCTCTCACACTTACTGTATTTCCTGTTATATTAAAAACATGCTCTTTTTTACACCTGAAACTGATAAACCTTGTTTACTGGAATTAAAATTCACAACTTTAAAAAAAAAATCCTCCTTTTAGAAAACTTGGAAAAGCACAAAGAAATATTAAAGGAAAAAGTAAAAGAAAAAGCAAAAGGCCTATTTGCCATAAAGCTCTTTTTTGCTCTCCCTTTCTACATAACATTTATTATATTTCTTATATATCAGTGTATTCCTTTTAGAAAACTTCAGAAATACAGAAAGCTATAAAAGGGAAAATAAAAGCAATCCACCCATCAAGGAGAAGTATATATTGGGTATGTAAAAACTTGCTGCAGTGGGAATCCTGTTTTTAAAAATATTTTGAACCCTGGTTCTGAGAAAAAAAGCAACTTTTAATATGAGAATGGTTAGTAGTTGATGAAAAGTTCTGAAGGAGAGCTCTTGAACACTTAGAGTCTTAGAGGTGATGGGCAGTGGCCTTTCAGGATGTCTTTCTTCCAGAATGCCTTTTTTTTTTTTTTTAAGTTCTCCTTGTGAAAGGAAAGGAAAAGACAAGGAGAGATGTTTCCTTAAGATAACAAGATAAGAACAGCATAAGAAATAGGATTAGGGAATGAGGTTAAGGAATAAATACTCATGTATGAGAAAAAGATTAAGGGCCTGGCCCAACAGAGCCAAAGGGAAAGGAAAAAGGGAGCTCACGGTCCAGGCCTACTGATGATGGAGAAGCGAAGCGTCCAATCTCTGGAGCTGCCACCAGATGGCAGACCCAGCCCAGAGTCCCTCGGAGGAGGGGCTGCCCGGGAGGCTGCAAGGGATGGAAGGAGCTGTTGCTCTGAGAGGTAGAGTCGGCCAGAATTGTGGAAGACCCAAACTGATAAGGACTGGATGCCTTCCGACAGTGAATGAGAAGTGATCTGACCAGGGTAATGTTGAGGAGTAATTATATCAACATTGGATAGGGGAGCAGGAGATGTCTCGATGTCATTTAAAGGATTCTGTAATTCTAACCCATGTCACATTCTGCTGGGTGCTGACTGCAGGCAACTCTCAATTGAACTAGATCAGCCCCCTGTTTGAAAGAGTAAAACAAGGGGCGCCTGGGTGGTTCAGTCGTTAAGCGTCTGCCTTCGGCTCAGGTCATGATCCCAGGGTTCTGGGATCAAGTCCCACATCGGGCTTCTGCTTAGCAGGAAGCCTGTTTCTCCTTCTCCCACTCCCCTGCTTGTGTTCCTGCTCTCGCTGTCTCTCTCTCTGTCAAATAAATAAGTAAAATCTTAAAAAAAAAAAAAAAGGAAGAGTAAAACAAGAGATGAATACATCCTGCCGATTGCACAATAGCTTACATCCCATTTCATGTTCAAGGAAAACAGATAACTGCTACACAAAATAACGTGGATGAATCTCACAAACATAATTTTGAGAAAAAGAAGCCAGATAAGCCAGACATTACATGATTCCATTTATATAAAGTTCAAAACATGAAAGCTAATTGATGGTAAGAGAAGTCAGAATTGTGGTCACCTTTGAAGGATTGTAGAGACTGGAAAGGGGGTGTGAGGGAGGCTTCTGAGGGGGGTTATAATGGTCTATTCCCTAATCTGGGGGGGTGGTTTACATGGGTATATTCACTTTGAGGAAATTTTTTAAGAGAATTTATAATTTACCTTATAATTTGTGCGCTTTTCAATATTACATTATACTTGAATTTTAAATTTTATTTTAAAAGTAAAATATTGAGGGCATCTGGGGTGGCTCAGTCGGTTAAGTGTCTGCCTTTGGCTCAGGGCATGATACCGGAGTCCCAAGATCAGAGTCCTACATCCGGATCCCAGCTCAGTGGGGAGTCCGCTTCTCCCTCTGACCCTCCCCTGTCTCGTGCTTTCTCTCTCACTCAGATAAATAAATAAAATCTTAAAAAAAAAAAAAAAGTAAAATATTGAATCAGTAAGAAATGTTTTTAGGGATTAGACAGGAGTGTGGAAGTTTAGACTAAAATACTGATTTTAGGGCGCCTGGGTGGCTCAGTCGGTTAAGCGGCTGCCTTCAGCTCAGGTCATGATCCCAGGGTCCTGGGATCGAGTCCCGCATCGGGCTCCCTGCTCAGTGGGGAGCCTGCTTCTCCCTCTCCCACTCCCCCTGCTTGTGTTCCCTCTCTCGCTGTGTCTCTCTCTGTCAAATAAATAAAATCTTTTAAATAAATAAATAAATAAATAAATAAATAAATAAATAAATAAATAAAATACTGATTTTATAGTTACCAATCCAAAGTAACTGATGATTTATGAATATCAAAATTAGATAAAGCTGTTTACTCATAAAGGATTATGTTTTGCCCATTTTGGGATCTGAAAGAATGGGAGTGATTCTAAGAATACTTTTCCCCTGTCAATTTTCCTGCTTTGTCCCCCCTTTTCCACACTAGCATTTCACATCTCTAGGAGTCACTATGAATTATTAGGCCCATTTTCCCAGAGTGTGCAATATACTTGAATGCCAAAATTATACTTGTGACCAAAATTTATCTTTTAAAAAGTAATTTTCAGATCAATTCTGCCTACTCTGTTTAGGGATCTGGTTGCCTCAAAATTTAAGAGTATTGAAAATGTTACTGTTTTATATAGCTGTCCTAAACCTGGATGAAAGGAGTTTAGTTGGGGGAGGGTGAAATATCGCTGATATTTATCTGACATTTTTTATGTCAGTCAGCTTCAGAATTATTTAAAACAATGAAGGGTGGAAGCACCCCAAATGTTCATCAACGGACAAATGGATAAACAGAATGTGGAATATAAATGCAATAGAATATTATTCAGCCATAAAAGGAATTAAATTTTGACACATGCTACAACATGGATGAACCTTGAAAACATTATGCTAAGTGAAAGAAGCCAAACACAAAAGGACGATTATTGTATGACTCCATTTATGTGAGGTACCTAAAAATAGGCAAATTTATAGTGACAGAAAGTAGGATGAAAGTTACCAGAGGCCAGGAAATGGAGGAATGGAGAATTACTGTTTAATGGGTACAGAGTTTCTATTTGGGATGATGAAAAATTCTGTAAATAGATGGTTGTGATGGTTACACAATACTGCAAATATACCTAATGTCCCTTAATTGTACACTTAGAATGGTTAAATGGTAAGTTTTGTTACATATATTTTACCACACACACACACACAAGGTTTATAAAAAGCCAATGAGGAAGAACTGAAAGGTGGCTGTCATCACACTTCCTGCTCTAACAGGGTATGACCCCATTCCCTCCTAACTAAGGACACTATAGCACCCTAGGAAATGTGTGTGTGTAAATGAGTCATAAATAACTTTTGCTTTTGTAACCTTGCCCATCCTATGGTTAGGGAGGACAGTCTTCTGAATGAGTTCCCCCAGATCTACCTCTGTTTGAAAACCAACCATAAATAATAACCATAAATGTGTTATTAGCCTCACATATGAGATTTGAATTTTTATTTCATTTGAGATTTTTTACAAGGAAATCAATGCTAGTTGGAGTTTGTTGTGGGTCTAGAAACTAATCATTCATTCAACAAACATTTATTGAGCACCTACTTTATAGGGACACTTAACATACCTAACTAGGAAAGCTCATACAATCCCTGCCCTGGAGGGGTCTGCACCCAGCTGGGAAGACATGCACAGGTAAATAGATAGTACATTAGTGTGTGTCACCAGAGGCTCCAATAATGGATCTATATATGCAAGAGAGGCCGAAATCTATTAGAGGCTCAGTGCTGGGCAGGTATTCCATTCAGTTTTGATTCAGTGCCTCCCCTGTTAATTACTTGCTCTTCAAGTTACTACCAAATGATCATAGGTAATGAACTACTTCATGTATATACACTCTAAAAGAAATGTATCTATAGGGGGAAAAAATCTCAGCATCACACCTTGTAATAATTGGAGCAACATTTTAAGAGAACCCCAATGCTAATTTGAATACTTTCTACTATGTAAATTGACTATTGCATACTGACATGATAATTCCAAGCTGGTTTTCTGCCTCTATCATCAACCCAGGATTTGTGGTATGCTTTAACTCCCCATTCCAATGCTTAGGGGACAGGGAATGCACATTATTATTAACATGAGACAAAATTACCAAAGGCAAAGCAGGATTACCTGAGTGTCTGATTTAAATTCTCCAAAACTAAATAGCCTGGACCTTAATTCCAGTTCTGCTGCTTTTTCCTCTTCTCTCACACAGCTAGCCTTAAGCATTTCCTTGTGCTCCAGAAGAAACTCTATGTTGCTATTTCTGTTGCAAAAGAAGAAAGAGACCCTTGTCTGTAATTTGTGGTTTGGAAATAAATCATCAGTCAGGAATTTCAACACTTTCCATATCATGTGTCAACATCCTATATCTAGCAAGCCAAATATGAGTTTATAGTTTAAGACATTGTCAGTACATTCAACTTTTCAGGTAAAATGAGAAGAGTAAATGCATAGATGCTGCTTTTAACTTGCACCAGGAAGCATGTTCTTCCTGTGGTTCCCCCAGAGCCCCCAAATAACAGCAGAGTTGATGTGTCAGGAAGCCAAGTTGTGGTGTGGCCTAGAGATAGATTCTCTTCTGGCATAGATCCCCTTTTCCTGCCCAACCATACCCACCTCGTCCCCAAAATTCATATTGTAGGGTTGGGGCACCATATGCTGTAAGGATTGTGAGAGAGGAGACAAGGATGAAAAGAATACATTAGTGGTACTGGGTGGCTGTGAGATCGTGATTTGTAGGGTCTCAACTTTTGAGTAAGTTAATTTGTTCAAAGTTCAGTGTAGTTTGACCTACTGTTCGAAAAGATTGCCATCTTTTGGCCCAGAAAACTCTTCCTAAAAAGGCTTTACACATTTTTATAATGGGTAGATAAACAGATTTATCCTCTGCAATTTGAAGCTATTTGCCAATAGCGTCCAATATTACTTCCAGTTATATAAAATTTTACAGAAGGAATTTTGTGAGTCATCAAATCCAGCCTCCTTCCCCTTACAGAAATCCCTTTTATGAGAGCCCTGCTGTATCTACATATGTATGTTATAAAATGCTCTAATATTTAAGTCACATAACTTTGCTGAGAGTCACGACCAAGGGAAATGCATTGATTAGCATTATCATCCAAAGCCTGATTTGATTAGCCAGATGGTAGAGTGAAAACTGCACCAAACAAAACTTAATGAGTTGTGGAATCACTATGCTATATACCTGAAACTAATGTAACACGTATATCAACTATACTTCAATTAAAAAAAAAAAAATTAAGGCAGTACCTTTTAATTCTTTATAATCTTTCAAACTGCCTTTCATTATTGCTAGCTAGGAAAATATTTTGACAAGTGTAAGGAAGTAGAGACTAAAACTAAAGTCAGTGTACTCTGTGTAAATATAACTTCTACATTTTACACCCTACAATGTAAATTATTATTAATAAAAATCCCACCCTAAAATCAGAGAGACCCTGAGGAAGGTTCACACAGGAATAAGTTGGATTCTGTCTCCTGGTCAGAGACTGCTTAAGATAATAAATCTACTTGTTCTTAATAACTTACATCTTATCCTGTATAAGTTTTTCTCTTTTATTTACATCTTCAAGATTTTCATCTACATCTTGGGAATACTGTACCAAAGTTAGATTCTGCTCTTCCAGCTCTGTGAGGACTTGAAGTAACTCTTCTGGTTCTTTGAAATAAAGCTCTGGCTCCTAATCAATCAGAAATGAATATAATCACTTAAAAATATGCTACTTTTGCACATATGACTTATCTAGAAAAATACAGTGGGGAAAAGGAATGCCATTCTGGTTATGAGGAGCATGGGCAGAGAATGGCAAAGGAGCCTATTTCCATGAGAGCTGGCCTTCAGGAAGAGGACATTTATGGTTCTTGGGGAGATGAAAGGTATTATAGAAGGGAAAAAGGAAGGTAAGGAAAATAGAAAGAAGAAGGAATGGAGCAGAAGAGGAGGCCAAGGCAGGAAAAGAGGAAAGATGGTTATAGGGAAAGGCAGGAAAGGGAATAGAAGAAAGAAAAAGGAGGCTAAGTGAAGGTCATTTTCTCTCCCCATTTAATTTTATATTTTACAAAAACTTCATAAATATATGTATTACTTTAACTAAATTTAATTTTTAAAAAGATGACTTGGGTATTTGTACACCATGTTCATCATATTTACTATAGCCAAAAGGTGGAAGCAACCTAAAGGTCCACTGATGGATGAATGGATAAAGAAAATGTTGTAAATCCATACAATGGGATATTACTCAGCCTTAAAAAAGAAGGAAATCCTGGCACACACTACCACATGAGTGAACCTGGAGGACAATAGGTTCTGTGAAATAAGCCAAGTTACAGAGAGAAAAAAACTGCATGATTCCACTTTTATGAGGTATCTAAAGTAATCAAACTCTTAAATAGAACCGTGGTTGCCTGGGCTACAGAGAGGGAGAATAGGGGGAGTTCAGTGGGTACAGGTTTCCATTTTGCAAGATGAAAAAGTTCTAGAGATCTGTTGCACAACAATGTGCATATAGTTAACTATACTGTACATTTAAATTTAAAAATAGGACGGGGCGCCTGGGTGGCTCAGTCGTTAAGCGGCTGCCTTCGGCTCAGGTCATGATCCCAGAGTCCTGGGATCGAGGCCCCCATCAGGCTCCCTGCTCCGCGGGAAGCCTGCTTCTCCCTCTCCCACTCCCCCTGCTTGTGTTCCCTCTCTTGCAGTGTCTCTCTCTGTCAAATAAATAAATAAATAAATAAATAATCTTAAAAAAATAAAAATGGTTAGGACAATAGATTCTATGTTACTTTTTTTTTTTTTAAGATTTAATTTATTTATTTGAGAGAGTGAGAGAGAGAGCACAAGAGGGGGTAGGGTTAGAGGGAGAAGCAGACTCCCCGCCGAGCAGGGAACCTGAAGCAGGACTCGATCCTGGGACTCCAGGACCATGACCTGAGCCGAAGGCAGTCGCCCAACCAACTGAGCCACCCAGGCGCCCTATGTTACTTTTTTTTTTTTTTTTAACTATAATTAAAAAAGAAGATCACTTGTATAAGATGTGTTATATGTAATAATGGATGGTGTTTTGAAATGTTTTTTGTTCCTTGTGAGTTTCTGTGGTTATATTCAGGATGGGGTTAGCTCAAAGTCAGTCTTGTAAAATAGAGGGCTGTTTTGCTGAAGGTTGATTTATCTTACGGTACAGCTACACAGCATATCTCAAGCTCCAGTAAAATGACAAGCAATCAGGAAGTGACTGTTTTATTCTCTACAGGACTACTGTAGAGAATATATGTATCTCCTAAATTATTACCTTCTTATAAACATTTTTCATAATATGCTGACAAAGATGAACTATAGATGCAACTGGGAAACAGTGTCAAAATCATAGTTTCTTCTGGAAAGTTGTGTAATATTTGGAATAGAAAATTTTAATTTTAAAAGAAAAAAATGAGCACTTATACTTTTCATCAAACACAATATTTAAATCAAAAAAAGATAATATGGTTACCAGATCATAGTCCGTATCATCGTCTAAAAAGAATTCCAAACTGTCTTCTGAACTGATACTCTCAGCGTGGCTGTAAAAGAAAGAAAATGTCTGATTTCTGAGCCATTTTCAGTCAACAGATTTGCTTCATTTCTAAATTGTCTTTGGAACCTAACTATAACATAGTCCTTTTCAATAGCCTTTTTAGCCTTTTAGGGAACTGCTGTTTGCAGGAATCAATGGATTCCACACATATGCAAAAGAAAATCAGATTCCATCCGGATAAGGGTGACATATGCAAACAAGTGAGACCACAAGGAAAGGCCAAACCATATGGTACCAATTATTTGAGGTGCATTTATAAGAAATCTTTTTAAAGAAACACATGACAAGCTACATTGCTGCATCTGTTTTGTTCCTTTTAATGCAGTCTTGACAAACTAAACATGTGCTCTAGTGCTCAAAACAAAGCTTGTTCCCGGAGTAATACAATATTTCTCTTCTGAAGAGTGGATTTTACTTTTTAAAATATCTTCTGATCAGGTTGGTTGGGGGGATGGGGGACGAGGTACACTCAAAGAATAACTATGTGGTTTGCATAGCAGCTCTGGAAAAATCCTTTAAGAAGGATAAATTGAAAATGATTGGAAAATTAAAGAGGCAGAGACTAGGGAGAGTAAGGTGGCTGTTGGTGTGATCTAGGTAATTAACTTATTGGTAAGGATTCAGGTCAGCAGTAGGCTGTTAGTGGTTAAGTTTTGGGGGAGTCAAAAGTTACATGCAGATTTCTGATGGCATAGGGGGTTGGCACCCCTAACCCCCATATTGTTACAGAGTCAACTATATATGGACACACTACAAATTAACTATTCAATCATTGAACAACATCCAGATTGTTTCCAGTTTGGGGCTATAAAGAATAAAATTGCTATAAATATATTTGTGCAATTTTTTGTGTGCACATCATTTCCATTTCTCTGGAATAAATGCCTAGAGTGCAGTTGCTGAGTTGGATGGTAGGTACATACTTAGTTTTTAAAGAAACTGCCAATTTGTTTCCCAGAGTGGCCACACCATTTTACATTCCCACTAGCTACAGAACAAGGGATCCAGTTTCTCTACATTCTCATCAGCATTTACTGTTTTCATTATTTATTTTAATTTTGGCTCTTCTGATAGATGTATATATTGCATTGTGCTTTTTTTTAAAAAAGTTATATATTTTCTTAAATAGCCAGGGTTGAGAACTAGCAATTTATGAAATAATGAGTATGAATGAGGTAACAATCAAGTAAGGGACAAAACAAAAAAGCTTTATGGTCGGATTGCAGCAATTTTGAATGACATGGTAAAACTGCAAACACAGGGGTCAGCAGAGTAGCTTAGTAAACAATTGGGCAGTGGCTCTGCGAGAGAGCAGGCAGTTACTGCCAACAGCAGTGGCAGGCACTCGTCAAAGAATGCACGGAGGCCTCTGGGAGTTTAGCCACCTCAGGAGCACCCGGAAATGGCAACCACTACCTCCAGTATCTGTTAGGACGGGTATGCGTATGTGATATCTGTGTTGAAGAAAGCCTAAAAGGGTTATTTTCTGAAAAACACTCACAGTTTCCAAGAGAGTTAATCAAGTAGGTACCGTACCTTGATAAGGATGATTTCTTATTCCCTATGGTTAGAGTGGGCTTCTTGTGTGGTTTTCCTGTTCAAAATGTCCAGGTGAAGTCCACATCATTTGTGATGGTGGAGATGAAAAGAAATAACGTGGAATTAGAAATGAGTCCTTGTTATTTGGTGCAAGATAATCATTTTTTCTGCATGGATATGCCCATTCTTTTTATTATTATTAGAATGATAATCATAGAAAGTGGAGTGAGCTCCTCTATTCTACTGAAATTGGGTTCCAAGCCTAAGAATAAAATCAAAGGCACTGGTTGCGGCCGGGGAGGGGGGGGGGCGCGCGGTGCAGGGTACATATTGTCAAAAACATGATATAACTATTGATAGTCCCAAATCAGGGGCATAAATTGTGAAATATAATATAATATAATCATGGTTCTTTTTTTACCTAACCATATATATTTCATATGTAATGACAGACTTTTAAAAATCAAGGCAAAAAATAAAAATGGTGGACATTTGAATTGTTACATCTTGTGGAGGGGATAACTTGTGCCAGGTTCTCTGCCTCTGATTTCTGTGCCTGTCCTGTCCATTCATCCTCTCCAAGCCTTGTAATCATGTCAGAGAGAAAGAGATGGAATGCCTAGCTCCCAAGGATTACGGGTGATGTGGACACCACCTTTTGTTTTCCAAGTTAGCTCATAGGTCCCAGATTTCCAATTTGAGATGGGCACCTTCTCTGGTTTTACTTTTGTGAATGAAGTCCCAAATCTCTGGTGTTACCTTGGCGACCTCTTTCCATGTAATAGTCATCTGAAAATGATACCTTCCCGGCATCCTCATTACTGCCCTCTGCTTTCGTTGTATTTAATTCTAGAAATGAAAACAAAAGGGAGAGAGATGGGGGGAGAACACTTCTAAGAATGAGAGGTTTGTCTCATGGTGAAGGTAGAGTTACTGTGAGAACTTACAAGGACAGAAATATAGGATGGGGACATTGTAACAAGCAAATGTATGATGCTGACGGCAAGGGCTGGTCTCTGGACCAGGCAGAATGGAGGGGAACTGACCTGCAGGGCATGAGGAGGTCTCTATTTCCTGCATCAGTCAACAGCCTGATAACTTCTATAATCCCCGTGTCAGCCATTCACTCCTCTGGACTGAGGGACTCATTGCTTTCTGAGCATCCTCTAGTTAAAGGACAAGTCTAGGGGCATTGAATTTTAAGCTGCTAAATGCAATTACTTCCTGATTTTCCTTTCTATAGGTTTTCTCTCTTGTCAGTGTATTGAGTTTAACCAGGTGCCATCATTGTGCTCACTACTCAGAACAGTCATGTACAAATGATCTAATTCAATCACAGCAAAGTGAGCTGTGACAGCCATCACTACTGTGCTGGTAACTGTTTAACCATCGCCTCTCCGGAAGAGTTCTCCCTGGTTTGCAGTTTACTGGCTTCTATGGGGTAAATGCTCTTACCCCAGAGTCTCAGGATCACCTCTCAGCTGAAGACTCTGCAGAGAACTCTCTGGGAACTCCAGCCTCCCTACACCCTTAGCTCTGTCCTTGCAATTCATGGGGACTGCTGGGCTCGTCCTCCCTCTGCTGCATCCTGGGAATGCTCCCCAGGCACTATGCTGAGGCCATCATTTGGCTCATCTCATTTTCTCTCCTCTCTCATGGATCGTTCTGCTTCTCTTCTTGGTGCCTAATGCCTGAAACCTATTGCTTCATATATTTTTCAGATTTTTTTAGGCAGGAGGGTAAGTCTGGTCCATGTTACCCAAAAGTTGCTAGAAGTGGTAGTTTTCCTCTTTGATTTGTAACCCCATTTAATCACTTACTCAATTCTTATATATAATAGATCTATTTTTGGTCCATTGAGCTGACTTCCTAATACCAGTACCATGCGGTGTTAATTTCTGAGACTCTGATAATATATTATATAATACTTTAAAAGATTAGTAATACTGGGGCGCCTGGGTGGCTCAGTGTGTTAAGCAACTGACTCTTGATTTTGGCTCAGGTTATGATCTCAATCAGGGTCCTGAGACGGAGCCCCACATTGGACTCCATGCTCAGCAAGGAGCCTACTTGGGATTCTCTCCCTCTTCCCCTCCCGCTCCCGCACACACTCGCGCTCTCCCTAAATTAATTAATTAATTAATTAAATCTTAAAAAAATAATATCAGAGATAGTGGGAATCCTTGTTCAGGTTCTGCTTAAAATAGGAATTCTGACTGTTTAATAAATAACAAACAAATAAATATTGAAACAATATTTGAGAATTAGAGCTATTTACTTAATTGAAATTAAGAATATGTGACTCACTTGTTAGTACTGGAAGACTGACATTCATACTCTCTCTACTCTTTGTCATCTGCGCCCTTTTCAGCGCTTGTTGGATTTGCCAGTGTTTTGGAGACAATTTCAGCAGAAAAAATCCATATTTCATGTACTCTCTAAGGAGGAATTCTGTTTTTGCTATCTCACTACTCAAAAGAAATGAAGATATCATTAGAAATATCCATGTGAAGGCATGTTCATAAAAAAAAGGTTTCACTAAATTTGTTCCCTTGATTATGTATTTGAATAATAATTTACATAACAAAAAATGTTAAGTAGGGTCATAAAAATATGGGCATCAATAAGATAAAATGAGAAGAAAAAAACCCATAGGAGTGCTATTTGAATAAAACATGCCAAGGATATACACACATGGAATAGACTGATGATAGTTTTACTCATTTATTCCTGAGGGAAATGTCGTATTAAATTTTAGACATAGGAAGAAATTAGAAGGTAGCAGAAGATGGTACTTTTGTGAGAAGAATAAAGAAAACACCCATGAGCACCTACTATGGACGCACGACAGAGTACCATTTCATTCTCTGTTTAGCACTTTACAGTCGGTATAATTCCCATCTTTTGGAAGAAGAAATGAATGACTTGCAAAGTCATCTGTCTACTAAATGGCAGAGCCGGCACTCAAACCCGGGTCTGGCTGACTCAGATGCCCAAGCTTTCGCCACCAAAATCCAGGGACTTGGCCTGAAAGCCTCTCCCCAGCCTCACAGTGCTTTCCCATAATCGTGTTACAAAGTGGACCTTGAAGGAATGTTTACAATAACAATGAAGTCCCTTGTGAAAGGGTGGTCCACCCATATCCTTCCAGGCGTCCTTAATCATACCATCTTCAATACCCTTATCAATATTACTCCTACACCAGTATCTTCAGCTCCGGTACTTCTTTCAGGCAGTGCCTTCCTTCAGCCCTGATGTGAGCGTGAGATTCAAGAGTCAATAATCAGCGGGCTCACATATCACACTGAAGGATGTTGGGAGCCCCTCATTCTACTACCACTTTGTTATTAGATTGAAAGCCTCCCAGAGGTGTTACAAGAACAGGGTTAAAATGGCTAGCATTGGACAACTTCCAAGCAAAAGCTTCAGAACAAGCTCCCTTCCCCTTTGTAAACAGATTTCCAGCCCTACCTGCAGTGGACGACCTTCCTGGGCCATCTCAAGCCCATAAAGAAAGAAAGAAAAAGGAAATAAATAGCAGGCGCCTGTATCCTTTGTGCTGTTTCCCAGCTTGTTTTTCATGACTTTTTGCTCCTTTCTAGGATGATGAGACACATATACACTAAGCAAGTTCTTTTCAGCAAGGCTGTTTACCGGGTGGCCATTGTGCATAAATATAATACTCTTTGCAAGCCTAGAGGCTGCTGCTCTCGTTCTACAAATAGAACAGAATCTTCTAATTACATGATGGAGTGAAGGAAGGAAGGGAATTCTCCACCTTGTAATGCCTTCAACTTTAGGCTCCTACAATAGAAGAAGCTCTGTAGCCAGAATGTGTTTGAAAACACACATTCTGTTAGTAACAATTGGTTTCTAAGAAACTACCATCCAATTCATTTGCTGTATTTTAGACAAGTTGTTGTCCTCTTCTCCGAAAACTCTAGGACTTGGTTTTAGAGGAAAGGTAAGTATCAAATCCTCAAAAAGAAAAAACAAAACAAGTTTTTGTCATGAAATTCCTGTCCAAGAATGATGATAGAAGGAAGCTTCTTTAGATACTTAAAATTAGACCAAGTGAGATACACTTGACCACAGAAGAAAACATCCGGGCTTGAAAGAAAAAAAAAAAGAGTGGTGGGGGTTATAATAATTTTATCCCAACTCTCCTTCCTGTAATTTTTGTCATTATAAATCCTGGTTTTTAATATCAATTCTAGGTTCAACTAAGTGGAAGTGCCAATTATAGTTGAGAGGTAGTTGTAAAAATGAATCCCAATTTCAGAGATGTTAAAATGTGGAAAGAAATATGCCTTCGAACAAATGAAAAAGGACACTTAGAAAATAATTTATGGTTTACTTTTAACATTGGCTTGCTTCTTTTCAACCAGTTTCTAGGCTTCTACACTGACAAGTTACAGAAATTTTTCAGCCAGAGGTCACTGTACTCTGATAACCAGGCAGAGACAGAAGGACCTTGATCGACAGATTACTTATTTAAAAATGAGGTCATACTTAGGAAGTCATCAACTGTTAAGGAATATAGGTCTGGCTAGGCACATATAGGTTTCACCAGGGCTGGGACGTTCGAGAAGGAAAAGATGGTGCCCTGGGCTCACCTTTTCACCGCCTGCACCTCCATACTGGCTTTCTTCAGTTCTGCTGTCATTTGGAGTTTGTTTATAGTTTCCTGTGCTGCACTGAAAAGTAACGGGGATTTGTTAGTTTGTTTTATGTTGTGTTGTATTCCGAGAAACTAAAAAGAAAGAGGGAGGGAAAAAGGTAATTTGGCCAGAGTGAAAAAAAACGAACGTTTTAAGAGCATCTACAGATCTCTGGTCATTTTCTCGAAGGAACTCTTCAAAGGCCATTGCATCTTCTTGGAGCTTTTTTTCGGCTCTTGTGAGTTGCCATTCCTTCGCCACCATGTGTTTTTCAAACTTTTTAATTGTATTTCTTTTGGTTGACAGGGCATACTAGGAATATTGAAAACAGAAGTGCACATTATGGCACATTTCCAGCTCATTGCTAGTACATTTCAACAGTCTCATAATAAAGGAAAAATAACTTGCATAGTAAGAGATGACATGTATTAGAAATAATAGCATGCCAAGTCTTGAGACGATAGCCTTTGTTTTATGAAGGAATTTATTTGGGGATCATTAGAAGGGAGACTAATTCCTCTCTTTCACTTTTATGAAGAGGCTCAATATTGTTCCAACATGGCTTTGTCCCACAAATCAAAAGTAGCTACATACCCCTCAGGCTCTATCCTAAAAAATAAAAGTAAAAAACAAAAACAAAAAACTACGTATCTCTCCAAAGAGGAGGTCTACCTGGTATTACCCACAATATACCTCCAGTATTTCTGGGCATTGGGAAATTGGGCTGTCGGCCGCAGTGGCAAAGCCGCCTCCATTAGGAAGGAGCACCGGAGAATGAGGTTTGCACCCTGCTATACCTGTGACACATTCCTCCAAGCTGCCCGAGGGTAGGAGTGTTTAACCAGCCTTCAAGAACCCTGGGTAAATCCCCAAATACAACTTTGATATCTAGCTTTTATTTATTTTTTTTAGTTACAGACTATAAGAGTTCACTATGGTTTTTAATGCCATGCATGAACAAGGAATTATAAATAAAGTCACATACATTATAATATAAATGCATTTAAAATATGTAAATGAGATCATTTTAAAGAAATAACAACCAGGGAACCAGGGGCCAGATAAAGTCACCAGAGGTCGTCAGTAGAGGAGGGGCACATGTGGAGAACAGACTGAGTGTAGGGAGCAAAAGTGGAGGCAGAGCAGTGTTCAGAAGTTATAACAATAATTCACGCAGGTGATACTGGTGACGTGGATTACAGTGGTAGCAGGCGAAGTCATGCAAAGCAGTGTGAGTATGGATATATTGGGAAAAAAATACATTTGAAAGTATATTCGGATGTGGGTTGTAGGTAGGCGAGTTGAGGATAGCTCCAACGTTTTTGGCCTAAGCAACTGGAAAAATGAAATCACTACTCACTGCGATGGGGGCACTGCACGAGATGCAGATTTGCAGGGGTAATGAAGAGTATAGAGGGGCAAAACTTTGGAAATGGGAAGTCTGAGGTGCCTACTGGGCATCTAAGTGGAGATGTTAAGAACTACAGTTGCCTTTGTGAGTCTGGAGTTCAGGGAAGACGATCAGGGTAGAGAAATAAGTTTGGAAGTTGTTAATGGGAAAAGTGGAATTTAGAGCCATGGGCCTGGAGGAGGGTAGATAAGCACAGGGCGAGGAGTGAGTCCGAGGGCGTTCCAACATTTGGAGGTCAGGGAGAAGAAGAAGAAAAGAAAACTGTGAGGAAGCGAGCAGCCAGTGATGGGGAAGGACCGAGACTGTGGGTCCTGGAAACCAGCTGAAGAAGACATTTCAAGAAAGAGGAAGTGACCGAGTGAGCTAACTGCTGCGGAAGGGGAAGGAAAAGGAAGACCGTGAGGTGACGATTTGAACTTGGCAATGGGAAGGTCACTGAGAACCTTGACAAAAGCAGTTTTGGTGGAATGATGAGGACAAAAGCCCAACTGAAGTTGTTTAGGAAAGGATCAGAGGGGCAATAGATCTGGAGCATGTAATGAAAAAATAAACTGTCAAGGTGAAAATTTGGCAATGCTCTGCCAGAGGTCTTCTGTTTGACTAATGGGAGAAAGAAATTATTTTTACTACCTCCAGCAGAAACCGGTCTCTCTGGTCATTAATAAACTCATGAATAGTCCTTTTTGTGTCCGTACCTTCAAAGAAAATTGAAATAGACTTAGGTTTAGTTCATTATCCCTCAAGAGCTTCTATAAGATAAAAGCTATGTAATTAAATTACTGTATTTGGCATGTATCTGACTTAAAAAACCACTATCTCTTCAAGTAAACTTTTTTCCTAATCACTAAAAAACTAATTTCATAATAGTAATTACCATTTATTTTGTGTCCATCAAATTCCAAGAACTTTATTAGACACTTTAAATAAATCATTTTATTTGATCCTAACAATAACCCCAGTGAGGTACATATTTCTGTACCCATCCTGTATGTGAGCTCAGAGATGTCAAGATGCTTGCCCAAGATAACAGAGCTTACACGTGGCAGAAGGGGCATATGATTCCTAAGCCTGTGCTGAAGGAGACCGAGCTGTTTTAAATCTTAGTGTTTTGGCCAATCTGGATATAAAACCGAAGTCTTTTGGCAAAATGCGTGTGGAGATCACAAACCAAATTTACGGCATGAAAGAAAAAGATGACAACTAGCTTTACCATCTAGCAATAAAAAAAGACCAAAGTTTCCTTTCAAGGTTTCTTCGTTCTGGAAAAATTACACATGGGCTGCATTTCAACAATGTTCGCTTCATGAAAAACCAACAGAATGTGGTATAGAACAAAGTCTCTTGATTAAAACTTAAATAGAAGTAGAAACAAAACAGTGTTTCCCAAATAACCAGTGAGCCCATGCTGCACTGGGGAGCCCACAGTCTCCTTGGGTCATATTCCGCCTCCGCCTCTTACTAGCCATGAGATTCCTTGTCTGTAAAAATGAGGATCCTAATAGTGGTAGATTGTATTATTGTTCCAAACTATTTTCTGCCCCTGCCTGGAAGAAGATTATCTCTCCCTCTCTTCACTGGTATTGGGCTTGACCATTGACTTGATTTGGCTCACAGAATGCCAGTGGAAGTGACCTGTGTGGCTGCCAAGCATAAGTTGTAAGAACCACCACTGGTTCCCTCTTCCTCCCTCTGCCATAACTCCAGCAACATAGCAGTCAGGGGTTGATCCTTCAGTGCAGGACACATTGAAAAGCACCAACGTTGAAAGGTGAATGACAGACTTATGTTGTTGCAAGGCACTGAAATTTAGGAATGGTTTATGAGCACAGCACAAATCAGTCTAAGTGGGTCATTGCTATTATCTCTATCTCATAGTGCTATTGTGAGAAGGAAGTGAAGCAACATGCTATAAAACACAGAGGGGCAGAGGGAGAGGGAGAGAGAGAATCTTAAGCAGGTTCCACACCCAGTGTATCAAGAGTAGACGCTTAACTGACTGAGCCACCCAGGTACCCCAACACATAATAACTTCTTAACAATTGTTAGCTATTATTAAAAATACAATTTGAATGAGTAAACACTTAATTTTTCCAGGTCAATAATAATAGCAGCAATAAAATGATTATTTTAATCATTAAAAAATAGTTCTGTAATTATGGGTGACAAACAACAAGCCTTGGAGTCAGACAGGCATTGGTTTGAATTCTGCATCCACCTAGTGACCTTTAATTAGTGATTCAATCTCACTGAGCCATTTTCATCAGAGGAGAAGAGACAGAAATATCTAATAGCATTTTGTTGAGGATTAGATAATATATGTGAAAGTAATAAGCACCTAGTTATAATGGTTTTCTTTTTAACACATAAAAGCTTTTTATTATAGAAATCCTCAACATTCATAAAATTAGAGCCATAAAATGAACTGTCTGTACTTCTCACCTACTTCAACACAATCAACATCTTACCTCTCGTTTCATCTATTGTCACCCCTCAGTTTCCCCCTCACTGGAACATTTTAAAGCAAATCCAAGCCATCGTTATCATTTAATCCATAAATACTTTAGTATTTATTTATCAGATAAAAAAGTTTTATCATCCCAAACAAAATGAACAATTCCTTAGTATCATCTTATACCTAGTCTGGGTTCAAACTTCCCCAGTGGTCTCAAAAATAACTTTTTAGAATTAAAAAAATTAAAATCTAAACAAAGATCAGTTTGGTTGGTATAACTCCTAAAGTCAATTTTTTACCTATAACTGCCATCCCTTACCTCCTCCCAAACTCTACCATTTTTCCATGCCATTTATTGGTTTAAGGAACCAAATCAGGGGTGCCTGGGTGGTCGATTTTGGCTCAGGTCATGAGATCGAGCCCCACACTGGGCTCTGCACTGGGTTTGGAGTCTGCTTAGCATTCTCTCTCTCTCTCCCTCTCCCTCTGCCCCAACCCCACCCCCTCTCTCCCTCTCTTAAAAACCAAAAACAAAAACCAGACCAATTTCCCTGTAGAATTTCCTGCTTAATGGACCTGGCAGATTGCATCGTCATGGTATTATTTAGCATGTGCTCAGTCTCCCATGTTTGCTTGATCAGATTCAGGTTCAATTTACTTAAAAATATTTTTAGTAGAAAAGAAGCATGAAAGTGCTTACTGTAGCTTTCATTTGGTCACTTATGATGGGTCACATGAATTAGAATATATTTCAATATAAAAAAATCCTGTACTGTCCATTTGCTAAATATTATAGTCATGCTTACCATTTCAGGCTACTTTAACATGATACTATCTGGCTGAGTTGATGTGATTTTATTCTTCAAGTCTAAATAGACTGGTTATAGTGGGTTTCCCATTTTGGCTCTTCTAGCTCTCCGGAAGGTTTTTTAACAAAGAGACCGTGTATGACAAAACTGTCTTCCAAGCACTAGTGTTCCTCAACACCAGAGTACCTCACCACTCACTGGGGATGTGATCCAGAGGAGTTTGTTGCTCTTTGAGAGTAAAACCACAGTCAAGCTGCCGGCTGCCTGGAGGGGGCACTTCTACTTTGCAGCCTAATCCATCTGTCTGTGACAGTTACCTGTGTGATTTCTTTGAGGTGATCTAGTAGTTGCCTACTATTGCATACACAAAAATAAAATAACTGGGCTCCCAAAGTAGGGGTCACTTGCCCATTTCACATCACGTAGGCTTGTCTTTAATCAGAATTTAGGCAGGAAATGTAAGGTTGGGAAATGGGGGTTTCAACCAAAGCAACTCCCAATTGGAAAGAGTCTGAGGGGGATTTCTTTATTTTCAGTGAAAATGTCTAAATTGCTTATCTGTGTAATCTGCAGAAACTGACAACCTGATTTCCATTGCTGACAGAGCCCAGATTGTCTTGGATAATACCAAACAGTTTTACCATTTCCTTTTTAAGAGTCTCCTGTATGCCATTTACTGTTAAGAGACCAGTAACCCCTCTGTCACCCAGCCTGGTGTCGAGGCAGGTCATCTGCAAAGCCGTATTTGCTGGTTCTCTCAGAAGTGGTAGTGGCAAGGATTTTTGACGCGAGCTGCTTTGGGTAGAACTCTAAAACAGGTCATGTATTTTAAGTGCCCTTGATGACTTAGGGTTCACCATTCTACAGAGGTGAACTATGAGACACAAGACTGAACCTCGCTATGTCCTATCCGCGGTATAGTCACTGATACTACCGTGCTGCTGACCTTTGCACTTCTTCGTACAACTATAGTGCAGAATATGCAGCTCCAAGATCTAAAGAAGTTCACATGGCGTCCCTCTTCTACACTAATTATTGACTCCAAAGTTCTTTCCCAAGTGTTTCTTTTTTGTTGTTCTCTGAAGATTTTTTTTTTAAATCACAGTTTGGCAAAGTTACCCAATTTTTAAGTTATCACAGCAAATCCTGGGCACGCAATGTATCTTTCTTCCTCCCTTCTTCCCTTCCTTTCTTCCTTACTTTTTAATTTTAACTTAAAAATTTAGACAAGACTCATCTTGGGGGAAGATTTTATGACCCCATTATCCTAGCATTAATCACTTCAACCTCACTTCAAACTGCTTTCTGTCTCATTTGTAAGCATTTCTTGATCTGATAAGTAAGAAAAGTCCATGACATTTTGATTAACATATTGTTCCTTTTCATAGAGCAATAATTAATATCCTGTAATATTTTATCATGTTGCTCTCAAGTGCCATTAAAACAGGTTGTGTTTTTGCAACAACAGGAAAACTTATTTAATTCTGTTAGCTTCCTGATTCTGGATATATGAGCTGTATGGCGTGGAAAATAAACACTTGTCTTTAGAAAGTTTCTATATATTTCTACATTTAGAAATGAGTTTAAATGGCCTTAGCCATAACCTTTAATACTGTATCATTTTGGCAATGACTTTCTTCCTTAGAGCCATGAAAATGAGTAACAATCTATTTCTTGGAAAAGTATGTTTTCTTATTTAAAATAGATTTTGTCCCGACTCTCAGTTTCCATTTACAGAGTACCTCCCCCCAACCATAGTATGAGACAGCATACCATTTTTTTTTTTTTACCTCCAGGAAAGCCCCTAAACCTGACATCAACAGTAAATATTCAAAACAATATTCTTAAACAGTAATCTAGACTTACCTTCTGTTAATCTTAGAATAAGAGTGGGATCTAGCCCAAATTTTTCAAATGAGCCCCCAGCTGTGTCAGCGTAGAATGCTACTTGGCCCAGGTGTGAACGACTCTTCATTCGAGATGAAAAAGTAGACTTCTGGTAGACTTTCATGCTGCGGTTCATAATTTTTTCCTGCCCAAGTGCAAAAGTTTAAAAGAATTTCTAATATAACAAAATAATGTTGTCTTTAAAAATAGTAATCAGATATAAAAATATCATTTACAAAATAAGTCTCTTCCTCATTACTAGTAAATTTCTCATTACTAATACATTAAACAAGCGACTTTGAGTTCTTAATCTCTGAGGGACCGGGTATAGTTTGCAATTCCTTCTCTTATGAAGCTGAGCACAAATATAAAGACATTCAATATTTACTAAACATGTACCTCATAAATACTAGCCTGAAAAGTGTTCTGGCTTTATTTTCATTTTTATTTTTTAATCCTTGTGTTGCCCAGCTGCAGGTAACTTGGAAATTCCACTGATTTGAAAGGACTGGTTCTGTGGAATTGAATTGAAAACTTGAGAGGAAATGGACCTCCCCAGTAGACATAAATAAATTAGCCTTTTTTAAATTCATGAATCTTTGCTCAATTTAATTTTGGACACCTTCAATAAAACTAACACAAGCATAAAACCTTCACCTTACAGATGAATCTGTTATTGAGCATTTCTAGTTTCTTCATTCTAAATAGAATCAATCTTTACCTCTAGAAATAAGGAAAGCAAACCTCTTGAAATTCAAATCATGTAATAAATGGTATAATAATATAAGTAGTGAGATTAACTGCAAAGCACAGCTTTGTTAGCCTCATCTCTGGTTTAGCTTCATACCAAATAATTCTAAAATGACTCCCTCCTCCACTTTTGTTCCTACTTCCTTCTCTGCCCCTCTTCCCTAATACATACATATACATTCTCTTATCTGTATCTGGCTGGCAAATTTTAACTTACTCTTAACAATTCAGCTCTGGCTATGTCTTCAGTTAAGTCTTTGTGTGCGTGCGTGCACAGAGACAACCACACACACACATACACACCACCACCACAGTTATCCTTCTCTCCAACAAAGATGGTCACTCCTTTCTCTACATGTCTTTTGCTCTATTACTGTATTTTATCAACTCTAAGATACCATTTATTGTAGATGCACTATTGTTTTATGCACTGCTAATTATGCATGGCAACCCATCTATATAAGCTGGATCCCAATTTCAGGAATGAGAAAATGTGAAAAAATTATGGGCATTAGAATCAATGAACTGGGATCTACCATACTTGTCATATGTGATGGTCACAGTGTGTCTGTCTTCCCCCAGGGGGCAGTGATCATTAGGTCCTTACCATGGCTGGATGTTGTTCCTGTTGTACGTGCTTACACCCCAGCATAGTGTGCGATGCATTCACCCACACTTGACCCCTTGTCTTAACCCAGCAAAGTTCATAAAAGTGATGGATAAGAGGATAAATTTCTAACATTAATTTGGATTGGGCTTTTAATCAAACTTTACCTTTTTCTTTGCTGCCATTTCATTTTCTTTGAAAAGAAACAGATCTTTGAAAAAGATCTTATATGGCTTGTCCTTTTTGACTGAGTCATCTTTTCCTTTATCTGTTAAAAAAAAAAAAAAAAGAAAAAGAAAAACATCTGTCATCCCTGCTCTGTTGACCAGAAGGGTAATGCTTCCACCAGCCAGAATGGAGCAGGTGGATAGGTGGGTCTCTGGGAGGAGGACACAGGCAGCCTCTGCCTCTCCAATTGAGGTAGAGATTCAGGGCCTGGATCTCAAGGGCCAAAGACACAGCTCATCTGTCTGTTTCCCATGGCACCAAGTACAGTGCTTAATACTTCAGGGGGAATGAGTCTGTATTTGTTATGTGAATAGATAAGGGGGCCTATTACAGGATAGTGGGATCATATTTTGAGGCATTAAGATTTTGCTTCTTCCCATCGCTACAAATATATGTACTATTACCATTACACCGCCCTTTTGGTAGCAATAGACACAGCCACTACCCTTAGGGACATCCTCGGTCCATACTAGAGAGTCATCCAAAAAAAAAAAAAACAAAAAAAACAAAGATAATGACAAGTATTGGCAAGGGTGTGGAGGAATTGGAATCTTAACCTTCTGCTAATGGGAATGCAAAATAATGCAGCCACTTTGGAAAACAGCCTCAAAAAGTTGAGCATATAGTTGCCATGTGACCCAGCCATTCCACCCCTAGAAATGAAAACATATGTCCACATGAAAACTTGTACATAAATATTTATAGCAGTATTATACATAATAGTCAACAGATAGAAACAACCCAAATATCCATCAACTGATGAATGGATAAACAAAATGTGGTATAGCCATACAATGGAATATTAATCAGACATACAAAGGATACATACTCTAAGACTGATGAAACTTGGAAATATTATACTAAGTGAAGGAAGCCACATGAAATCCCTACATTATAAGATTCCATTATATTCCAGGAAATGTCTAGAATAGGCATATCCATGGAGCTAAAAGGTAGATTAGTGGTTGCTTAGGGCTGGAGGGGAGATAGGGGGTTATGGCTAAGGGGTGCAAGGTTTCTTTCTGAGATGACAAAAATGTTCTAAAATGGACTGAGAATTGGCTGTTTGCCCAGGGATTCAGTTGGGAAAGTGGGGAATGTCTGGGATAGAAACCTCAGGCAGGTTTATCTGTAGGTAATAGGTTAGGGAGAAAGAAAATTGCAGAGTGGAAGCTTTGAGCTCAACACGGAGTGTGCGGTGTTCTGATCACCTCCGATTCACATTGTGGGTAAAGGAAGGATCCCCTGCCCCAAATAGTATGAGATGACCGAACATATGACACACCACTCTGGACTGATGAGATAGATAGCGGTTTATTAGTCACTTATACTCAAGCCCTGGGGAGGAGGACACCACCTGCCATGCAGGGCCACATCAGGAGCAGAGTGAAACAGAGGGATGGCAGGAAGCAGGCTTTGTAGTAACGAGAGGGTGAGGTGCCCCCTGCTTCCCCCAAGAGGATGTAATTGACTTGTGAAACCCATCAGGATGAAAACCAGTAGAGTATAACTGGTCCAGCTGATGGGGAAATTGCTGGGTGGGGAACGTGTCTCACTGGGTGGAAGTCAAATCTGGCAAGAACAGGAAGACTTACAGTTAGGTCTTTGTGGCTCTGTGAGGCTCAAAGATGCCAAGGCAATACATGAAATCTTAGGCCTTATAATACATGAGCAAAGACAGGTGAGGGTGGGTCCAGGCAGCTGGGCTTGGAGACAGCAAGAGTATGGAAGGGCATAGCCAACAGGCTGAGGCCCAGGAGGAGGCAACAGAAGTCAAAGACCAAAAGGGACTTGGGGTTGAGAGGCATACAGAGTTCATGACCTGGACCCTATACCACCACTCTCAGGCCAGAGCTAGACCCAACATCCCAGGATGGGACCACTGATGCCATCCAAAGGGTGATCATTGGTAGGCTGGACATCTCTCCCTCAACCAACCCTCTCTCCTCCCAAGATAAACCTCACAAACTTACTGTCCACCCCACCTTTGGTGGCTTAAAGTCTTGAATGCCCGAGTTTAAATCCTGTCTGACCAAGTTTCAGTGTCCTGGATTCACAAGATATTTTTCCCCCTCCAAGTCCAAAGCCAAGTTCCTTTTGGTTATAAATAGAAAAAACTAAACTCTAAACACCAAGTATAGTAGTTTCCTATGGCTGCTATAATAAACTATAAACTTGGCAGCTTAAGGCAACGGAACTTTATTCTCTCACAGTCCCGGAGTTCAGGAGTCCATAATCAAGGTGTCAGCAGGACTATGCTCCCTCCAAAGGCTCTGTGGGGGAATCCTTCCTTGTCTCTTTGAGCTTCTGGTGGCTTCAGGCATTCATTGGCCATGTAACTTCAATCTTTGCTTCTGTGTTCACAGGGACTTCTTTTTCTCCCAAAGACACGTGTCATTTAGGATTTAGGACCCACCGTAAGTCCAGGATGATCTCGTCTTGAGGTCCTTACCTCAATTACATTTGAAAGACCCTTTTGCCAAATAAGGTCACGTTGCAGGGGTAAGGACACGGAGAGCTACCATTTTGGAGGGACCACTTTCAACCCATTCTAACAAGTTTTTGTTATAAAATTGTTATAAACTGAATGAGTGAATTATAAACTCACTCTAAGCACTGGCCCTTAGCCAACCCTTCTCCCCACCTGAGTCACTTCCTAGTCTCACAGAAATGGGGCCACTATAACAAATCACCACAAACGGAGGGCCTTAAAACCGCAGACATTGATTCTCTCACAGTCCTGAAAGCCAGAAGTCTAAGATGAAGGTGTTGGCTTGGTTCCTTCCGGAGTTTCTGTGGGAGAATCCATGGCATGACTTTCCCCAAGCCCATGGAAAGTGCCTACAGAGTGCCTGTTACCTGTAACACACTCTTGGTGTTACCAATGTTCAAAGCTTTGTCAAATTTGTAAGTGACAAAGAAGTTATTCTTCTATACCGATCAATATGAATTCCTTGTTTACTTGTAAAGAAGCAAGAGGAGGAGAGAAAGGCTGGAAAACGAAAGGAGAGGACAGATTTTGATAAAATGTAGTTATTCATGTCCTTTATTATGACAAATAATTGAGTTAATTGTCTTATGTTATGAAATTCCCTAGCAATCTAGGTAAATATGACCATTTACTGCCTCTCTGATGTGAAGATTTTTCTTTGCGGAATTAAAAAGTGGAAGAGAACCTTCTCAGCAGGCCATTCATAAACTCTTTACATAGAAAGGCCATGTCTGATGCTTGTCGTTTGGTATTTTCCTTTTGCTACGTGCCCCGATTCACTGTGGAGACTGACCATACCAGGCACAAAGCAAGAGCTCATCGACAGATTTCCTCTTTACCTTCAGGAGCCAGTGATACCGGCAAAAAATGTGATGACATTTTGTCTCCTGGCCCTGTCCAAAGAAAAGGAAAGACATTAAAAATAAATGCTGTAAGCCTGAGCATCAGGTGATGTATCACTAAATGGTACACCTGAAACTAACGAACATTGCATGTTAACTAACTGGAATTGAAATAAAAATTTAAAAAAAAAAAAATTCTGTAAACCTTGCATAAAGGGGCAAATTCAACAGCCAGTGATTCCAAATAGCCTTCATTGCTTTTAAAAGCACAACCTCTTTGGCCCAGCAATTCCAAATCTGGGAACTTATCCCAAGAAAATAATCAGGTAAGTGGGCAAAAAATAGTATGTACAATAATATTTGTTGACTCCGTTGATTAAATAAGTCCGGTATACCCATAACACGGATTGCCGCGTGGCCCCTCAAAACAATTCTGTAGTCACTATTCCCTCCCTTAACTATATCTTAAAAGTGAAAAACAAAATATTTCAAAAGGGTGGGAGTAGCGTGGATAAAAAAAACACCTGCCAAATCAGATGTTTTGAAAAGTTGTTCACCAAACATTAATAGGGCTGGTCTTTGATTTGGAGCAACCTCTCCTTGCATTTCTATCAGGTTTGGGATTAGGGTTAGGTGCAAAATATAAGGAAGTAGCCCCCAAAACTCAGTTATCAAAATAAATAACATGTTAATGCAGTTTTTTTAAAAATTCCAAGTCAATGCAGGAAAAAAATCCATGGTGAACAAAATACCAAGACCTTATATACAGACAGGATCTGACTGTGCGCCCCATGACCCGGAGAGCAAGCCCCTCCCTTGCCACACCTTTGTCCGGCCCACAGATCTCGCCTTTATGTACATTTTTGACATTTTGTTCATCATGGAATTTTTTGCATTAACTTTTATTTTTAAAAGTAGTGAATTAAAATGTTGTTTGTGTTTGCCCTCCCCTTTAAGTTTTGCACCAAAGGTAAATGTTTCCCTTGTTTCACCCTAATCCTTGTCTTGAATTTTTACACTTTTTTTATATTATTGTTTCTCAATGAATTTGCATTATTTTTACAATAAAAAAAGTAACAATGCTATTTTCTTTGGGGAAAGAAAAAGGATATTCAGGAATTTATATAAAAAGGTGTGCCCACACCAGTAACAATGGGACAAACAGCCTATTTCAGTTTGCCTGTTTAAATTTTTGCCTCAGTTCTCTTAAAGAGCCACGTTGAAGAGACTCCCAGAGGCATTTGTAGCAGATGATTAAAGATCCAGACTTTGGAACAGAGAAGCCTGTTCGTTTGATATTTACAGATGTGTGAGCAAGATCATTTAACATTCAAAAAATATTTATTGAGTATCTACTGTGTGCCAGGTACTGTTCTGGATGCCAGAAACAGGACAATTTAAAAACGATGACAACAATAACAAACGACAAAAAAAAAAAAACCCAAAACACCACACTTTCTTCGTGGGGCCTACATTTTAATTACTTAGCAGCTCTGAGCCTCAGGTTCCTATTCCATAAAATGGGAATATAATCTCACCTCTGAAAGCTTTTTAAAGGATGCGATGACATAATGTGTATAAACAACCAAGCAGGGCACCTAGCACCCCGAGCAAACTCAGTAAGTGGGAGAAATTTTGTGCTAATATTTACCAAGGAGAATGTGATTTTACTTCCAGTGATTATAAGAACAAAAATGAAAAAGAGAAAAGAAATTATGTTAAAGCTTATAAAAGAAAAAGACTAACAAAAACCTATGTCATTGATATTATACTTTTTCAGATTACTGAAGATTTTTTTCCACAGGCATTGAGTTCATTCTGACAGTGGAAAAGAAGGGTCGGTGAAAAATTGATGACAGTCTGTTGGGTTGATGTATTTGGAATTTGGATGGCCAATATTAGGAGATTTTTGTATATTTATTTACACACGCTGCACTCATCCAAATCCCTAAGATTCTGCTCACCTCTTTCTTGACATACTTTTAATCTTTCAATTCTCTTATCTATCTAAATTCACTCCCCTATCCATCCCCACTTTCATTCACTTTATCCTAAGTCTACTTGCAACAAAAATCCTTATCCATGGATTCTGGCACTTTTTCCCTCCTAGAAAGACCAGAAGTTCTCATTCTTCTAAACCAACTGCTAGAGCTCTGATTCCAGCTCTCCAATAATTCATAGAACATGTTGAATGGAACCAGTAATCTCTAGAAGTTGTTATACTTCTATACTTATGTACTTTTAATCTCCCTATTGATTAATGAAGGGTTGGTGAAAAACAGAAGAGAGAAGAGAGCCAGCTATTCCTAGAAGGGATTATAAGGTTCTCTGAACTAAACCAATATGATGTGCCAACCAGGAAAAGAAAGTCAAAACCAGCGAATGTCTTTGTTGTGCAAAATAAAAATAGCATGACTAAACAAAGGCTCTGTACTGAAATAGAGGGAAAATGTCATTGGATTGCATGGCAAATGCCTGCAAATTCACATCTCAAATATATGTTTAAAAACACATATATGTTCAGGGCGCCTGGGTGGCTCAGTTGGTTAAGCGAATGCCTTCGGCTCAGGTCATGATCCCGGAGTCCCGGAATCGAGTCCCGCATCGGGCTCCCTGCTCAGCGGGGAGTCTGCTTCTCCCTCTGACCCTCCCCCTTCTCATGCTCTATCTCAGTCTCTCTCTCAAATAAATAAATAAAATCTTTAAAAAAATAAAAACACATATATGTTCAAATCCAACTTCTGACAAATGAAAAAGATGAAGAGCTCAGAAAAACGAGGGCTTTAAAATGGTGATGTGTGACTTCAAGCCATCGTTTTCAGAGGTGGCAGAGGCTAGTGGGGAAGAGCATGGACTCTCATTATGCTCCTTAATCCCCACGCTTCAATTTCCCCATCTTTCAAAAGGGCGGATAAGAATAGCGCCTACCTCATGAGATGGTTAAGTGAGTTAACATGTGTCCCCCACTTTGGACAGCACCAGGTGCTCAGTGAGCACCATAGCAGTGTAAGCCCATGGGGAAAGCATTCTAAAGAGCAAGGATGCCCTGTGTGTTTGAGGAACAGCAAGGAGATTCGTGGAACTTAAGCATAGTGAACAAAGTGCAGAGTGATAGATGAGATCAGAGAGATCTCGAGGGCCCTGTGGGTCATTTCCTCAGTGAAATGAGAATCTGGAATGGACCACTCCGTCTGCTGAGCTGGGAAGAGACTGTACAAGAGGGTGAGGGTGGAGTAAGGCCACCTGTTGGGAGGCTACAGTCATTGGGAGGGAAGAGATGAAGTGGTGAGAGGTGGTCAGATTCTGGCTACCTTTGGAAAGTAGAGCCTACAGGACTGGCTGATGGTTTGGGTGTGGGGAATGAGATAAAGAGCCCAGGAAAGAAAGAATGGAGTTTTGATCGATGGAGACAGAGCGGCTGTGGGGGAAGGGGCAACTGGGAAGATCAAAGGTTCAGCTGGGAACATGTTACATTTGAGATATGTTAGACATCTAAGGGGGTATGGGTGTAAAATATACTGTTCTCCCAAGTGAACACCATACCGGTTGATTTAATTAATGCTAGCATTCCTCTAACATTATGTGGCCGCTGAGTCAGATTTTTGATGTGTATCATCACAGAGGTAGCATGGATGACCTTATGGAAAGACCTTGGCCTTGACGGCAGGCAGGTTTGAATCTTGCCTTTGGCTCTTATCAGCTCTTTCTCTTAGGCCTATCCAATGAAACTCAGTGCAACTTAGGTTCTTCTATCTGGTATGAATACTAATACCTTCCTTAACAGGCTTGTTGCAATTTTCAAACACAGGTAATGCATGCAATGTGCCTACTCACGGTAAGCTGATAGGGAAATAATTGCCTATAATTTCTTCAAGGCAGATATCCAGATCTGTCTTCTCTCTAGTCTGCTATGTCTTGTGAATAACCACTAGCATTTGAAAAGGAGGGATAATTGACAACCAGCTTTCGTAAGAAACCCTGAACTCAAATTCTCGAAACCAGTTCATTGGAGAGGAATCTACCAGCAATATCAGTGCAAACGTGGGGAACCTGACCCATCTTCGTGCACATTCTTAACATTCCAAGCCTCATGGAAGTGGAAAAAGAGGAATGGGGTTTTATAATGCCCAATCCCAAAGTCCAAGACCAACTCCAAATACAATGAACAATAACAATATTTACCAGATAATATTTGAAGCAGTTTCTGCTGGACTTTCTCAACAACTCTCTCTGCAACTCTGTGAAAATGGATTTCCAGTTTCTCAGTAGGAGATAAAAAGCTTTGTTTATCTCCCATATGCAAACAAAGATTTAGACAGATTCAGACCTAAAGCCTTTCCGTTTTTGCCCACCTCCTTCCCACCCACTTGGACAAATACTAGGAGAAAGGGCTGTAAACTGTGTCCTTGGATGGTGTGGGGAGACCAGAGCTAGCAATTTTTTGTTTACCTGAGAGCCAGGAGCCACTAGGTCCTTGGCCTGCTCAACGACCTACTTCTTTTGATTAGGTCAGAAGCAGAGCACAGGGATGAGGAAATTACCTTCAGCTCGACCTTTAAGGCCCTGCTGGCGTATTTTGTGTGGACTTTCCTGTTGACATTTCTGACTGCCCCTTTTGCTGAAACTGAAAACAAAACAAAACAAAACAAAACAAAAAACACCTGGGGGTCAAGAGGAAGGAGGAGAACAGGAGAAGACGGCCAATGTAAGATGATGTAAAAAGTACTATGTGAACGAAGAAGTGCTATGGGGATGTTGGTTATCACTGAGGAAATAATCTATAATTATGTATTTAAAAATGACCAAGGGGGAGAGAAGCCCACTCTTGTCCTTCTTGCTTCTGCAAACTTCTTGTTTGCAGGGGCTTTTCAGGCCATGTTGGATATCTGGACTGTAATCAACACACTCTGTTCATCCACAAATCAACAGCCCCGTGAATAGAATGACCATTTCTTCTTTTTTACTTCCCCAAAACTTGGAAGCTTTCAGTTCATGGTACATTCTGTGAACTCCTGGCTGAAATCTCTTGAATTTAATTGACCAAGAGGAGAAATAACAGGATTAAAATAAACTAGCAGCAGCAGAGGCGGCAGTAGTAATAGTATAATAATAAGAAGAAGAATTACACCTATTATTTAGAGCTAGGCACTGGGCAAAGTGTTTTCCATTTCATCTTCTCTAAAGCTCAAACGAGTCCATAAAACAATTACCCCTTGAGGAGATGGATGAGAAAACTGAGGTTTGGGAAAATTAAGGACATTTCCCAAGGTCAAATAGCTCATAAGTAACAGAGTGGGATTAAGACCAGTTTATGGGACCCAAAGCCTTCTATATTTCTATATTGTCACCCCCTCCTTTACCCCTACAACTTCATAAATCTGCACATATGCCTGTGATTGCAAAATGGAACAGATTCAAGTCTTAGCAGATATGTTAGAAAATTTTAATATTTCTCTATGAATTAGTGACTTTATGTATTTGCTCTCCACTATTTCTATTTCCCTTGTATTATTCCTCTCTACACACCTTTCTCTTTAAACTGTGTATAGACACACACACATCTGTTTGTGATTTTGTGTCTGCCCGGTGAGTAATATATGGATTCCCACCCCGCTCTCCGTCGGGGTCTCTTTTACTCACATTCTCTAATGAACTCTTTTCCATTTTTTTCCTTTCCTCTCTCTTTACTACCAATTGATTTCTCTCTTGTAAGACCAAAATACAAAGCTAAAGTATATTCTTATTTATTGTGTTCATCTAAAGGATTTTTTTGCTTTCTCTTGTTTTTTAGTGGCTTTTAAAATAACCCTAAATTTACTTACTTTTATATTTTATGGTTTTACAGGCTTCAGCCTTTGATGGTCTGTTATTCCTGTTTCTAAACTGTCTTCCTTTACAGTGTAGTTTTTACGAGGCAGGGAAAGTGCCTTTCCTGTCTGTACGTTCCACAGCCTAACACAGAGCTTCTAATAAAAGTGTATAAACAAAATAAAATAATTAAGAGGTAAAACCCAGTGCCTGCCAATGTTTTCACAGCAGTTAAGAGGTGAGAAGAGATGTGGGTGAGAATTACAGACCATCTTCCTTAAACAAACTTGATTCCGTCTCCAACCTTGGCGGCAAATTGAGAGTAGGCCCCCCCCAGATACAGTTGGGGTGAGGAGTGGGGGCGGACACGGAGCTGTAACCACGTTTACCTGCAAGAGTTTGGATCCAGGAGCGGGTCCAAACCTATCCTTCAGGAAGGCGTTCGCGGACGCTGGGCAGAGGAGCCAATGGATTCTCTAGTCTCGGCTCTATCCTCCCCCGCCAGGATCCCCCTTCATCTCGGGGACCTTCTAGTAGGGGATCCCGGAGCAGAGCTGGCCAACCGAAAATTGTGCGCGGCACCCGCCACCCTGCTCCACGGCCGCGCGGACCCAGGAGCAACTCCCCCACCGCGCCGCCCTCCTCCCCACCCGCGGGTTCCCCCTGCCGGCCGCCCGTCGCGTCCCAGCCCGCTGGGCAGGGGCTCCCCCACGCTGCCCCTCCCGGGTCTCTATGCTCGGTTCCCGCCCGGGCCGCTGGGGAGAGGTTTGCCCCCCCCCGGCCCCATCTGCGTAACCTGGCCCTTCGGGGACCCCCCTTCCGCCTGGCCCTGTGTTCAACGGAGCCCGGTAACCCAGCTCCAGTTTCCTAATCTAGAAAGTAGGGACAGTGGTCTCCACCACATTTACCCTGAACATTGACTGGGCGACCAAAAAATAGAGGAGATTCCATGATCGCGTTTATTACTAATCCTCACTCGGGTTGTTGGCACCCGCGCTGCCGCGGCGCCGGCCGAGGGGGAGGCGCGCCCTCCGCGGCGGCTGGGCAGGGCGGCGGCGGCGAGCGCCCGCCCCGGCTCCACCCTCCCTGCCCCGCGGCACCGCCCGCCGCCCCGCGCCCTCCTCCGCCCGCCCGCCCGCCTGCCCCGCGCTCCGGCCGGGCGGCCTCCCGGAGACCCGCGGCGCGCGGCGACATGGCTGGCGGCCACCGCCTCCTGCTGGAGAACGCGCGGCAGGTGGTGATGGTGTGCGGCCGCGGCGAGCGCTTCCTGGTGCGGGACGCGCTGCGCAGCCTGGCCGTGCTGGAGGGCGCCAGTCTCGTGGTGGGCACGTAAGTGGCCGCGCGCTGGGGGCACCGGGCAGCCGAGGCCGGGCCTGGCCCCCTTTCCCTAACTTGGGCGCTGTGGAGGGAAGCGGGTAAAAGCTTTCCCGCATCCAGGGAGCCACCGAGGGCCTTTCAGGCACCTGCTGCTACCTACCTCGTGTGACAGCTTCGGGTAGTCATTCGGTGAAAAAAAAAAAAAAACGCTCTCAGGCCGAACCCCCGTCCCTCTTCCTCCCTACCCCCAGGTCTTTGGAATCAGCATCTCTGTGGTGGAGTTCTGGGACTTTGAATTTTTACAAAACACCCTCCAGCCCAACCCCCTTTGTATACTAAATTTGAGAACCACGAAAGACGTTCAGATGGTTTGGGGCTGATAGGAAATTCAGAAAAAGAGGACATTTTTCAGTTTTTTTCATTTAACCCTCTGTGCTTCCTGCTAGACGTGACTAAAAGAACAGGCAAAGTTTGGGCGGGGGAACCTACAGTGGGAGTGGGGTTCCGTTGCCGATTTGAATTGGAGAGCCCCACCGCCCCGCGATTGCGCCAGATGGGCTCAGCCCTTATCTGAGGCTGCTTAGGGTTGTGCAAGAGTCCAGCTTTTAGGGACTGTGTGTTTTTAATTAACAAAGGGATAAAAACATTCCCAGTGTTACTGTTAAAAATTTGTTAAAAACCAGTTAACAGAAGTGCACAGAGGTAGGAATCCAGGTCTAATTGATGGCCATACTCTATGGAGTTCTGAGGCCCTACTATCTTCCTCTGGTGTGCACAACCCTTTCTCACTCCCTCATCCAAGATGGCTGCTCCACCTCTCCTTACGGAGTCTACCTTCCAGACAGTGGAAAATAGGAAGAGAAAACAGACCTATTGGTTAGAATTTAGTCACATGGCGGCACCTGGATGATGGGAAACCCAGAAATGTAGGCTTCATTCTGGGTGTTCATGTGTTCAGCTAAAATTTAGGAATCTAGCACTGTGGGGAAAAGGGAACATTGATCTTGGGGAACAGTTAGCCATCTCTATACATACGATTTGACTCTTTGGCTTCCATGCGGCTGCAGTCATTTTTTTTTTTTCTTCAAAGACACAGATGCAAGAAGGAAATATGATAAATGTTGACTGATACCAAAAGACATGGGCAACATATTTTAAATCCTTAGTCAGCTCTTCCACAGTATTTCCCCAAACTTTGGTAATTATTTCTTGATTTTTCTTCAGGGATGGGCTTATAAAAGCCATCGGTCCTGCTGATGCGATCCAAAAAATGTTTTCTGAAGAAACGTTCGAAGAAAGAATTGACTGTTCTGGGAAATGCATCTTGCCGGGTATTAACCTCTTTTTTCAGTAAAGCCCTGCAACCAGTTTTAGCAATGTAAAGAGGAAGAGTGGCAGCTTCTTTTAAATAGGGTCTCGAAATAATATTAAAATATAATAATAGCTACCATGCATTGAATTTCTACTACTGAATGTCTAGGTGCTTTGCAAACATGTTTTCATCTTGAATCCTTCTAACTGCCCTGTAAGGTAAGTATCCTTATCTACATGTTACAGATTAGAGCACCCCAGTTTAGGGATGAAATATCTTACCCAAGATTGCTGGACAGGGAAAGGGCAAGCTGGGAATCAAACCCACTCATTATGTCACTTTGTCCCACTCACATGCTGAAGAGAAACAGGTTGTGTTGTGTTTAGGTTCAAAAGCTGTTGGAAGAACTTTACTAATCTACTTCATATGGGAGGCAGAGAGGGCAAGCTGCTGCTTCTAATACCAGAATAGATTCTAAATTTACATGGAGTGTGAAACAACACATCTCTAGGCCGAAAAGTGGGGGAGGAGGGAATCCCTAGAGATTTCACTGAAGTTTATTTATATCTTACTGATGGACAACAAAATCAGTTTGTTAACCATCATCTCCCACATTATGTTTTCTGGCTTCATGAAATCCTCTGAAACGAGTTTCACAAATTTTGAGTCCTACACAAAACACAGAAGCTAAGATTTATATTTTTAAAATGTCTACTGTGCGTATCTGATAGAGCTTCTATCTTCCATCTCTTGGGAGTCAGGAAATAAAGTCAGAGTGCAAGCTTATGAAAAAGAGCAGAAAATACTAGAAAGCAATCTGAGTAGAGATTCTTGATTTTTCGTCCAGTCAGAACCACTAACGAGACATTTAATCCACTTAATCCAGGTATTTTAAATATTATGGAAAGCCACGCTTCACTTGAGTTGTGAACCGTTTGGATAAACAAACGGTTCACACGATTGCTTTATAGTTTCTCTTCAGTTAAACTACATTTCTTTTTGAAGGAAGATTCATATTTCTGATTTCATATTTTTCCTTCTCAAAGTGGGGAGAGATTGTACTCTGTTTTCACACCCAGATTATTCCTTGGTGATATAGTCTGTGGTTTTGCTCAACTGATAGATATGACATCCTGTTTCAAAAGCTTGCTTGGTGAGCATGGACTTAGTGGGCAAAAGGAGCTGTATTTCTTTAATGGATATTCTCATCATGCAAAGTCACCCTCTTCCATTAAAGCCTTCTAGACCAGCCATGCTGAGAGTCTTCTTGTTCCCTGTCTGTGGAGGGAACCTACAGACAAATTCCTCCTCCCCCCACCCTCCTCCAAGATGGCTGACCATCATCTACCTTTCCCAAGAGTGGTACGGGATAGTCTGCCTGATATCTAAGTGCTTTCTATTTCTCAGCTTTAAAGATGATTTGATTTATTGATTACAGGTTTGGTGGATGCACACACACATCCAGTATGGGCTGGTGAAAGAGTTCACGAGTTTGCAATGAAGGTAACTACAGTAAATGATGACAAATCAAAATAAGGCACAAATACAGACAAGTCTTTCTAAAGAGTTGGTAGGCTATCAGGCTTTGCAACATATGCCTACATTTCTTTTTCATGGATATTTTTACTGGCCTGGACTATGGAAAATAAATTGCAAAAAAACTAACTTATAACTGTCCAAATACTTTGCACAGGCCCAGCAATCATTATAATAGTTTTCAAAAATTTTTAGCTGTAGAATCCTTATGTATGTGTGTATGTATGTATGTTTTAGAATCCTCCCTTTAAAAAAATGCTGAGCTGCCTTGGGGCGCCTGGGTGGCTCAGTCGGTTAAGCGTCTGACTTTGATTCAGGTCATGATATCAGGCTCCTGGGATCGAGCCCCAGGTTGGCCTCAGCACTTGGCAGGGAGTCTGCTTGTCCCTTTCCCTCCTCCTCTGCCCCTCCCCGCCTCACTCTCTCTTTCTCTCTCAAATAAATAAATAAAATCTTACCAAAAAACCCCTAAGACCCAAAAACAGAGCTGAGCTGCCTTGCTCACTAGTTCCTCCTTTCTTTCCCTTCTCCCATTTCACTTCTCCACCTCTGGGGGGTCTTTGAAGGGGCTCCAGGATACCGTTTGAAATTCACCATTCATTGGTTCAAACTTGGAAAAATATATTGCTAATCATAAAAATAAATTAAGTCTTGTATTTCCCCCCCCCCCAAAATGAGACTTATTGAGAAACATAAAGTGTAGCCTACGTCACAAGTCATTAATTAGCCAGGGCCAACCCTCAAATCCATGGTTGGAGCCGTTTTCACATTGTTTCTTTCTAATAGATTTTAATTTTTAGAGCAGATTTTATTTTTTAGAGCCAACTTGAGTGAGAGGTACAAAGATTTCCCACATACCTGCCCCCACACATGCACAGCCTCCCCCCATGATCAACATGCCCCACCAGAGCGGTACCTTTGTTAGAGCTGATGAGCCTACATTGACACATCACTGTTACCCAGAGTCCATAGTTCTTATTGATGTTTTCTCTTGGTGCTGCACATTTTGTGGGTTTGGACAAATGTATAATGACACATATCCACCATTATAGTATCATATAGTGTGGTTGAACTGCCCTAAAATTCCTGTGTGCTCTGCCTATTCATCTGTCCCTCCCTGAACCCTGATAACCACCGACCTTTTCACTGTTTCTTTCTTTTTTTTTTTTTAGATTTATTTATTTTAGAGATGGGGGGGTAGGGGCAGAGGGAGAGGGAGAGAGAGAATCCCAAGCAGACTCCGCACTGAGCCCAGAGCCTGATGCAGAGTTTGATCTCACGACCTGAGATCATGATCTGAGCCGAAATCAAGAGTCAGATGTTCAATTGACTGTGACACCCAGGCGCCCCAGCTGTTTCTATCATACTGCCTTTTCCAGAACATCATCTAGTTAGATTCATACAGTACATAGCCTTTTGGATCGGCTTCTTTGACTTAGCAATATGCATTTAAGGTTTCTCCATGTCTTTTCTTCACATTGTTTTTTTTTTTTCAAGTGTATACCCTAACAGCTAAGAATTTTCTTCAGACACTGGGTACCTTCTTCAACAAACTAGAGCTGTTTTTAAGACTTCTTTATTAAAGCACACAATTGCAGAGCCAAAAAGCAACCCTAGAGATTTGCAGTCCAAGCATCTCACTACATAGATGGGAAGCATGAGGTCCAGAGAAGGGAAGGGTGCGGGGTGAGTTCTCCAGCTCACCTTGGCAAAACCCGGGCTGGTATACTTCATTTGTGCCGCACTCCTTGCTGCCCAGAGTAACTGGAGCCCAGTGGGATCCCAGGAAGAGCTTCTTTGCTTGAGTGACAGAGGTCAGACCCCAAACTCTAGTAGCCAGACACGGAGAGGTGGAACCCCCCCGGGGCTCTTTCGTGGATATTTGGAATAACTGCAGTGGGGTTCCCGAATTGCCTAAGCTTTGTTTTCTCATAGGAGCTAGGGGTAGACAGAGACTTAGCTGGTGCACACTGGGGCCAGCTGGGTCGTCAGAATACTGAAATACTTCTGGGCTGGTTGGTAAATTGCCACTGCTGCGTGAGACCCTAAGTGCTCCCCACCTGACTTCTCTCATTTCTGCCCTCCCCTGTCCTTCCTAAGATGCCCTGGCAGGGTCGGGGCTTCATGGCCATGTACCCCAGCATCCTTTCTGATCTGCTGGTGTCCCTGACATAGCATTTTGAACATCACTCCGGGTGGAGGTTCTGTGGAGCTGCCTGCGACCTCCCGCCCTTGCCCAGCCTAGGGGGAGCCCTGTGTTCAGTTGGCAGGAGCCACGTACATGGATATTCACCGAGCTGGAGGAGGCATCAACTTCACCGTGGAGCACACTCGCCAAGCCTCGGAGGAGGAGCTGTTCTGCTCCTTCCAGGAGCGGCTGCAGCGCATGATGAGGGCGGGGACCACGCTGGTGGAGTGCAAGAGCGGATACGGCCTCAACCTGGAGGCAGAGCTCAAGATGCTGCGCGTGATTGAGCGTGCCCGGCGGCAGCTGCCCATAGGCATCTCAGCCACCTACTGCGGGGCTCACTCGGTGCCAAAGTAACCTCAGCTTGCGCGCTTGACTTGGGGCGTTGAGGGGGCATTGAAAACAAAGAAGGAAGGTGTCAGCTGGTACCTAAGTGGGGATGTGTTGGCGGGGGGGGGGGGTTGGGAGGGGGGAGTGGAGGTGCATCCGAACTTTAGTTCTTGCAGAGAGAGCTCAGTAGAAGCCGTTAGAAAGGTGTTCTGATTGTAATAGTCATCTCGTAAGGGTGGTTTTTTTTTTTTTTTGAAGATTTTATTTATTTATTTGAGAGAGAGAGCGCAGGAGCAGGGGGGAGGGGCAGAGGGAGAGGGAGAAGCAGATTCCCCACTGAGCAGGGAGCTCGATATATGACTCGATCCCAGGACCCTGGGATCATGACCTGAGCTGAAGGCAGACGCTTAACTGACCCACTCAGGCGCCCCTTACAAGGGTGGTTTTAGGAAGGTGATCCCCACCAGACCCATCTGTTTGCTAGTCCCTTAATGATGAAGGAGGAAGAGATGTTCAAAATTCTTTCGGTTAACAGAAAGCAATGCCCCCTACTAGATACTTTAAAATAACAGATATTACTTTAAATAGTTGCCCATGACCACATAATCGCACTTTAGAGATTAAAAGTAACACTCTGTAGGAGATAGATCAAATCTTTAAGTCAAGATGATTCAGAATAGTTTTTATTTTCGTTCATCTGTTTGTTTAGCAACAAACATGTTTGTTTTCTTGTAAATGTTTTTTAGATTTCCTTTTATTTAAAGTTTCTCCTATATAGCTTTCTTGTAGAGAATTCTGTCCTTTCTGCATCTGCATCTGCATCTTATCTGTCCTGGAATTTCTAGAGCCAAAGGCCCACAGTTCCAGAACTAAAAGTTTCAAAAGAAATCTAGGACTTGGGGGCACCTGGGTGGCTCAGTCGGTTAAGTGGCTGCCTTTGGCTCAGGTCATGATCCCAGCATCCTGGGATCTAACCCCTGATCCGGCTCCCTGCTCAGCAGGGAATCTGCTTCTCCCTTCCCCTGCTCTTATTCTCTCTCTCTCTCAAATAAATAAATAAAACCTTAAAAAAAAAATCCAGGACTTGAAAATTAACAGGGCAAAGTCTTAGTGCCGTTTTGAGTTTTGATAACTTAGATACATAAGTGCTACAGGCTTACAGAAATTACTTGAAAGTTTCATAACATATATTTTTACATTTATTTAGTTTCACACAATTTGAAAAATAAGTTTAATGTTAATTTTTTGTTTACCATTTTCAATCAGAGAAAATAAAAAATTAACAAAGTTATTATTAAAAATTCACAAAATTAATTAAGTAGAAAAGAAACATAAATACTTAATATTTCCAATGATGTTTTTGTACATTTTTAGCATTTGTCCTTCTGAAATTATTAAAACTTAAAACTGCACTGAGACTTTTGGGACATCCATCTATAGAAAACATTTTTCTTTTTCAAACGGAACATAAGGTGGATGATAGCAGTGTAACATGGTAGAGAAGTCTTAGGCTTTGGAGCTGTACCAGACCTGGGTTTGAATCCAGCTTTGCTACTTTCCCACTGCATGATTTTGAGGGCATCACTCAACTTTTCTGAACATCTGTAAAATAGCTAAATAACACATAATTCTATATGATTGTCTTGAGAATTGGGAACAGCATATGTGAGCGCCTGTCTCCTCACGGTTCACGTCTGTCTTCCCACCAAAATGGTTTTTGCTGAGCGAGAGACTTCTGTGTGCCAAATACAGGACTAAAGTTTTACAGAAATTTTCTCCATCTGCCAGTGAGTCTCTGAGGTCTGTGTCTTGATCTCCAGCGATACAGTCTGCAGCTCAGAGGATGCCAAATGATGGCTACATGACGTGTCCAAAGTTACATAGCCAGCAAGTAGGAGAGCTCTGTGTCTATTTGACTTCAAAAGCCCAGCCCTTTCTGATCTATAACTACCGCAGAATCTTAGAATTTCAGGGCCTCCCACAATCCTCTTTCCCCATAGTTCCAAATGGTGAGACAAGAAGCCTTAGGCAGATGCTTCTAGAAACAGTGTGGAAGAAGAAAAAGGCAGAGTTATCACGAGGGCCCAGCTAAGGAGCACACAGTTGTGTTGTTAGGGAACCATCCAGGATGCCCTCTAAGTGTCCTTGGCAAGCAGATTCCGTTTTTCAGCCGGCTGGCCTTGCTGACATTCTCGAAGGCAACACGGCTGGGCCAGAAATGGATGAGCCCTTTGAGTCTCTGTACAGTCAGTGCCTACAGAAGTCTTGCCAACATCTCTGCTGTGTCCTCATTGTTAAGACTCTTGAGTTATTGCTTTGATTATTTCTCTACCTTCTTGAGGCTTGAGGTCATTTGCCCATAGTTTGTGAGATTCTTCGAGTGCCAGAAAACCCTTTCTTTAATTAAAAAAAAAAGAAATTTCCCCCCATGTAATCTCATGTTCTTCCCCCAGAGGAAAGACTGCTCCAGAGGCTGCTGATGAAATCATCAATAGCCACCTCCCGCACCTGAAAGAGCTTGGCAGAAGTGGGGAAATCCATGTGGACAATATAGATGTGTTCTGTGAGAAGGGCGTCTTTGATCTCAGCTCCACCAGAAGGATTCTTCAAAGTGGAAAAGAGATGGGATTACAGCTTAACTTCCATGGGGATGAGCTGCATCCGATGAAGGCTGCCGAGGTGTGGTTGACCTTTTGCTTTTCCTTTGTCAACACTCATGCTATGGAAAACTTAGTTTGTTCAGAGGTGGGAGTAGCCTTCTGAAAAGACAGAGAATGGGGAAATTTGTTTGAACAATGTGTGGATTGGTCCGGTAGAGCCTTGGAATCCCGGACCTCTGTTAGAAATTTACTTTTTTGCTGCTCATTGACTTGTATGATCACCGGCTGGTGGGATTAGTAGAAAAAGAAGCACTTTTGTGATCTTGTTTAGCAAATCCGTGCCCTATTTTGGTTGGCACACAAAGCCACACTGGCAGAGTCGGCGAGTTGCACACGTAGCTGCTGGGGTCTGTGGCAGCTAGAGCGTACCGTTAATAGTCCAGGATGCTCTTCTGATCTCTGAGTCTTGCTCAGATTCATTTATTCATGCTTTCAACAAATATTTGAGTGTGTGCTATGTGCCAGGCACTGAGAATTCAGCAGTGAACAAGACAGACACAGCCCCCGCAGTTGTGAGTCGAGATGTCTCTCTAAGCCCTAGAGTGAAATAAACAACTGCCCTTGGGGCATAAACCAGATGTGGACACTCCACACGTTTCTCCACCACAACACGTCCAATGTGATCTCTTAATATCGCTTCCAGATCTGGTCCTGTGTTTCCTGCCCAGTGAATGACCCCATTATGTACGGATTGCCTAAGAGAAAAACTTGGATGTCACTTTGTCTCCTCACCCCCTCCCCTGTCACATTTCAGTTAACAAGCAAGGCTTCCAGGTTTGCCTGCTGAGTCTGTCTAGGTCCACTTCTCTTCCCCCCACCGCCTAGTTCAGACCACCAGCAGCGGCTCTCAGCTGGACTCCTGCAACAGCTCTTCTCCCTGTGTCCAAGCTTGTCCGCACTTGAATCCCTGCCCTCCGCGCATCTTCTCTTCCTCTCTGGTGCTGGAAAGCACTGAAAGGCTCACCCGGGCTGGCAGGACAAATTTCAAACTCTGCAGCCATAGGCTTACCCCGATCTAGCTCTTGCTTGCCTCCCATCTTCCTCTTTCTCTCCTCCCCCGTCCCTTCCCCTGCCCTCTTGACCATGGCCAGCCACCATAAATAGCGTTAGGACACCCGATACCCCACGCCTCTGGATGTGCCTCCTCTCATCCGAACACCCCTTGCCTGGCTAACTCTAACTCCGCTCCGTGTTTCCTCTTAGCGACCACTTCTCTGGCATCCTTTCCAAACCTCTCAAGAATGAGTTACAGTCCCTCCCTGTGCCTGTCCCACCATGTTCAAATTGTCTCTGAGATCCCTCCTGGACTGTCCCTGTGCCTCCACAGCCTTATCCCTGGAGGTTAGCACAGTGGCCTGGTAGACAGGGGGCCTTTAGTGAGTAAATATTTGTGGAATGTTTGTTGAATGAATGTGAACTAGGTGGTCAACAAGATACTTCTGGTTGTAGAGAGTGAACCGGTGAATTAAACAGAGGTCAATACCTGGGATGACCAAATCGAGTTTGGGAAAGTGAAGGTGATTCCAAGGTTAGAAGGAAGCTTGCCTGGGGAGCAGAGTCTGTGGAGCATCCAACTCCCAAGAGCACCAAACCAGAATGCTCTTAGACCCGAGCTAGCTGCTGACGAGGGGCCGGCTCCCTCCTGCCCTGGTGTGGGCATCGCTGCCTCCCTGGGCCACGGGCTAAGGTCAACAATGAGTCTCCTTTCCCTTTCCTTGGAATGCTTAACAGAATCACCTTTCAGCCTGGGGCACTGTGTATGTGTGTGTGTGTGTGTAAATGTGTCACGCTGAGAAGAAACCCACTTTAATGCCATGTTCTCATTATCATCATAGCATTACCTCCTCCTGGTTTTATTCTAACAGCTGAGCCCAGACTTATTTTCTTAAGATTTTTTAAAATTTATTTATTTGACAGAGAGAGAGATAGTGACAGCAGGAACACAAGCAGGGGGAGCGGGAATGGGAGAAGCAGGCTTCCTGCCGGGCAGGGAGCCCAATGCGGGGCTCGATCCCAGGGCCCTGGGATCATGACCTGAGCCGAAGGCAGATGCTTAATGACTGAGCCACCCAGGCGCCCCAGTAAGCACTTGGGTTTAAGGATAGTTTTTGAAGTAGCACACGAGCCAATTTTCAAATGAATGTCCATCACAAACCTTTTACCCCTCTGGGGGCTTGCGCTGGGGAGAGGCAGTTGCCAACCCATTTTAATGACAAAGAGTGCTGCTTAGTTTTGCAGGGAAACCAATGTTCTGGCCCTTTGTTGATTGTTGTTGCTGTTGGTGAAACCTTTCTCTCTGCCCGTTCCGTTTAGCTCGGGGCTGAGCTGGGAGCCCAGGCGATCAGTCACCTGGAAGAAGCGAGCGATGAGGGCATCGTTGCCATGGCAATGGCCAGGTGCTCAGCCATCCTTCTGCCCACCACGGCCTACATGCTGAGGTGAGCTGCCCTGGGGGGTGACAGCCACGAGGACACAGACCCAGAGGCCTAAGTCTTATTTCATTGCCCTTCCACATTCCTTAAAAATGCAGATCAGGAAAACTGAGCTCATGGAAGATGCCAGTTCTGGAGTGAGGTCCAGGAAAGCGCTTAGACCCAAATGGCCGTTGAGTAGGGAGATTATTGGGAAGAGTGGACCTTTCTCTTTCTTTTTTTTTCCCCCTCATTTTTGGAATTTTCCAATTAAAAAATCAATATGCATTACTTTTATGACTAGAAATAAAGAAATAGGCTTTCTACTTTAAAAAACATGCATCAGATGTTAGGGATATCAAGCAGTGTTCAGAATCTGAAGGAGCTGTTTTTTACTAAGAGGACGCAAGTGGGCCCCACAGTCCTCATAAATCCCCGGGGGTGGGAGGAAGGAGGAGACGTCTAAGTATGTTTTGTGAAATCTTCCCAGGAGTTTTGCTGTTTGCCCTCTATGGAATGAATACACCCAGTCCCGGGCCCATCTTTATGACTGCGGTTTGGTTGTCGCCACCAGGGGGCGCTACTGGCATCTAGTAGGTAGAGGCTCGAGCCGCTAAAGGTCCCACAGCGCACAGAACCACCTCCCACCACAAAGAATTATCCTGCCTAAGAATTATCCGGCCACAATTACGAACTGTGACAAGGTTGAGACACTCTGCCTCAGGGATGGAAAAGCCAGGCTACAAGTAACTTTTATATTTATTTATTTGTTTATTTATAGAGAGAGAGGGAGTGAGGGCGCTCCCAAGTTCGCGTGAGCTGGGGGCAGAGGGAGACGGAGAGAGAGAATATCTAAAGATTGTTCACGTCCAGTGCGGAGCCTGACAGGGGGCTCGATCTCACCACCCTGAGATCATGACCTGAGCCGATATCAAGAGCAGACGCTCACTGACTGAGCCACCCAGGCGCCTTCAAGTAACTTTTATAAGAGAGAAGAGAGGAATATTGCAGTACTTTTCTCAAATATATTATGATGTTATACACATAGGGGTAATATTATACATTTCTCTTATTATTACTGTTCTCTTAATTTAAAGAGTAGACATAATGTAGATTGCAACCAGGAAATACCAATCAATAACCATTCTTGGAATCTTGGCATTTCCAGCAAGTCTCAGTAGTCATCAATCAAAGTCATCAATCAATACTTACTCTGGTTAATTTTCCATCACCCAAGGAATAATGTTTGACAAAAAAGGGTTCCTTTACCTCCCCTTGAATCTCTTAAAGATGGAGCAAAAATCTGAGACTTGTACTGTGAAGGGCGGCTCAGCAATAAAAGCCCGAACTTTGTCCCTACGCCAGAGGCGGCGGCCATCTGTGCTCACCGCAGGATGGGTTGACCATACAATTTGGACAACAGGAAACACTGCAGAGAAGGCCCCACTTTTCTCTCTGGCTTCTCTGTTCCGCTATTTTTCTGAGCTCTCCAACAGGAGCAACTTGCAGGGCTCCCTGCCGGGCCCTGAATTCTCTTGACTCTCATTTCTGGAGTAACAGTGGCCTTATGCCACTTCCTTTAATCATTATTGTACGCATCTTTGTGTATACTGTTTAAATTTATTCAGGATACATTTACCTCAGTTTTTCTGGAACTCCCTTGATACGTCTACAGCCTCACTTTTTTTTTTTTTCCTCCTTAAATATCTCTGGAAGGGGAGGGGAGGCGAGGCCGTCAGAATGAACTGTGGGAGGGAGGGGCGCCTGGGTGGCTCAGTGGGTTAAGTGTCTGCCTTCAGCTCAGGTCATGATCTCAGGGTCCTGGGATTGAGCCCCGAGATGGGCTTCTTGCTCAGCTGGGAGCCTGCTTCTCCCTCTCTTCCCCTCTTGTGTTCTCTCTCAAATAAATAAAGAAAATCTTTAAAAAAAAAAAAAAAAAAAGAATGAACTGTGGGGAGATTTTAAGTTCTACCTTTCCTCACTCTTATCCCTGCTTCACCTGCCTCCTCTCATACATTGTCCTGGTTGAGGAACATTATCTTAGGTAGGCCTGCCAATTGTCAGTCATCGACCGTGAATGTTTCGAGGGCCTCCATTTTGGCCTATAAACCTGTAGACTCTCAGACAACGGCTTTCATCTATTCCCCTCCCCCCAACACTGTGAGCCTTGAATAAACACTAGCATAGTTTCTGAAAGCTCAGGGCTGTCTGCCTAGGATGACCCAGGCCCCCTTACAATGCCTGCCTGAGAAAGCCCAGCCTGCCAGGGGAATTTACTGTTTTTTCCAGCAAAACCCACTGATTGGCAGATAGGCCCCTGGACTTCCTCTTAGAGCAGTTACTTTACAAATTGCAGTTGTAATTGCAATTATAAATCCTTTCTCTGCTCCTTTAAGATATAAATCTTCTACCACCCAGGATTGTCTTCTCAAGGACCCGCCCCTTTTTCCTCCCGACTTCCTCTTTCTTTCTTTAAAATGCCCGGTTACCACTGCACAAATCAAAATTGAGTCCAGACCACACTGGACCCTTTCCCTTTTGCAGTAGTTATTACTGAATACAGTCTGTCTTCACCCTTTTAGCTAGTGTTTGGCTCTGTTTATCCCTGACATAACTTTTGAGTCATGTCCTAAAGAACAATATTTTGCCAAGGAGATTAAGGAGACACGCAACCCAGGAAGAAGCACAGACATTTTATGTATTAGATTCTTAGGCCTTCAAGACTTTAAAGGGCCTACCAAAAATGTTTGAGACCCTTCCCCACCCCCAAGGAGGGGGAGAGAGATGAATAAAAAAAAAAAAAATTGCAAAATGGAAGTTAATAAAAATAGCATTATTTTAACCTCATTGTTTATATTTGGGAGTCAAAAAAAAAGTGTGTTACATTTGAAAAAAAACTAAGTTATATTTTTCTTCCTTAGCAAGAATCTCTGAAAGTATATAAAGATTGCTAAAATTAAAAAAAAAATGCTAAGATAAACACTCCCAAATTAAAGAAATTAGTCATGGGCAAGTCATTTCAAAAGCAGATAAAAATCAGGCGTCCTGGGTTCCACCTGACTTCACCACTCATCACTTAACCTTGAGTGTCTCTTTCTTCTTCCAGAACACAGAGGGGTTGGATATCTTAAGTTGGCTTCCATTCCGAATACCTAATCTGCCGAAGCTCTGCTTCCGGAGACTGACATCTTTCTTTCTTTTCCCCTCCTCTTAGACTGAAGCAGCCTCGCGCTAGGAAGATGTTGGATGAAGGGGTAATCGTTGCTTTGGGCAGCGATTTCAACCCGAATGCATATTGCTTTTCAATGGTAATTATTTTTAATGTGACTTTCTAAGGAGAGAAACCGTCTTCCGCCACATGTATGAATAATTTAAAAATAGTTCACTAACTGTTCAAATGTACCAAAGATCTAAGAAACGGTTTTCTTGTGAAGCAGGAAAAAAAGTGCAGACAGCAGGGTCATCGGATAGTTCTGTGCCACACGAATGCCTCTAGGCCTAGAGAGAGGAGAGAAAGTTCTATCTGCGGAATTTTTTTAAGGCAGCCTTGGGCGTTGTGGTTTGATGATAACTCCCTCCGGTCTTGGAGGATAACACAAGCTCAAAGAAGTTTTAGTAAATAAGCATGGAGGTGCGCTTTCATCTTACATAGCCAGTGGTCTTGAAAAGTTGTCAATAAATCCTCAATACCCGGGGGTGGGGGTGGTAATCTCTCTAATAGAGAAATCTTTAACAAAGCATAAGAATCTGTACACGTAAATTAAAATGTTCTCGTACCAGTTTAGCCAGTTCCTCCCAGACATTTAATCTCCATTATTGGTTGTGCTGTGTTGAGTAGCAGTTACCATTCTGTTCCGTTCCTCGAATACGGTTCTTCCCTGCCTTAGCCAGTGGTCATGCACCTGGCCTGCGTGAACATGGGAATGTCCATGGCTGAAGCCTTGGCTGCTGCCACCATCAACGCAGCTTATGCCCTGGGAAAATCGCACACACGTGGATCTCTGGAAGTCGGCAAACAGGGAGATCTCATTATCATCAACTCGTCCAGGCGAGTGTTCTCCCAACGGAGCTATTTTATGTTGTGCCCCTCGTAATATGTAGGCTGGGTTTGAATGGCTTTTCTGCTCAATATTAGCATCTGGCTCTGTGTCGGCCCACAAGCTCCCCAATCTCCTTTATCCTCACCCCTTTCTAACCAGCAAGTCTCCCCACGAGTCCTAAACCACACAGGGTAGACAGACCAGCTTCTCCTGTCTCTTCATCTGTCTCCCATCTGTCCTAGATTGCCAGGTTTCTGTTCTGTTTACCCGGACTTTGGACTCGTGCCCCCTGGCTTGTGTTCTTGTTTTTCTGCTGGAGTTCTGACCTACGGCTGGTGCTGGGCCGTGCATGTTCCAACTCCGGCTGGTCACCCGCGTCTGATTCATTACCTCTCTGGCTTCTCACTCCTACCAGATCCCAAAAGCCTCGTTTCCGTTTTCCTGCTCCTGGGTTCGTGTTACTCACACACAGTCGGCTGCCAGCTGGGTCTCCGATATAACAATTTGAGTCTTATTTTTCTAAATCTGGAAGTCATAAATCCTTGACCCTAGCAGGTCTACTGCATTCTTTGGTCCTCAAATTCAACTGAAGAAAGCGACTCTGTAATTCTACTCTTCACTCTATTGAAAATAATGCTGGGGCGCTTGGGTGGCTCAGATGGTTAAGCATCTGCCTTCGGCTCGGGTCATGATCCCGGGGTCCTGGGATCGAGCCCCATGTCCAGCTCTTGGCTCAGCGGGGAGCCTGCTTCTCCCTCTCCCTCTCCCCCTGCTCGTGCTCTCTCTCTCTCTCTCTCTCTCTGTGTGTGTCTTGAATGAATAAATAAAATCTTAAAAAAAAAAGAAAATAATGCTGGGGCGCCTTTTGTATATCGCTTAATCGGATCAAATATTTTAAGGTCAAATACTTCAACAATACCATTAAAGAATATTTAAGTCACAGGCTAGTTATCATAGTAATCTACTATTTTTTTAAAAAGCCCGAATATCAATGACAGGGTATAAAGAAATTTTTAGAGAATGTATTTCTAAATTAGCATTTATTGACAAAGTGATCATTTTGGCTTGTATGCATTAAAGTACGTTTGATTTCTTTCTAGATGGGAACATTTGATTTACCAGTTTGGAGGCCATCATGAATTAATTGAATATGTTGTAGCTAAAGGAAAAGTCGTCTATAAAAAATGAAAGATCTGAAAGGAAAGAGAAGACCTTTCGGCTATATAAGTCAATGCAGTTGCAGTAAAAGTTAAAATACCATAGTAATTTACCAGAGTGATGTCACTTAAATATATTTCAGTGCTTTGTTAATCCACTTGAAAAAAACCAAGTCATTAATTTCTTTTAATTTAACATGTGCACCTGGACATATAAGCAGGTAAATCAATTGGATCATAATCTCAGAACATTAAATCATTTCACAGAGATTTATTACAAATAATTTGAAGATTAATACGGTAGAGTATCATCAGAATGCCCTCGTGGGGAAAAGCAATTGGCAGTTAGGTAGACACGGCTTGAAACTCCCATTTTGTTTGTGCTTTTCAAGTTTCAGTTTTTAAACTATGGGATGGTGAGAAATCCAAGTGATATGCCCCCAGTTAAGCAAATGCAGCCTTCCATTATAAGCAGCTGGTTTGTCCTTTCCCACACAGGTTGCCTTTCTATAAGCTCTTCAAATGCATGGGTGTCCCCTGAGGTAGGGTGTCCTTCTATTTCTAATTTCTTCTTGACTCCAGGAGTAGTGCTTCAGAGAAGAGTTCAAGACTCGTCATTTTAGGGGCGCCTGGGTGGCTCAGTCATTAAGCGTCTGCCTTCGGCTCAGGTCATGGTCCCAGGGTCCTGGGATCGAGCCCCGCATCGGGCTCCCTGCTCGGCAGGGAGCCTGCTTCTCCCTCTGACCCTCCCCTTGCTTGTGTTCCCTCTCTCGCTGCCTCTCTCTGTCAAATAAATAAGTAAAATCTTAAAAAAAAAAAAAGTCATTTTATACATGGAGACGGGGGCCTTCCTAGAATGGATGCATTTGGACCAAATCTGATAATGTAATTTTTAAAAATCATTTTTAAGAGTTTGATTATTCACATTACAAATGTATAACAAAATTTTTAAAGCTCTCAATAAATATGTATTGTCACTATTATTGTTGTTTCCAGCCCCGGAAGTAGATTGGTGGTATTACCTATTACAGCTTCTTAGGAAATGAACAAATTACATAATTACACATAAAGAAATTGTGGATGATGATATAAATAGGTGTTTCGAAAGCCATATGAATTTACTTGAAATGTTTTTCAATGTTTAATCATCCTTATAATCACAATGGTATTATTAAACTTTGTCCTATTTATGAATAAATGATTTGAGAAGTAAAGATTAACCAAATTATCACCCATTTCATGTTAAAAATGGCTGAATCAATGAGGCTTAACTGTATTCCGTTTAAATCAAATACTCCTTGTTGAGAGGTTATGGGTGACAGTGCACATTGCTGTCACTGTCCAGTAACATGGGGTCATCGGAGCTTTGTCCCTCATATGCTTGGGTAAGGAGTCTTGAGGGGGTGTGGGAGGTGCATGGTCGCCCTCCCCTGTGACCAAGCACCTACTCAATTGTAGGAGTTTGGGATGCAGGCGATAGATATAAAGGCTAAAACTAAATACGAGGTCCGTTCAAACACAGAAGTCTATCTCTATACCTATGGAATAAGAAGGTGAAGTGCATCTTATTCTCCCTCTAGGAGACATTCACTTTAAACAAATAGCATTAATGTCTTTTTCGGATGAAAGGAGAAGAAGATACCCACCCAGAACAGCCTTAGTCCTCCCAGGCCAGTGTCCTGTAAGCCCTTGCAACTTGGGAGCTTGCTAGACATGAGAACCTCGGCCCCACCCCAGACCTGCTGAATCAGAATCTGTGTCTTAACCAGCGGCCAGGTTATTTGTACACCTGTTAAAGTCTGAGAAGTGCCGCAGCCTGCGGTCTAGACCCTAGCCACACCGGCTTTCACACTGTGCCTCAAAACACCGTTTGCTTTTGCTGTTCCAGGCTTTGCAACACTGTTCCCTCTACCTGGACTGCTTTCCCGCTCTTCTCTGTGTGGGAAATCAGAGCTAGTCCCTCCCCTGCCGTGTGCCCGTCCTTCATGGCACTGTGGCTTAACTCTCCCTTTAGAACGTAAGTTAGTAGAGGGCAGGGCCCTCCTCATGCGCCAGGATCTAAATGTGGTGACTGGTTCATAGCAGGTGATTAGTAAATGAATTCATGAATGTACAAACATACTGGTAGTCACAGTGAAAATCACTTAATTAAAACACACTAAGTAGGCCAACCCAGGAAGGCAGTGTTAAGGAAAATACTTGTTTTGGGGATTGAAAAGAGCATATGAATTCCTTAATATAATGCCAAAGGATGATGCTCATGGGGGAATACACTGGAAAAGTAAAACCAAAGAAACAGTTCCATGGTTGAGTGGAGAGGTGGGCTGCCCTTCTTCACTTTGGGGGTTGGAAGGATTTTGATGAGAGAGAGAGGCTCCAGGATGAAACATTATGAAGTGTTCAGAAGATCATCTATGAACCCTCCTAGCTCCTTGGGGAGCTAGGGCTGGGTCAGATTTCACAAGGCTTTGAATGTCAGCCTCACTAGTAGGAACCTCATTCTTCAGGAAAAGCCACTGAAAATGTCTGAACAAGTTAGGACCAGGACAAGAGTATTGTAGAAAAAAATTAATCTGGTTTTAGCATACACAGTAGGCACTCAAACATGTGTTGTATGAGTGGACTCTGGCAAAATACCTTGAACCAGTCCTTTGGTGGAGAGAGTAGGAGGTATCGGGTGCTAGAAGTCCAGGTGGAAAGCTTTGACAACAGGCAGTTAAGTGAGATGTGAAGACCCTTACTGTGTGCTCCCCATTGGGCTAGATCAGTGTTTCTTTTCTCAACCTTTTATTTTATTTTTTTAAAGATTTTATTTATTTATTTGAGAGAGAGAATGAAATAGACAGAGCATGAGTAGGGGGAGGGTCAGAGGGAGAAGCAGACTCCCCGCCGAGCAGGGAGCCCGATGTGGGACTCAATCCCGGGACTCCAGGATCATGACCTGAGCTGAAGGCAGTGGCTTAACCAACTGAGCCACCCAGGCGCCCCTTTTCTCAACCTTTTAAAGTTATCAAGCCACCCCCCCTACCAGGAGAAAACTTAAATTTCTCCCTACAGAATAAGATTTTATCAGATAGGGTTGAGCTCTGGAAAAAGACCACAAACCATCATAATATGCAAGTTCTTCCGCATCCCAAGAACCAATTTTTGCCTCATTGTGCGCAGTATCACCCCCACTGAATTGAGGGTGCACGCACCAGATGCCATGGGAGAAAGGTGAGGCCACGTGGCATGCTGGAAGAAACACACATCTGCGGCTTGACATCTGGCCTTTGATTTCTTCTTGAACTCTTTATCTGTAGAGGTTGGATTCCCTCCATCTCTGAAATTCTAGTGCTAGACAGGGTCCTGCCTTCGGGGAATTTACAATCCAATTAGGGCGGTAAAACGGACTTTCAAGAGTAGAGCCAAAGCCAGGGCGTATTAAAAGCGCGTTCTCCTAAAAGGAACTCTGGTGAAACACAGTACTTTTAAAATTTAAATTGTTTTTGCCAGATCTCCCCCCAAGCATGAGCATCTTGGTCTTTATTACAGTAAACAGTTAAAGGATAAAGTCGATGCCAGCCCCTCAGATTTTTATCCGGTGGAAAGTTATTCCAAAATACGAAGGCACATCTTTTCCAAGTGGTTCTGTTACAGCTGCTGCAGGCATCAGGAACCTGGCACCCAGAGTGTAGAAACCACCAATAAGCCACGGCAACCCGTCCTGGCTCACCCACCCTCGAGATCTGAGGTGTCCTGTGCGTAGTTTTGTTTCCCCTCCTGTGCCATTAACATGAATTCTCATGCTCTTGCTGATGATCTGGCCTCTACTTACGTCTCAATCTTCCCATCTTCCTCCTTGCACATTGCCATTGTTTGTTTAATCCTCTGGCCCTACTGCCTACCTAAGCTATAAGCTATGAGGGCGAAGACCAGGGCCATCTTGGCCACCATTTATTTAATGATAGAAATGGACAAATGGAGAATTGGTTTCCTGGCACAGATGTCTTCTGACATTGACGTTTAGCTTACATTTCTCCTTTTTCCTCCCTTCTCTCTCTGACTGCCAACACTCAAAACCCAGCTCAGTCACCTCTCCCAGGCAGCCTCCCTGATGATCCAAAGGTGCTGTGGTTATATGGTGCTTTCCTCTAGGACACACGCTTGGCACAGTAATGGCCATTTCACGTTCCCAACTAGATGAAGTCTTTGAATACAGGACTGCATGGGATATTGATGTACCAGTATGGCACCTCAGAAAGAGCTGAGGGAGGGAAGATGCCAACAGTTACGGATTTCAAAATCTGACTAAAATCGGCTTATAGAAATGAGGAAGTATATTAGCTCACCCTTGGAAATTCACCAGAAGGACAGGCTTCAGGGCGGGTTTTTCCAGCAGCTCAATAATGCTGAAGACTCAGATTCCTTCCTTCCCTCTGCTTTGGCATCACCCCAAGGCCAGCTTCCCCAGTGGGTTGGGCGGGCTGTCAACAGCCCTGGGTGCTCTATGCCTCCTCCTCACTCACCTCAAACAGGTGCATGAGAAAGCCCGGCTACTGTGGCTCTCGGGAGAGAAAACATTTTCTCAGAGCCTCCAGGAAAAGTCGCCTCTGTCTCATTGGCACTGATCACTAAGCAAAGGGAACGCGACACCTTGTAACTCACCAGGCCTACGCTGCGGGCTGAAACACATTTCTTGGCTTTGATTTTTGGTGTATTTCTAATGTTTACATTTAATAAATTAATACCTTTAACCAAATAACCCCCAAAAGGCAAAATGACCATGCTAGTCATGAGATAATGAGAAGGTTTAATAAAACGATAATAATCCAGTGACCAGACACAAAGATAAGACTAAAGTTTAAAGTAGTAATGAAAAGTGTCTCGAATTTTTCAGGTTCTATGTTTGATTTTACATACGTGGTAGATTGTTACAGTAACGGACCGCAAACCACATGCCAATGCCATTGAGTATTCCTCTCCCAGGCTAGCTTGGGCTGGAAAGGGTGACTTGCTTTGGCCAACAGGACATTAGCAAGCGTGGCGTTGTAGAAGTCTATCAGCCCTCATGCTGTGGGGCTCGCCCTCTGGCTGCCCTGAGACGGCAGGGGAAGAAGCCCGGGTGAGCCTGCTGGGAGGACATTGAGATGCCTCCAATCCTTGCTGCTACTCCACGGGAAGGAGAACGGAATCAACCACACTTTCTTTTTTTTTTTTTTTTAAGTTTTTTTTTTAATTTTTTTAAAGATTTTATTTATTTATTCATGAGAGAGAGAGGCAGAGGGAGGAGCAGGCTCCCAAGGAGCAGGGAGCCCGATGCGGGTCTCGATCCCAGGACCCTGAGATCATGACCTGAGCCGAAGGCAGACGCTCAACCATCTGAGCCACCCAGGCGCCCTCAACCACACTTTCTAACGACACGCGGCGATGTGCTAATATTCACTGACCAAACCTTTCAGAAACCTGATTAACTGCAGCCAGAATAGGCTTTCCCTGAAGAGGCGCTCAACTCTGTTATAAAAATCTAAGACCAGTGTGACGACGTAAGACAACTGAGACGTGGTTTATTCCACGTTTACCTTGACATTCTCTTGGAGGCATGTGATAATCCGTTTGTCAGAGAGCTGTCTCGAAGACTCAATCAGAAAGTGCCCCGGAAGACCGCAGAGGCCCGTGGGGATCCAGTCCTCCCCAGACTGCTGGGAAGAGCCGCCACCAGACCGCTGGGTTTACTGGCTCGACTGGGCTTCGTGGCTAAGCACGAAGAAACCTCATTCGTGCCTGTTGACATTTTAGCAAAGGACAGCGTCCCCAGAAGGGCTTTCGGTAGACAGGCTCCTCGGCCCACTTTCGGTCACCGAGTCTCTGTAGGCAGCGGTTTTCACTTCGGTCTCCACCTTTTCCTGGGGACGGGGTGCCAGCTAAGGAGTGAAACCCTACTGTGAAATACACCGTTGGACCCATTTCAGGCTGGAAGCGGGTCAGCAAGCTGGCAAGTGTGTCTGTTCTTTCCTCGGGCTACCGTAGATGTATTAGAGCCGTGGCCCAGGCTCCCGCCCTTGGAGTGCCTTGCACGCCCTTGCACACGTAGGTGCGAAGTCACAGTTAGCCTTGGGAAGCCAAGAGCTCCTCCAACCCGTCTTTCATCCAGATGATCCCAGACGGCCCTTTGCCTTCTTTTTTGAGGAAAAAACAGATTGGGTAACACATCCCAGGGCCCCATCGACCTTTGTCAATAATTCCTCCTTTTAAGGATTACCATTACAGAGAAGGGGGTGGTTACCTTTGAACATAAGATTCCTTATCTGTGGGACAGGAGGCTTCTTAATGCAGGGTTGTTAAAGGACTGTGAATAAAGTACTAACACATAGTAAGAAGGTAATAATACTAACCTCTAACTCCAGCTTAAGCATCTGAGATTTTTTTTTTTTTTGAGATGTATAGTGATATTTGATAAATATCAGTAAGGGCCACTCCAGTAGCAAAACTCCTTTACACAAAACCTCGTTGGACCTATTGACTATACTATGATGCAATTAATAGAAGAAAGAGAAGCTTCAGGACAAATTATGACTTCAGAAGTTGTTGATCAAAGCCTTGTAAGGAACATTCATCATATCGTGGTATAATTCAAACAGCCACAGTTATCTAGTGGAGAGCTTTTCAAACCATAAAAAAAAAAGAGATTCACAAAAGTCTAATGTTTTTGGAAAAGAATATCATCAATCTGTTTCAAATTCAGATAATGTTAAATGGCCTGTGGCCTGTTGATACTGTTAAGGAAGAAAGAAAACTCCTATAATCTGAAAACAGCTTCTGTGTCTCAAACCAGGTCAACAAGAACACAGTGCTAGAGTGAGCAAATTCAATGCTGTCACCAGCCTAAGCAAAGGAGGTTTTAGCAGAACTGAACAATATAATGGATTGATCTACTTAAGAAAGTCCTCAGGCCTCTTCTTCAGCATGATATTGCTTGCTGTTCAACCAAGGACCTGAGCTGCTAATCTATGACAAAGCCCATTAAAGATCCTCGGACTCTGGAATTTTGATGGATTTCTTATGTAGAAATTCCAGTGAAAAGGCTGTTGGAGAAACAGGTCTGGATTCTGGAATATGTTCCATTCTGTATTTTTCAATATATGGTGCAGCGACCTCCCAAACCTGAGAAGGATAAAACAGAGTCAGAATGTTGATGACATTGTTCTCACATGCCAGTAAGCATCAGTGTTATCCGATCAAAACGTCTAGGGCGGAGTAGGCACGTAGCAGCTGTTTGCTTGCTTTCATTATGAGCCATTTGACACACGATCTGTGTCCATTAGTCTTTGGTTGCATTAGCAGCTTTTAAAATACAAAGTCCAAAGCCTTTCTAAAGTTACCCGGGAGGTTTTCAGCTGCTTACTCTTCGGAAGCAAAACAAGCCAACACACAAATAAAACCTGGACAATTCAGTGTGGACGGAATTAAGGAAAGTTGCTCAAAGGTATGAATGTGCGTTTTCTAGAACAAGCTTTGAATAGGGCAGTGGATTTCCTCGTTTGCTGGGTCTCCATGGCGCATGTGCTCTACTCCTTACACTCTTTTTAAAAATTTTTTTATTTACTTATTCTTGAGAGAGAGCGAGCGAGAAAGAGAGAGCGCGCACATGCACGAGCTGGGGGAGGGGCAGAGGAAGAAGCAGACTCTGCTGAGCAGGAAGCCTGATGCGGGACTCGATCCCGGGACCCCGGGATCATGACCTGAGCCGAAGGCAGACGTGTGACCGGCTGAGCCACCCAGGTGCTCTATTTCCTCGCACTCTTACTGCTCCCGGTGTGACCTGTGGGCCAGCGGCATCAGCCTCCCCTGGAACCAGACCCCCAGGAGATTCATATGCACGAGACGGTTTGAGAAGCAGCGCTTCAGACCCTTGTTTGCTCTGTAGCTCCACCCACAGCCTATTCTCTTTCAGGCATCGAGTCTTCTCAGGTTCAGGTCCTGGTTTTGATTGACAGCTGCTTTTTATCAGCTTGCTGCTAACAACCAAGGAGCATTTCCTATCCTTTTGTATTACCTTAGAAAGTGTATCCTTGCAAAGGCTAACTTCCTCGAAAGGACCCCTGCGCCTCCATGGTCGTTGCCGCTTTATTTACGAACAGCCAGACGCGAAAGCCCCTGAGTGTCCACTGACGGATGTAGAGTAGTGCTCCAGCCCGTCTTAAGCGTTAACCTGAGTCGAGGTAACACACTTGGCTTGCTTGCTGACCTAAGGCCCTTGATTGTAACAGCATTAACTGACTTTCTTTGAGATTTGCAGACCTCTGGCCTTGGGGAATGAAGGACCAGAACTTTCCCAGGCCCCAGAGGCCGGCAAGTCTGTTGGAAGCCGCCTTGGCTTTCTGATTAGCCCAGCAATCTTTATCCAAATGTTTTTCTTTTTTAAGGCCACACACATAAATGATTTTCCTTTCCCTTTGCACATGTGTAGCTCTTGCCCTCCTTTGCAGAAAGAACAGAACACTCTTGTGCCACCTCTGGGTACCAAGGAACCAGACCTCCTTGCTCAACTGACCCCCACCCTGGGCACCAAAAAACTAGAACTTCTTGGACAACCGCCAAGGACCAAGATAACTCTGTAGCTGACATCATCAAGTCTGCACGTCGGCAAGAAATGTCACAGACAGCTGTACTCCCTTAGCTGATTAAGCCCTTTAAATATCTCTGTGCCTGGCAGAAACCGGGAGTGGGCTCTGGGACAAGAGCCCACCTTCTCCCCAGGTGGCCGACCTCCTGAATAGAGCTCATACTCCTTTCCCACCAAAACTCATCTCTTGAATATTGGTCTTTCAAGGGATTGGCAGCCGAATTTGGGTTTCAGTAACAGATGAACGGATAAAGACAATGTGTGTATTATTCAATCATAAAGAAGAAGGAACTCTTGGCATTTGTGACAACCTGAATGCTGTGAGGGCAGTATGCTAAGTGAAATGAGTCAGAAAGACAGAGACTGTGCGATCTGTATGGTATGTGGAATCTAAATAGCAGCAGCAACAACAACAAACGAACCCAGAGACACAGAGAACAGACTGACGGCTGCCGGAGGTGGGGGGCAGAGGGTGAGCGATACGGGTACACGGGGTCCAAAGGCACAAACCTCCAGTTTTAAAATAAACAAGTCCTGGGGATAGAATATGCAACAGGGGGACTAGAGTTAATAAGACTGTATTGCATATTTGGAAGTTACTAAGAGAGTAGATCTTAAAAGTTCTCATCACAAGGAGAAAGAAATTATAACTATGTACAGATGTTAACTAGACTTAGTGTGGTGATCGTTTTGCAAAATACACAGATATCAAATCATTCTGTTGTACTCCTGAAACAAATATAATGTTATATGTCAGGTATATTTTAATTAATAAAAAAGGCTAACCCCCCACACACCTCTCTACCAGCACCAAAGTTGGCACATGAGGGGCTTCCCCTCAATGGGTGTAGGGCACAACTTAGGAATGACAGGTGTGAAGATCAAAGGGAAAAATTGTTCCCCAAGAGCAGAGCAATGGTTCCAAGGAAAATCAAGAAATTCTAGAGAACATGATACCCACAAATTACAACAAAAGGACAAAGAACTTTAAAAAATATATTTAAAAAATGAGTCCGCCTATGAGGCATCTGACTCTGTTGGATAAATCTATAGTCAATGAAGCCAGAGGAAATAAGCAGTAAAGAGAACCCGTATCTCACCCAGGGTGATGGGGTAGGACAAAGCACAGCGCTAGACAGACCCACAGACCTTTGAAGTAAAACCCTGGGGCTTTGTTTTGTCTTCAGGTCTGTTTAGTCATTGGGCCGGTTGGAGGGGGTGGCGATAGCATCACGGAAAGAGAACATGCTTTTGAACGAAAGAGAATATTGTTGGTGAAGGGGATCCATTAGCCTGTCATCGCATTTTCTCCTCATGAATACCTGTCCCACACTCCATTTAAAGTCATTTCAGTTTCTAATCGCTAGATAGTCAATCTTCGGATGCAACATGGGACACTTAAGAGTTTATCAAATAGCGTTTTAGTTGCCTTGGAAGTTGCTTAAGTTCCTTTTTGTTCACGTCCAAGGAACAGACAGGAAACAAGAGAGTAAGACAATATTTCTTCAGTCCCCACTCCCACTTGGCTTTCCCATAATGACCCAAAACTAAGAAGTAAGCCAAGTGGCCAACTTACCTTCTGCTCTACAAGCAGCCTGTGAGCAGCCTCAATGTCTGGAGCCATGAAGCGATCTTTTATCCAGGGCCTACCGAGGAAGCACATCAAACTATCAGCCAAACATGAACTGCTGCCAGGGTTCACAGTTCTGAAATGATGTCACATCCAGGGACCTGTTGGACTTTACCTTACAACAGAGCGCACCAGGTCATAGACCTTCTCCAGAGGAGTGGTTGTTCTCAGGGGGCGTAGAAACTCTATGCCCTGGCAGGCTGCAAGAAGCTCGATGGCCAGCACTACGAGAAAGGTGGAGGGTACAGCTGTTTGAAGCTGATTTCATGCTGCGGGGATGTCACTCACATGGAAGTTGACAGCCAACTCTAGCCAACTCAGAGGTGGCCGGTTCTCTGTCTATTGGTAAAATGAAGCTGCCTTGGTATTTGGTTACCATTTAAAATTTGCTTTTCTACCCCCTTTAATGTTGAGAAGGGCAGTGCTATCCAGGTAAATGTCTTAGTTCTCTCCTTCTTCCTTCGTTTGATCAAGATGGATGGCATCTGTGTCCTATTTCTACCTTTGTGTAAATGTCCATTTGTTTTTAGTCTTGCTGTTTCCCTTTGGCCTGAAATACCTGGCACATAGACTTTCATCAAAGGACTGAGGAGTCAGTGAATGAGCAACTCTTCTGTTGAGCTGGATAATTCTATAATGTTCCTTTCAAGCCTTCAAACTCAGAGGCTCCCAAGCCCACTAAAACTGAAATTGTAGAAATGGGTATCTTGCCAGCTTTAGGTTTCTTGATAAAACAGTCTTTACATGTTTTTTCCTCCCTAGTTAAGAACTCTTATTAAATGTACCATACCTTGCTATCAACCTTGAATACTGAAATCTAAATTTCTGTACATTTGGATTCCATTATTTGCCAAGAAAATAATTTAGAAGCTTCAAGTTGATCAAACCATTTACGTGGTCAACTGAAATGGAGTATTAAAAACATTTGACTTCTTAAAACTTATGAAGCACACTCCAAACTCTGGTGAGTACAGACAGGTCACCATGGGAGGGGATGAAGTAATGGAATCCATTTTGGACCTGGAAGAAACTTCACATCTTCTAGTGCAGTCCCCTCACTTTATGCATAAGGAATTGGAAACTTCAAGAAGTTGAGCTGGGGTGTACTGGGAAGACATCTGAGATGAAATCTGCACAGCTACCAAGGTGGAGTGAAAAAGTGAACTGCGTGAAGGCCTAGGGGAACAGTGTTACAGGCAGAGGGGCCAGCAAGGACACAGGGGCTGAGGTAGGGATGTGTCCTTGGCGGGTACAAGAATAACACCACGGTTCTAGTGTAGGGAATGGAATGGAGAGAGGTGTCAGTAAGAGCCAGAAGCCAGATCACGCATGATCCTTGTAGGCTACAGGAAGGGGGCTGGATTTTGTTTTGAGCAGAAGTAAGTAATTGGCATATTTTCAGCAGGAACATGATGTGATCAAAATTACATTTTAAGAACCTCACCCTAGTTATCATATATGGTGACTGTAGAAGAACAGTAGTGAAAACAAGGAGACCAGTCAAAAGGCGATGACGGAGCCTTGATTTGGAGTCTTTTGATGGTAAGGTTGATTTGCTGATGAATTGGATAGAAGATCTGAGAACTGACAAGTGTGACTCCTTAAGCTTTTGGCCAGAGCAACATGTTCAATGGGGACATTAGGAACACACCTTGGTAGGCAGATAATAATAACAAGTGTCGGTGAGGATGTGGAAAAATCAGAACTCTCAAACACTGCTGATAAGCATGTAACATGGTAGAGCCACTTTGGAAAACAGTCTGGCAGTTCCTCAAAAAGATGAACATAAATTACCATATGACCCAGCAATTCCACTTTAGAGAAATGAAAATATACATCTGCACAAAAACTTGTACACAGATGTCCACAGCAGCAGTGTTCATATTAGCCAAAAAGTGGACAAAACCCAAACATTCCTCGCCTGATGAACGGATAAACAAAATGTGGTATAGCCATACAACGGAGTATTATTTGGCCATAAAAAAGGAATGAAATTCTGACACATGCTACAACATGGATGAACCTTGAACACATTATGCTGACTGGAAGAAGCCAGTTACAAAAGACCATATATTGTATGACATTTATACGAAATGTCCAGAATAGGCAAATCCACAGAAAGCGAAAGTACATCCATGGGTGCCTAAGCCTGGGGGCAGGGTGGGGTAGGGAGAATGGGAGAATGATAGGTCAAGGGTGCAAGGTTTCTTTTGGGGATAAAAATGTTCTAAGATTGATTTGTGGTAGTGATTGCACAACTCTGTGAATATACTAATAACAACTGAAGTGTACAATTTAAATGGGTGATTGTGTGGTATGTAAATTATATCTCAATAAGAGCACTTAACTCTCCCACATGTACCTTAAAATACCTTAGTCCTTGCTTATCTGCTGTTTCGCCTTCTGCTATTTTGGTTGCTCACAATCAACCATGGTCTGGAAGCAGGTGAGCCTTCTGATGATTCATCATTTTCCTCTTTCTGACAAATCATCAGAAAGTCAAGAGTAGCCTAACGTTACCTCACAACACCTGCATCATTCTCCTCACTTCATCTTACCCCGTAAGCATTCTGTCGTCCCACATCGTCACAAGAAGGGTGAGTAAAGTACAGTAAGGTATTTTGAGAGAGTTCACGTTCACCTAACATATTTCAATATATTGTTATAATTGTTCTATTTGATTAGTTATTCTTGTTACTCTCTTACTGCGCCTGATTTATAAATCAAACTTTATCATGGTATGTATGTATAGGAAAAAACATGGTATATAAAGGGCTTGGTACTACCCGTGGTATCAGGCATCCACTGGGGGTCTTGGAACATCCTCCCAGCCCCCATAAGGGGGGGTGGCATTACTGTAGTGATATTCTTTTGTCATCCAACGGCTTCGGATACAGCTGCAAAAACTTAGTAGCTTAGATAACAATGCTTAAAGGAAGGCAGTTCGTCTTTAAAAAAACAAACAAGCAGTAATCAAGAAGGCAGGGAGAGGCTGGCCTAATACAGCTCCACCCTAGAAACCATCTACTGAAAGATATGGATCTGAATCTTGTTAAGTCTTCTACAACAACCGGGAAATGCAGGGGACAGAGATAACATGCAGAGAGCAAGTTAAGAATAACACCACGAGGAGGCTAAAAGGTAAATCCAGAATGCCAGTCTCTAACAGAAGACTGACCTGTCTTTTTAACTAGTCAATGGCATGAAGAAAAAAGAGGGAGAGGGAACTGTTCTAGATGAAAAGAAGCTTGAAACTTTGACCACCAAATTTAAAATGTGGGCCTTGAATCCAGATTTGAGCAAACCCACTCTACAGGCATTGAGATAATTGCGAAATTTTGATTATGTATTCAATGGTGATGCCAAGACTTACTGTTGATTTTTGTTTGATATGATAATGGCATCATGGTGGATAAAAAAAAGCATTCATATTTAAGGGAAAAAAATAATGTCATGGGATTTGCATGAAAATAAGAAAAGTCAAGGAAAAAAATGAAGTAGGGGCGCCTGGGTGGCTCAGTCGAAGTGTCTGCCTTCGGCTCAGGTCATGATCCCGGGGTCCTGGGATCGAGCCCCGCATCGGGCTCCCTGCTCAGCGGGAAGCCTGCTTCTCCCTCTCCCACTCCTCCTGCTTGTGTTCCTGCTCTCGCTATCTCTCTCTCTGAAATAAGTAAAATCTTTAAAAAAAAAAAATGAAGCAAATGTGCTGTTGAGTCAGAGTACAGGAGGGTTCATGGTACTAATCGCTCCACTTTTGAATATGTTTTCAATTGTTTAAAAAATTAAGTAAACCAGTGAACCTGCTTAGACAGCAGGTGTGGTTCTTAATTTTCAGCGAGCTTCAGAATCACCGGGAAGACTTGTTAAACTCAGATGGTTCTGCTCGCTTCTCTAGAGTTTCTGATTTAGCAGGTCTGGGGCCGGGCCTAAGAATCTGCCCTTCTAACAAGTTCCCAGGTGATGCCCGATGCTGCTGGTAGGGATCCTCCGGCAGGGATCCTATGTTGAGGATCGCAGATGTAGTCGTTTATCAGTGAGGCTCGCCGTCCCAGACTGGCTGGGTTTACCTTGTTCCACGTGCTCGATGACCCGAAGGGCCTTCCTTGCTGCCCATCCTCCCATGGAGACATGGTCCTCCGTGGCAGCGCTGGTGGAGAGAGAGTCCACAGACGAGGGGTGGCACAGAGCCTTGTTCTCAGAAACTGCAAGAGGCCAGTGCAAGGTAAGTATGCTGCTATTAGGAAAAATTGCCACGTTGGCTTCCGAATGTGCTTGGCAGCATGGAGCATCCTCTCCAGGAGCTCTTGGTTGTTATCGAAGCACCAGATGGTCCAAAATTATTTGGGGAAAAGGAAACAGGTTGGGTTTATATCAAATTGAAAAGGAGGGAATAGTGAGTTCTGAGGTAAGACCAGATAGGAACCCTATTACAAAGCCTAGTTGAAAACACTGGAAGCGTTTAGCGTGCTGGGGAGAATAGGGAAAAAAAGACGTGATGGGCTTTTCCAAGTACTAGAGAACAATGGACTGACTGTGCCACCAGGGGAGGCATCAGAATTCAGGGTGGTTATTTGGGGATGGAGACCGGGCCCACAGGTCTTGACCAAGGAGATTTCACAGCTCAGAATGTCCAGGGATGACAGAGGGCTCCATGACCGCCAGACATATCTTGGGGAGGTGGGGGAAATTCTAGAGATGGCCTAGATCAAACTTTATTGTGCATATGACTCACTCCATCTTGTCAATATGCAAATGTCGAGTTTCGAGTGGGGCCCGAGATTCTGCTGTTCTAACAAACTCTCAGTGGATGGCTGGATTCTTGGCTCGAGGACGACACATTAAGTATGGAGGACCTAGATTCCAGAGCTCCTCCCTGGCTCCAGAAGCCACGGAGAGAGTTTTCTCCCTTACATTTTTGCTCCCGAGAGTGGCTGGGTGAGGCTTCAGTTGTTCTCTATGCTATAAAGGATCCTGAGATAATCTAGCGATGCAGACCAGGTGGTCGGCTCGTCCTGGTCCTCCCAGAACTTTCCAGGTTTCAAGCACTGCAAGTCCCAGGTCCTGGGACCCTAAACCTGCTTATATGGATACGCAGTCTGTGGTTCGTTCAGAAAGAGAAGTTCAGAAAGAGAAGTTACATGTCCCCGAAAACGAAAACTACCCATTTCATTATAATGAAAGCAAGTTGAACAACTTCAATAGGCAGTTTTAGGGAAAGCCAAACACATTCAAATGAAGCTTTCCGAAGTCCCTAATGTTTTCTAGATCAGTTACCACTACCTCCCTATGTTAGTGTGAGAAGTCGCTACCCTTTAAAGGAGTATTTTAATAAGGAGGAAAGTGAGCAATTAGAAGTTACTGGGAAGAGGACACAATGAATTCAGGGACTCCTTTGGGTTGTGTTGAGTTTTCATGTGAGGCTTCGGTGAGGAAGGGGTTAGGAGTAATATTAATAGCAACTAATATTTATTTAGTGCTTACAATATGGCCAGGCACAGTTCTAAGGCTTTATATGCATTAATTCATTTAATCCTCAAATCAGTCCCATTAGGTAAATTTATCAGCCCCATTTAATAGAGGAGTAAGCTGAGAGTAAGAGGATTAAGAAGCTTGCTCCATATCACACTCCTGATCAATGGCAGAGTTGGAATTTGGACCTAGAGTCTATGTTCTTAATTAAGCACATGCTCTCCTGCCTCTTGGGTAGGTTTGCCTAAAAAAATACAGAATGCTCAGTTAGCTTTGAATTTCAGATAAAAACAATCTTTTAGTACAAGTATGTCCCAAATAATTCATATTTAATTAGGCATCCTGCATTTCTATTTGTTAAATTTGGCAACCATATTTTAGGATTAAGTATGGATTAAAATGAGATCCACATTAATTGAAGTGAGAGCACAGATTTGAGAACAAAAATGCCTGGGTTTGAATTCAATTCTACTTACTGGCTGTCCAGTGTTGGGTAAGTCACTTAACTTCTCAGATCATCGGTGCAATGGAAGCAATCTTAGTACACGCCTCATGGTGGTGTTGTGACCATCAAGTGAGCAAATATAAACGAAGCCCTTAGCACGTCCTTTGCACCGGACCCTGTTCTGATGTGTTAACTCACAGTTTTGAGTCAGAAATCAGCTACACTGAAGCTCAGTTTTCATGGAGGGCATCTTCTTTTAAGCATTTTTGCACATTGTAATCACATGTTCATGTTCTTAGTGGTTGGTATATCTAATAGAATGTACCCAAAGCTGAATCATTCAGGTCAGTTCAAGTTTTGCCAGTAATTGTAGATATCTTTGTCTTTTTCCTTCTGATAGTCTTCAAATTGAGATTAGGGAAAAAGCTACAAAGATGAAGTTCCTGTGTGATATCAAATTGCTTCCTACAGAGAAATTGTGGAAACCTCATCATTTACAAACTTATTAGGGTGTTATCATGTCTAGCTTTGTTTAGATTTCATTTAGTTTTTTTCTAAAGAGACTTCCCTTCTGCATTTCTATCAAGACCGGCAGGATGCAAATGAAGTAGGCAAAAAGATTGCATTCAAGGACAAAACGTGACTTTCAGATGAAATGGACAGCCTTGTGTTCTGGGGAACGGGCAGTATTCTTGGGCGGTATTCTTACCAAGCGCCGCGGCAGTGCAATGAGCAATCATGAACCCAGAGTTCAGACCACCTTCAGCCACCAGGAAGGGAGGCAGCTCGCTGAGAGAGGGGTTACAGAGCCTTTCAATTCTTCTTTCACTAATTGAAGCAAGTTCATGGACTCCAATGGCCAAATAGTCTAGGGCCTAGAAAGAGTATCTCAATTCAGTTGGCTTAAATTGGAGTATGCTTTCAGGGTCAGGAACAATTCTAAAAAGCTTACTTTGGCTGGGTATTCACCATGGAAGTTTCCTCCAGAAACAGTCTCTCCCCTGCTGGCAAAAACCATCTTGCAAAACAGGTTAAGGCTAATTTTTAACACGTGTAGCCCTTGTACAAATACGGGAGGAGGGAAGGAGAGTCTACAAATTGTTGACATAAAGGGACACAAAAACGGAAACAACAAAACAAATACCCAAAACCTTAAAGATGAATCATGTACACCTAATTGGGGGCCAAGGAAACATGGAACATGAAATTTTTTTTTCCTGAAATTAGAGTTTCTCAAACACCGTAACTATCATAGTCTAATGGTTAGTTAGTACTTTCCCTCAAAAAGTTTGTATCTGAAACTAAGAACAGAGACCAGGACACCAGTTCTATTTCTTCAGAGGGCAATGTGAGCTTGTGCTTGGTAGAAGAATTTGCTGAATGGAAGACTCTGCTGATGAGCAACCACCAAATTGTCTGGAACAATCAGTTCTGGGAAGATTTTCAAGCTCTCGACTCCGTGATCCTGCAGCTGCATCCATAGCAAATGGCAGCCAGTAGGCTGTTGCAAACCCACCTAAGTAGGAGCATATTAATGCCCTCAAGGATCATTCCATTCTTTCATGCACTTCACTTAGAACAACAGGCACCCAGACAAAGGCAGTAACAGACCCTTCTTAGAGATTCCAGAGAGCTGATTTATACCTACTGGACTAAAGAATATTTATTATTTATCAGCTAGGAACTCACTCTGTGTGAGAAAGGTTCTGACTTCCAAAGAGCTGGAGATGCATGTATTACATTAACGTCACCAAGTTGGGAGTTACCCTTTTCGGTACATATAACCATGAGCCTATTCGGCCCAGCACTGGCTCTTCTCCACTAACCCACCCCCAATCGCAGGCCCTAGTTTTCTCTCCATTCTCTGAATCCTTATAACAAGTAATCTCTGTACCTACTTAGAACTTAAGCATGTTCAATTCTCCAGTTGTTCCAAATTTGTTTGTTGGCTATCAGATTCTGGTAATTAGAATTTAGCTTCCGTAACATTTAGCAACTGCGTAATAGGCACTTTCTATCTACAATGGAAAAATTGAGAAGAATATTCTTTCAACTAACACCAGTATTGCAGGAGAACTCCCAAATATTACCTTATTGGAAATTCATCAATAATTAATCTTTAATTGAGAAAGGAAAGTACTTTTGGCTGAAATTTTTGCTGGGGCAAGTGGTGGGAGAAGAATTTAGTGAGGAATTATCCTTCTCCCATATCCACTAATTTAATGGATTTTTATTTTATATATATACTCTTTGTTTTTACTATATAAGATACCCTTTCAAGTCTAAATTATGGGGGCACCTGGGTGGCTCAGTTGGTTAAGCGCCTACCTTCAGCTCAGGTTGTGATCTCAGGGTGCTGGGATCAAGTCCTATATCCCGCTCGCCGCTCAGTGGGGAGTCTGCTTCTCCCTCTCCCTCGGCCCCTCCCTCCTGCTCATGCTCTCTCACTCTCTCACACCCTCAGTCTCTCTCTCAAATAAAAAAAAAAGTCTAAATTATGTAAGTGTAGGATGGATATCTCTCCTCTACAAGAACTGATAGATGAGACAAGACTTACATAGACTTCATGAAAGCGCTACTCCATTGTGGGGTGGCGGGGGAGAGGGGTTGAGTGGTGTTGAGGTGAGTGAGTTGAGAATTACTTAGTGTGGGTCTGACTTAACTGTAAAATAACCTGACAGTGAGGACATAAAACATACATCCTGAAGTAAGCTTGTCAGAGAAACCACACTGGATAAATCTTACACAGCTGCTGTGAAACCTGTCTGCTAACCTCAGCTAGGAATGGCTTCCAGGGTTGTTAACTCAGCACTTTCTCCGGTGTTAAGAACTGAGGCAGATGTGGGATAGGAAAAATATATTCCTAAGGGCTTGGATGGTCTTCAAAGGCAGTATTGAGTATCTCTGTGAAGACTTTGCCAGTGTGACTCGTGACTGATCACATCGACATCTGTAGGGAACTATACCATCAAAGAACATTCCAAAGCAGAAATAAGATGGCTCTGCGATACCCACACCATGAAGGAAAGAAGGGCTCCATCTTTGAGAAATGGAAGCATTCTTACTATTCTTTGTAAAATTTGGAAACACTGACTGAAACACCATGTCAAAAATAAAAACTTGGGACGAGGAAAGCCATAACTCTTTGAGCAATACTTTGGTAAGTGTTAACAAGTTGCCTTCTGTTTAATGTGTCACTAGAACCAAGAAGGCTTGCATCAATGCCAACCTGCCCGGGGTCCCCACGGTCACACTTGTGACCTATGTCTTCATCCTCTATCAGCAATCTCAGCAGCAAACGTCTTCATGAACCCTGTCAGCCAATGCTGGAAATATGTCCTTTAGCCTTTAATGGGTCCATTTGGAAAGCACAACATGTTAGACTCTGAAGTGAAATTAGGTGCACAGACTGCCTCTGTCACTTACCAGCTCTGATCTAGAGAAAGTCACTTAACCTCTGAACCTTAGGTACTTAGTCGATGAAATGGAGTGACAGAACAGAGATGCTACACAGGATGATCACTCCAGCAGATCTAAAATTACCAGCTGGAATTCTACAATTACAGTTTAGTAAGCAGTCAAAAGATACAGGATTATCTGTTGCACTATTAAGTTCTGTGGTAATGATATTCTTCACAAACGCTATCGTGTCATTCACCACACCATGGACCTACAATACAAGATTAAATGAGTGAGTACATTGAAAACACTGAGTCTGATATTCATATTAGAATAGCAAGGAAGCAAGTTTTAAAACTGGAATTTGGTTGTGCCATAGGGCTTATTTAGCAATTCTTTCCCATAAATGTTTTCGATCAACTAGCTAGAATGGAACTTGCTGAGTCAAAGGAAATGAGGGTGTTTACTCTAGGGAGGATTCTTGATGATTACACTCTAGACTAGAATCTGGCACAAAATGAAATATTGTTTCATTCTTGAGAAGTACATTAATCTCTCATCCAACTAATTGCCACACCCAAACGAGCTGTAACCTCTGCAATGCTAAATGACTCATGCCAACTCCTGTCTGCTGCATCTATTTTATCCAGAGTTAAGCCTCACAGATTTATTTGTGATGGTTTATGTCTGCTTATTAAATGCAGATAAGGTACAACAATGATGTGCACTTGAATTATGATTTGCCTTTCCTGTGACCATCTCTGTCAGGCTGGTTCTTGTGGAATCTAAAAGAGGGAACCAGTAAAATTCCACTAACTGATTAGGATGATGTGATTACTAAGAATTTTTTAAAAGCTACAGCAGTAAACCAACACAGCAAGTTGTCTCTTGTGCTTCTGTACAAGAGAATTGAGCAAAGCAATTCAAAAAGAAACAAACAGCTTATCATGGAGAATAGAAACTCTACAATGACAGGACAAATGGAAGTATGATATGCATAATTTTTAAAAGAGGCAGTAAAGACATTTGGATTATAATTGACCATTACATGACTTTTAATTTTTTTATTTTTATTATTATTTTTACGTGACTGTTTAACACTTTCCTCTTTTTCTATTTCCGCCCTGAATTGGAAAATAAAAAGATTTTTCTCATCCGTTTACCTGTGGACAGCAGCGCAAGGTGTATGCATCCTGAACACGATCACAGAACCTGTGACTTTCTGTGCAAGGGGATGGCAAGGGACACGTGATCAATTTTTCCACAAAACACAACACCAAATGAGCTCACTCACATAAACATGCCCAGACCTGCTATTTCAGATGGGTGGTGATCTGAGTCCAAGAGTGACCGAAACCGAAAAGCAACTTCAATTTGCCCACGGTGAGGGCGGACTGCGTGAATGTCTAGAATTGATGAAGGAGAAGAAGTCTGAGCAATTCTCATATCAGAATGAACTACCACTGATGGTTCAGGATCATCCACGGTGCTGACACAAGCCCTCAGAAGTCCCAGAGGTTCTTACCAGCGCTCGCAGTTAGAAACTGACTCCAAAAGCAAGATTGTCCTCATCAGCCGCGTTTTTTCTACTTTAAATATCCAAGTGCAAACTCTGTGTTGAGCCCACTGGGAATTCAACTCAAGACCCTGGGTCTACCCTGAAAAGATTTAGGCTCACATAATGGAAGGGAGCTCCACAGTGGCCAATTTTTGACAGTTTTCAATCATTTTTAGACAGCTTTTCTGTCCCACTACATATAATGGTAGGGAGTCTTCAAATTCACCACTTTCCACGTAAGCTACGACTTCTATAGTTTTTCCCTCCCAATTTTCTAATGGGGACCAACTTTAATCCCACTCTAGGTCTAAAACCCTGTGAGCAGATTCCTAAGACAGTTCACAGTTGGGTGGGAGTCAGACCTGGGTGATCCAGAATTCTGGGTGAACTCTAGAGTCAGCATCTGTCCGTAAAATGTGGTCATTTCAAGATCAAGTGTGGCATCACTTAGAGGGAGCTGTAGCAATATTGTGTATTCCAGAGGCATTTGGGTATTTCCTTCTTCCCCTACCGTCCACCCCACCACTCTCATGTCTAAAGACCTGGACCAGTCCACCCAACCAGCTCTGGCTGACTCAATAGCAAGCCGGTGGAAGAGCCGTGCTGACCAGTATCGAAGGCTTTGGTGGTGCCCTTCAGCACCTCAAGGGTCAAGGCCGCCACGATGTCTGCCTGCCGCGAAATAGCACTCGCTCGCTCCACGGCCTCACAGCCCAGGGAGGTGATCATCTGTGTCCCGTTGATGAGCGCCAGGCCCTTTGGGAAGGAAGAGGTAAGTCCTTTGCTGTATTTATTGTAATCCATGTACAAGCTGATTTCATATCTTTTGCTTCCATAAGAGAAGAGTTAACCAGGCAGCTGAATGATGTTTATGTTTCCTTTTTTTTTTTTTTTTTAAGATTTTATTTATTTATTTGAGAGAGAGAGAATGAGAGACAGAGAGCAGGAGAGGGAGGAGGGTCAGAGGGAGAAGCAGACTCCCTGCCGAGCAGGGAGCCCGATGCGGGACTCGATCCTGGGACTCCAGGATCATGACCTGAGCCGAAGGCAGTCGCTTAACCAACTGAGCCACCCAGGCGCCGGATGTTTATGTTTTCTAAAGTGCAGGGCAGGAATGCTCAGTAAGCATTGGAAGATTAAGTGCCATCCTGTGTGAAATGGTTAGTATAAACCTGGCAAGTGAAACACCTGTTACGTATCCCCATTCTCAAGGCAGCAATGAACCTCCAGGATAGACTGCATATAAAATCTTTAGCTCCTAATTATGCTGCTTTTCTTTAACTGGTCAACATTGTGGACAACACAGCTTAAGACCTTTCTGGTCCAAGACTTGTTTGAGAGCACCCTGAGGGATTTTGACCTACAGCATCTGTTAGGGATCCTTAGAGATCCCGATTTGAAGTTTAAGTTCTTGGGTAAGAGAACCCATAAGCCTCTGTGGCATGAAGAATCTTTTGAATGCTCGTGGAGGAGTCCTTTCTTCAGTGACAAACTTTTAACAAACATGAAAACCACGTTTATTTTAAGAAACCAGAGAGACAGATATTAGGACTGAAAGTAGTCTATAAATAAAGACTTGTAAGAATGAGTAAATTTTCCTCGAATCTCTTTACCTCTTTCGGTTTCAAAACAACTGGTTTTAATCCATGAGCTTCCAGGACCTGCAGAATGATTAAAAAGATAAAAATGGGTACCCAGTGAAATACCAACCTATTTCTGATTTCATAAGGCATCGATAAAATATCCTTAAGCCTAAAGATCTGTCTCATAAAAGGTTGGACCTACGTGAATTGATTCTGTTCACCTACTCTGGTCTATGCTCTAGTTCTGTTCTTTAGTCTGAAAGCAGACTTCTATTTCACATAATTTTTATACTTAAATCAGGGGCTTAGTGTCTACAGAAGTAACCCTGAATTTTGGTTTCTAGGTGCTTTGTATTCAGCTTCCACCTTAGTGGCTCCCTTTTCTCCTGCTGCTTCCTGAGCACATATGAGCACTTATACTGTGCTAAGGCTGAGTTCCTGACTGTCCTCAATTCTCTGCCTCCAGAGCTTGACCTAAAAAGTCCTCCACCCTCATCCTACTTATCTAAACACTGACAGAAATAAAAGAAGTCAAACAGTCACTATGCTAAAAACCCTCTAGGGAGGAAGGAAGACAGAGTCAATACCATTCACTTTGTCCACATCACAAGTTTACTGGAGTACTTGCTACACACCAGACTCTTCTGGGTGTTGGCCTGGGGCTGGCCTAGGAAAACTGAGACAGACTAGCTCAGGGGCAATTACAGAGAAAGAGGATGTTAAGTGCTCCAGGACGTAGGAAGTGCATGGGGTTTGCTGGAAAATGAGCACGTAAGGTGCTAGGAGAGCACAAAGGAGGGGCTAAAGACATTTGGAGGGTAGGGAAAAGAACCAGAGGAGCAGAGGGGGAAGTTTCTCTGAGGACTTCTCAGAAGGAGGAGCAGGAGTGAGTGGGGAAGAGAAGAATGAGCATGTGCTGGTCCCTCTGTCCCTGACACAGCACATTCCAGCTGTAAGGAACCTCCAGTTCCTGTAGAACCCAAGGGGGAGGGATTTGACCAACAAGACTCTTATAAACCACACTAAGTTTAGACTTAATTCTAAGGACAATGGGAAGCATTACAGGCTTTAGCCAGGACAGGCTGGAATTTGCTGTGTGAAGGGGGCTGGGCAAACACTGTACACAGAGAAATAAAGATCAGGCCATAGGGAACAAAGGTGATCTGGAACCTATATCCCCCTAAGGATGATCTGTTCCCTTAACTTCTTCCTCCCCCTTGGTCCTCTGCCCTTTCACTGAGGGACCTCTCAGCAATTGACCTGAGATAACACTTCAAATAATTCTTTGGGCTGCTCTGATGGAATCTGGATATGGATGAGGAAAACATTAAAGCTTTATCAAAAACAAGCCCTTCTGCTTTGCCATTGGGGTAGGAGCTTGGGGGGAAATGGAACCAGCCCTCCAGAGGCCATATAGTAAGTGCTAGGATCCACGGCTCTGCACCGTGAGACCAGCAACTCAATAAATTCACAACAGTGTGTGACCTGGAGAGGCACTGGAAGAGCCTCTGTGTTGTACAACTCCTGAAATTCCCAGCAGTGTGTGACCTTCTGGATAGGTACTAGGAGAGTTTTAGTTGCAGAATAAATTGCTGGGATTAACAACCGGCCACTGTACCTTTTCACTAAGGTGACCACCAAGTCCAGAAGCCTGACGGTAAAGTATGGGAGCTAAGAGCCTTACCCAGTTTGACTTGTAAGCTTCGGTTTTCATCTATAAAACGGGGACGGCAGCAGCTCCCTCACGGGACTGCCGCAAGGATTCGGTGCCATAAAGCAAGCATGTGCAGCCGGCATCCAGCCTGGGGAAACTTCTGCACACGCAAGTTGTTATTAAAGTCTTACGTATTTCGCATCAGCCCAGCCACTCTTTGGAGACCACATCTTCCCTTCTCCAATTAACCCAAGAGCAAGATGAGAGAGCGGGGCAAGGTCCCCACTGGCGCCAACGGTTCCTTTCTCTGGAACATAGGGCAGGCAGGAGGCTGGGAGAGAAGGAGGCACCCGTTACTTCTGGCTACCCTCCTTTTGCCAGTGAGACCAACCTCCCCCAGCAGGAGCTAATATCATTCTATGGCACAAATACCTGGGAAAGACAACTTCTCAAGCACAGCTAATGCTTAAGGGACCTGGCTGAGCTGTTATAAAAGAGGGGAATAAGGTGTGGGGGGGGGGCAGGAAGGGGTACCCTCCCAGTAGCAAAAAGCCATCTCTTGTGAGCCCCTTGAAGTTTAGACTGTAAAGACCTGTACTGTGAAAACTAGAAAACACTGATGAAAGAAATTGAAGCCAACACAAAAAATTGGTATATTTTGTGCTAATGGAGTGGACGAACTAATATTGTTAAAATGTCCATACTACTCAAAGCCATCTACAGGTTCAGTGCAATCCCTATCGCAATACCAATGGCATGTTTCACAAAACTAAAACAAAGAATCCTAAAATGTGTATGGAACCACAAAAAATCCCAAATGGTCAAAGCAACCTTGAGAAAAAAGAACCAAGCTGAAGGTATCACAATCTCAGAATTCAAAATACACCACAAAGGTGCAGTGATCAAAACAGTATGATACTAACATAGAAACAGACACACAGATCAATAGAACAGAATAGACAGCCCAGAGATAAATCTATGCCTATATGGTCAATAAATCTATGACAAAGGAGGTAAGAATATACAACGGGGAAGACAGTCTTGCAATAAACGGGGCTGGGAAAAGTAGACCACTTTCTCACACCATACACAAAAATTACCTCAAAATGGACTAAGGACCTAAATGTGAGACCTGAAACCATAAAACTCCTAGAAGAAAACATAGGCAGTAATTACTGATATTGGCCTTAGCAACATTTTTCCAGATATGGATCCTCAGGCAACGGAAACAAAAGCAAAAATAAAGTATTGGCACTATACCAAAATAAAATGTTTTACACAACGAAGGAAATCATCAACAAAATGAAAAGACAACTTACTGAATGGGAGAAGATGTTTGCAAATGATATGTCCGATAAGGGGTCAATATCCAAAATATATAAAGAACTTATAGAACTCAACACCAGAAAAACCAAATAATCCAATTAAAAAATGGGCGGAGGACCTGAATAGACATTTTTTTTAAAGAAGACGTACAGATGGCCAACAGACACATAAAAAGATGCTCAGCATCTCTCATCATCAGGGAAATGCATATCAAAACCACAATGAGATATCACCTTACACCTGGCAGAATGGCTAAAATAAAAAGCTCAAGAAAAAACAAGTGTTGGTGAGGAAGTGGAGAAAAGGGAACCCTTGTGCACTGTCGGTGGGAGTGCAAATTAGTGCAGCCACTGTGGAAAACAGTATGGAATCTCAAAAGATTAAAAATAGAGATAGCATATGATCCAGTAATTCCACTACTGGATCCAAAGAAAATGAAAACACTAATTTGGAAAGATATATGCCACCCCTATGTTTACTGTAGCATTATTTACAAGAGCCTAGATAGGAAAGCAACCCAAGCATCCACTGATAGATGAATGGATAAGGAATAGGTGGTGTCTATACACACACACACACACACACTGAAATATTACTCAGCTATAACAAACAATGAGATCTTTCCCTTTGTGACAACATTAATGGACCTAGTGGGTATTATACTAAATAAAATAAGTCAGAGATAAATACCAGGTGATTTCATTTATATGAGGAATCTAAAACAAAACAAAACAAAAAGACAGGAACAGACTCATAGAGAATAAGTTGATGGTTGACAGAGGTGGGGGCACTGGGCAAAATGGGTGAAGGGGATTGGGAGGAGTCCAGGCTTCCATTTATGGAATGAATAAGTCATGAGGATGAAAGGTACATCATAGGAAATATTTTTCTTTAAAGTTTAGACTCTGTCCTAAGGACAATGGAAAGCATTACAGATTTTAGCCAGGACAAACTCAGATTTGCTGTGTGAAGGTTGTTGGGGGAACGCTATACATAGAAAAAATCCAGATCAGGCTGTATGGAAGAAAGGTGATTTGAAACCCATATCCCCATAAGGATTATCTATTCCTTTAACTTTTTACTCCTCCTTGGTCCTCTACCCCTTTGCATTTACTATGCATGTTCTAATCAGACCTAGAAATTTTTAGAAATTGTAATAATGTATCTTAAAGATCAGGAACTAGCTGTTGTTCATTATAGTCTTGTTCCTTAAAACAAGTTAGAAATGATCTAAATATGGAATTAAGAGACTTCCATTTGGCCAAAGAGTGTGTGTAGCCATTAAAAGCTATTTGGGGGGGAAAAAAAAGCTTGGAGAATGTTTGGAAACATGTAAATATTTACATCAGAAAAATAATATAAAATGTTCTAGAAGGATAAGGCACACCAAAGTATTCACAGGGGTTCTCTGAGGAGGTAATTATAGGCAACATAGTCTCTTTTTCTTTTTTTGCCCAGATTCCTAGGCACCTAGCCTGCTACCTCACCACCACTTATAAACAGACATGTACTGTTTTGGAGGAAATTCTCAGTTACCAAAAAAAAAAAAAAAAAAGTCCTCTATTTTTTAAAGTAAACTCAGACTCCTAATAGCAGTGCGTTTTCCAACTGCTAAATAATGTCGGTAGGATAAAGCAGTGCCATCCATAGGCCAGCTTCCAGATCATAGTTCACCCTAGGAATTCTCAGAACTCTGGGCACCCAGAGGTGCCCTATATACCTATATACCTTCACCCCAAAGAGTTTCCTGAGCCTGCACTGATCTATACTGTTCATCCTTATCTGTGAGAAGGGGTAGTGGCCTCTCAAGCATTTCAAATCTTATCTCCATGTTGGACTTTTTCTGTCCTAAGAAGTAAGCTCCGAAGAGCTGAACTGCATTGTATCCTGGCACAAGATGGCTTCCTGGTCCAGAAGCAAATCTTTGATCTCTTTACACTTCTGTTCTATCTTTGCAAGAAGTTAAATTTCGGTGATTTAAGTCTGGTTATCCCACCATCTGGGGAGCATTAAGATTTCAGATTCCTAGGCACTAACCAGAACTACTGAAATGGTCTTTGGGATGGACATCCAGGAATCATTGTGTTTCCCAGATGATTTGATGCAACCTCTCTAACCACATCTGGGCATCACTGAATTAAAGGTTCTCTCCAGCTTTGAGCTCAGGGACAGACTTAAGGGGTTTGTTCCAGACTTAAAGATGCCAAATACTAAGTGAAGGGTGATGCAGAATGAGTTGAAGGTATACAGGAGTAAACATCTCTGTCCCCACCCTCACCCCCTTAGCTATCTTCCTCTTCTCCAAGCCCATTTCCATTCATCTCCATTATTTTATGTCGTCTTGTCTCTGCTAGTTCCTCACTATGCCATCAACGAACCAAGTCTACCTGTGGTACATGCCCAGCCTCAATGGAGGGTCAGCCTGGGGACCCATGGCATTACCATTAAATACTTCGATAACTTGCTTGAGGGTCTCCAGGGAAATGCCACTGTATCCTTTGGCTAAGACATTGATCCTTAAAGCCAAGAGCATCCGACATCTCTCAGGGATTAGTGGTTTCCCAACACCTGCAAAACGGAATTGATGTTTTTCTCTCAGAAAATCAAAGTCTTTTCTACCTCCATCTCCTAAATCTTTCTCCAGTTCCGTCCAGTATCCTACCACCTTTCTCTTCTTGACTCAGATATTTGGACTGCTCTCCTTCTTGATTGCCCCGCTTCTTAAAGTCCCATCTTCTAGAAAAATGGGAAACCCAAGTTTTGCCTTTTCAGTTCTCTTTCCTAGAATGCTTCAGTGAGCCCCACCTTCCCCAAGACCCTTAGAATAGCACCCAGCCTGGATTCTTGACAGACTTTCCCATCTCACCTCATCCTGATGAACACATTCCCTAAGTTCACATTCACTTCACTTCATTCCCTGAATGCACCATTATGTTGGCATGGCAATATACATGCTCCTGCCCCAATCCCATCCCTCTACTTGGCCCATTCCTTTTCTGAGATTCAGCTGAAAGGTGGTCTTGTTTGATTTCTGTTTTCCTCTCCCACCTGAGCCAGAACTGGTACTAGTTTTTAGAATGCACTAGCTATTTATGGCTGTTACAGGATACCTCACACTGTGCTGTACTTTATTCACCAAATCAAACAAGATCTAGAAGTCATTTAATGTTTGAAATGATTTACCTGAAGAATGTGAACGTACTAAGTTGACCTGGAGCTCTCTGGAAGAGAAAGGGAAAATCTCTCTTAGATACCTCACAGTGAAAGTTTCCCCTCAGCTGGGGAAATGAAGGGGAGAACAGGTGAATCTTTGGTGGGACAGAATAAGGCAATGTGACGCAATGGAAGAAACCAGCAAGCCTGTGTTTTCAATGCCAACTCATATGCAAGTGAACAGGAGATTTATCCTCCTCATTTGGAAACTGGGGCAAATGTTAATTATTTCTCTTGTTGAAAGAAATCTCAAAGATGGGGGCAGGTGGCATGTGAATGTGTGCTGAGGAGGGGGGAATCAGACTTACTCTAGCTTACTGACAGGAATTACAGTTCTGGCAAATTTCCCAAAACCTGTAGTTATACCATAAACAACTAGAACAAAACAAAACAAAACAAAACAATAACAGACATGGTACCATTAGATGCAGGCCACTTTTTAAAAGTCACTAAAAAGAACTGTATGACATAGAAAAGGATACCAGTTTTTTCTTTCACGATGCTATCTATGACTTCCCTGGATTTTTGCACCTTCTTTTCGGCAGCTGGGGTGAGCTAGGAAAACAGTCAAAGCTGAGCCCATTGAAGACTCCCATATGCAGTGAAAAAGATCAGAGGACATCCTTCCCCACCCTCCCCCGTACCTTTATTTTGTAGCGTCCTTTCCCCAAGTTGACCAGATCCTCTGTGGTCAGAGTTTCCCCATCTAAGGCAATGTACTGCACAAAAGAAGGGGACCCCGGTGAGCTTGAGCAGCTTAGCTGCTCCACCAAGAGCGTAGGGAAGCCTCAAGCAGAACTGAATTTGGACACTCAAGAGATTTTATCCCTGCTCTGAAACATAAATGTGCTAGTGAAAAAGCTTGCTCAAGAGGAGGCGGAGTAAAGAAAGCTAGAAATGAGCATAATGCCTTTTCCTAACTCCATAGAGCAGGATAAAGCCCTGTGCTAACTGATACATGTTCGCTCATAAATTCTGCTGGCCCTACCCCTCCTGAAACGAGGGGAACTTAATTTTCTTTACAAAAAGAGTGTTGGCTTGAAGCTTACCTTTTCAGGCTCCCGGTATTTGCTGTATCTGAAGCCAGGTAAAGGAAAACCCTGGGTAGTGTGAGAAAGCCCCAGCCCAGTCCCTGGCAGGAGTAGCCCCCAGAGCAAACCATCCGGCCTGCAGGAAAAGATACAGGTAAACTCCTTCTGGTTGTGATGGAATGAAGTCGGGAGACATGGCATCGCCCTCTATAACTGAAACGAGAATACCAGAGAGGCTCCTTTACGGATCGCAACGGAGAGCCACATTCGGCGTTGCTGGTAAGCCGAGAAAGGGCTCTTCCACTGCCTCTGGCTTCCATAGAAATGGCTGCTTTAAGACGACCTCAGGGGCTTTCGAGTGCTCTTAGCATCTTTGTGAAGGAGGAGGGCAAAAGGCAGAGACACAGGTGTCAGGTGTGGGCAGGGGTTTAAACGGAAGTTCAAGATCTAACCCCCTCCCTGACCCCCACCCCCACCCCAGCTTTATTTTGTTTTCAGTCCGAACCCCTTAGGTCTATTCCACTGGCCTCCAGTCCGCTGAGGTGCTTTTGAAGGGAAGAAGGATCTTCAAAATGATGCTGGAACGGCAAAGGGATTCAGACAGGCAGTCTTGGGTTCGAATGTAGCCTTTGCAGCTTACTAGGTGTACGATTCTAGGAAGTCAGCTCGTTTCTGGGTCCGTGGCCTTGCTGTAACGGGGGATGGGAAGCCTCCCCTCTCCCAGGTGCGTGCTCACTCACAGCCAGCCCCACCTTCCCCGGGATGGCCGGACCGCCGAGCCTCCTTCCTGGCCATGCGTGGACTCGGCCACTCACCCACTTCCACGAACTCGTTGTCCTCCAGGGCCACCTCCAGCGGGTCTTCGTGGTCCAGCAGGCCCAGGCCCTTGCACCGGCGCATGAGGAAGCGCACGTCATCCACCGAGTCGAAGCCCCCGTTGTCTGGCTTATTCTTGATGTACCTCCTGATGGCCTCGCGGCCCAGCCAGCCGATGGTGAGCTGTGCGTCCCGGCAGGGCACGGCCAGCCATTCTCCGCGCACGTGCACCGTGTACCTGGGCATGGCTCCGCGTCCTGAGGGGGCCCCTACACTGGCTTTTTTGTTCGTGGCGGCCGCCAGGCGGGGAGAGTTTTATCTGGGAGTTACTACTGAGGTGTGGTCGGTAGGGATGAACTTCCAAAACACGCCCCCTCTCTTGCCTTTACTCATCCACACGTTGGACAAATATTTATTGAGGGCCACACGGTGTCCCTTTGGGTTTTCACAGCTGAGCTTGGGGCAGGAGAGGGGGATGCAGGCAGGCCGCGTGGTGAAGCCCCACAGGCCTGGCTTCTCCTGTGCTGGGGGTCCCAGTGCTTGCTGTCACTTGCTGGGGCCTCTTAGGGTCCCTGATTTCTCTCTCCCCTGGCTTCTGTGTTCTCCTCCACTGAGGGCAGCTTATAAACACCATGTTCCTGTTTTTATCTGGAATTACTCAACTATAAAATGCACCTTCTGGTCCACTGTGACACCAGGGAGTGTGGTAATCTTCATTTTTTTGTTTATTCCACAAACATGTGTTGAGCAACTATTCCCTGCCACCACTAAGGTTTTCTAAAGCTGTCCCTCCACAAGGGAGACTGCAAAAGTCAGAGATCATTCTCACAAGGAAAGGTCACCATCTGGATGGATGAGCTGTTGTGGCTTGATGGTTAACAGCTCAGACAGCCGTGGTTGGGACTCCAGCTCCACCATTCATTAGCTTTGAGCAAGTAAGTTATTAATTAGCCTCTGTTTTTTCTTCAAAAGGGAAGAGGCAAACTGCCTCACTGCTGTATTTGCAGTATCTACTTGGGATCCAATCCTGGCTCTGCCATTTACGAGCTATGTGACCTCTGGGCAAGTTATTTGACTTCTTGGGGTCTCAGTTTCTTCATCTCTAAGCTGGAGATAATGATAGCGCCTATTTCAAAGGGCTTTAGGGAGGATTAAGTGAGTTCGTAATATGTAAAGCACATGGTGCATTGGGAATGTTCCAGAAGTGTTTGTGATTACTATTATTTGCACTCGAATGCTCTGTATACCTATATTGCTTTCTAAATTTCTTTCATCTTGGTACATGGATATCCCTAATCCAGTTAAGCATCTTCAACACGGTTAACTGCTCCCTGCACCCAATTCATTACCAGTAGATTAAGGAACTCTGAAAAGCATGAAAAAGGAATCAAAGAAATGTGGGCACTGTTGTAATAAGCAGCACTTTAGTAATAAGCCAGCTTCTAGAGTTTGATTATTGCAACAGAAAGAGCTTGACATGTGTTTCCACTAAAACTGACTTGTTTTGGGAATAGAGACACAGTTGTTCACAGAAAACACGAACACTCAGAATCTCTCTTTCCCTGACAGCTTCTTGAGAAGCATACAAAGAAAGAACTACCCCTCCTTGAAACTTGCACTTCAGTCACCCACATCCTGACCGCACTCTGGAATTTGTCACCACCTGAATTTGATGCACATTAAGAAATCGTAAATTCCACTACCCCACCTTCTGACTATGACTTTCCAGCCTTCCAGTTCTCCCCTTCCTTCAGTCCTCTTTGCCCTTGGACCTGACCTCTGGTTGGCTCCTCCTTCCCTCCATTTCCCATCAGCTTCCTCACTTTCTCTCCTAGGAAGCTGGTGTCCTAGTTGCTTACCTGGGCCACTCTTTCTTTACTACTTTGAAATCCTTTTATAACCCTAAACCTATGCCTGCATGGAGTAAAACTCAACCCCTGGGTCATCACAACCGACTGCTATCTGTGTTCACCCTGGTGGAAGCCTCTGCTACAGAAGGTTCTGTGATGGTGTCTTCACGGCACTGTCCTTCTACCTGCCCCTCCCCCTCAGCAAGTTTCCAAAACATTCACCCTGCTTTTCAACATCCACCTCCTCTAATTTTCAGAGGAGGACCTTACCTCTTACCTCTCTGAGAAAACCGAGGCCCTTAGATGTGAAGCACAACTTTCTACTCTCCTCCATTCACCCAGCCAACAAATATTTCTCAAGCACTATGGAGATAGCGTTCTATCCCAAGCACGATGCTAGGTGCTGGGAATAAAATGAGATACATTCTCTGCCTTCATGGTGCTACTCTCTGGCGATGTTTGCACTTACCAAGAAGACTAATAAGAAGTCCAAGTATCCACTGTGCTGTGAGAAAACCCAAATTACCTGGGCACTCCAGTTGCCAGTCTCCGCTGAGCCCAGCTTTTGCATAATCTCAGGACAGACATCAGACATGTGAGGGAAAAAGCCTCCAGATGATACCACCTCCCAGCGACGTGAGTTTGAAGATTTCAAGTTCATGCCCTAGGCATTGTGGAGCAGAGACAGCTATTTTCACTGTCCAAATTGATGATCCAAAGATCCCATAAGTCTATGCCTTTACCTCTGTTACTCTTTATCCATCTGGAACACTCTTCCAACTTCCTTTGCTTAGCTAGGTATTTCTTATCTCGTAAGCCTCAGTGTGGGCCTTCTCTTCCCCAGTAAGCATTCCCTAAACCCTTTGGTTGGGTTAAGTAGCCCTTCCCCAGGTTGCTTTAGCATATTTCTTCTTTAGCCATATATAGAAATTACTTATCTTTGTTCACCCAGAAATTATATGTATATCCCAGCCTGGCACAAAGACATCCATCACACCCTTAGTAGCTGAAGTGTGTAAATGTGGCCTCCATTGAGCTGGCCCCAGGCAAACCTGTGATGTGTGTGTCTACTGCCCTCTACCTGCATCAGAGCATCCTTCACCGCCACCCTTCCGGGGGCCCTTGCCCCAGTTCACTTCCAGGCTCACTCATCAGTGATCACTGGAATGTGACATTAGCCCAGAGTGTGGGGAGAGCTTACGGGGCAGGGAAAGCCTTCAAAAGCATCATTTGAGTCTGTGGATTTGCTGAAGTTTAATCACGTAGAACCTGATTATATACCAGGGATGTGAGCTGAACTCTCGCCTGTGGTCTTCCTGCCGTGGAAGACAAGTGACAGCAGAGCCTTGAGAAACAGAATCATTTCGGTGTAGATGTGTCCAGGAGAGAACTGCTAAGGACAGTAAGCAAGCGAGCAGCTCGGGATTACGGGGATGGACAGGAATCTCTGTTTCTTTGATACCTGCCCCGCTTCTGGGGTGTTTGCGCCTATTTTAAGACTTCTAGCTAAGGCTAGCACTCTTTTTGTGTATTTAATGACACCCTCACCCACATTTATACTCTAAGACACCATTCCTCTTGCTAAAGTTTATTTGGCCAGGGGTGGACTCAAGCTGAGTCAGTCTCCCCTCTGGGAATCTGGAATTGAGACAGTCTTCCCATGTGATAAGAACTATTTACAACAACAGCAAAGCTGGAGAGAAGCAGAAATGAGAGACAAGAAAGAGTATTGCTCCCTTGACAGTTCCAGGTGTCAGTCCTTTCCCGTCTGTCCGTAGGTTCTTACAACCTCCCCCTACCCTGTATCCTTCAAATAATCCTCCCTTTCCTTTTCTGACTTTTAATCATTTGGGTTTTGTCACTTACAATCAAAGAATCCTAACTAATATGACTGCGGTTCCCAGACTGTGTGCAGAGGTGCCCTTGGGTACTACAGTGTACTCATGGGATGCTTTGTTACTCTCTCATTTCTTTCAAGTCATTCTATTACTTGCAGTATGTATTATATGTGTGTATAATGGGTATTATCATTATATTATTGCCCCTATGTGCTGCATGCTCTACGTGGGTGAAGGATGTTTGGTGACCATTAAGGAGATGAATCAGCTTAGACAGGAGAATATCTGAGGGACTGATGGGAAGTACTGGGGTTTGGGGCAGTCATCGGACCCTGATGGACAGGAGGGCAGGACAAGTCCAGTGGAGCAGCAGGTGGATCTGGGGGTGGGGAGCAGAGTGCTTCCCGGAGAGTTTATACATTTTGGAAAAGTGCGTTTATACTATGCCCACTGTGTGGCTGGGTGAGCAAATCCAACTGAGTGCTCATGTTATTTAAAAAGCAGAGCGCTCATCATGTTGAATTTTTGGCATGCGGCAGATTCAAATTAAAGAACTTAAAAATACCAGGCAAATACTACGCTGACACTCTTGTGGTTGTGCTGGGAAAAATAAATATGTAACTAATGAAAAATTTTACACTTATAAATTAAAAGATTAAACTTTGTTAAAATGCACCTAACAAAGAACATGTCACCAGTGGGGGGGAAGGTAGCTCAGCTTTATTCATGAAAATCACTGACAAAACAATAAAAAGCCAGAACGAAAACAACATTTTTAGTTACAGTATTAGCTGAACTTTTTTATATATCTTCCATTTAAAAAAGCGAAATGTCTGAAATCAGCATTTGGTAGGTCCTTAATCCACTTTTAAGTCTTTCCCCACCAGCATGGCCGTCACTGGGTGCATACTTGCTTTGTGCCCCTGGTAGGTTCGCACGGCTTCATGATGGGATTTGTCAAAGGCAGCAAGGTCCCTGGTGAGGGAACAAAGATGGATAATGACTGATTTGGGTAAGTAATATTTTATTTGGCAAGTATAATTTTATTATACTTGTGAAGTAAGTGAAAAGATTAATCACGACTATCTGTGTCATGGTTCTATAGTTTTCAGAATTCCTGCCAAATCCATAGTCGAAATAACTTCACCAAGATACTCTTAAATTCTGTCTTGCAGCCAAGATACAACTTGTTTCCCCTCTACTAAGCACTGCTTTAGTATATACATCAAGCAACTTAGCCTTCCAACTCATTGCAGCATTTGAATCAAAAAGGTTTGCCTTTACCGGCTCATTTCTTGTTACCTGTAAATAACTTCAGGTTCTTTTGTGTCCCTGCCTACTCCCCAGTTATCTCCTACTTGCTTTTAAAGATCTTTCTGGGTACATAAGATTGTTTTCTATTTATTTCCTTCTCACCAGTGTCTAAACCGATTTGGCCCATAGTAGGTAATCCATATATGATGTTTCTAAAAAAGCTAATGAAATTACTTCAAATTTTAAATATTTAGAAGTGTTCATTCTTATTCCCAAATTATACCTATACTCTTTAACAAATTTAAAAATATTATTTTTAGATGGTGTTTTACAAAGTATTTTAGCAACAGGAAAAACATCTAAGATTGTTCTTCCCCATTCCTTTTTTTTTTTTTTTTAAGAGGGGGGAGGAGCAGAGGGAGAAGGAGAGAATCCTAAGCTGATTCCATGCTGAGGGCCCAGCCGGCTGTGGGGCTCAAGCTACCGACCCTGAGATCATGACCTGAGCCGAAATTAAGAGTCAGAAGCTTAGCCCACTGAGCCACCCCATGGGGGCGTCCCCCCAACTCCTGATATAAATTCAAAGCACAGTCTGAGCTGCTTCTTACTTGAATAGGGGCCGTGTAAACTTCATTCGTCCTTGCTCAGTCGCCATTTTTAGAGCCAAAGGAATTGCTTCCTCCCATTTCGATTGAATGCAGAGCCGTAACCATCTGGAAAGTGGATTTTTAGGGGGCATGGGGTAGGAAACGAGGAGGACGGGGCAGGATATACAGGCATATCTGAAGATTACTTTTGTAATGATGAATAATCCCATTATAGTTATGCTGTACACCACCGTATGTCTTTATTCTGAGAATCTCAAGTCCTTGTATATACAATTCAGTAACTGGAGAAGTGAAGAGGAGTTTGTTCTTGAAAAAGACCGTATGTCTTAAAAGGTTTAGATTATGTCTCACACTACGAATCAGAATTAAGAAAGATTAACCACATAACAGAATTAGAGATTTCCAACTATTCCCATATCAGAGTCCACTTGGCTAGTTGCAGAAGAATGCCTATTTACCACGGGATTCCTAATTCTTTTTTTTTTTTTGGTAAGGTAAGAGAAGCTTAGAACAAATTCTAATAAAAAGATTAATACTATCATCTTACAGTATTGCAACTATTCCTCAAAGACCACTATAATTATTTACTCAAGTGCAGTAAATTTCACAAGGATTTCTTAAAACTCCTGTATGTCTCAGACTCTGCTTTCCCTTTCTCCACCTTTTAAACTAGTTTCTACTTTCTTCCACAGAGACAAGTTAAAATGATGTACCTGAATCGTATTTCAGAATTGTTAATGGCATTCAAGTTGTACACCTCTTGCATTCGCTTTATGTGCCCCAATGGAAGAGGTGCCTAAGAGCAAAATAAAGAAGTACGATGTATCATTTCAACAGGATTCCTTGGAAGAAAGGAGCTGGAGAGAAATTCTTAGCCAGATTAAAATCCTAAATATTTTATAATATAGAAATGTTAGATAAAAAGAAAAGAAACAAATGCACACTACAATAAATTTTGTGCAAACTTATTCTGGATAAGGATGTTCTACTGGGAGCAAAGGGATAATTTAATTGGTGAGGTACATAGAGAATTAAATGAGAATTACTCTCCTCAGACTTTTTGGTATATATGAACACTAACTTTCTAACCCTTTCCAGAGTCTTTCAAGTTCTTCCTTATACCTTATAGATCTTAAATTTATTCCATTCTCCATGTTAAACCACAGTCCCTTAATTGTTTTCTCACTGATTACCCTCAGCTTTATCTTCGCTTATTTCCTCTGAAATCCCTTTTAAATGATCTCTATCCCTACAAAATAGCAGTTTTTAAACTTTTATATTACAAATCCCTTTGAAAACCTGATGAGTAATATGGACCCTTTCCTCACGAAAAAGAGAGAGATTTACTGTATAAACACAAACGTCTGTATACAATTTCAGGGGGTTCACAGACCTCCCGTGCCCATCTTCAGCCATGCTAAAAGGGGGAGCAAATCTGGTGAGGAAAGAAGAGCAGTTCAGTCTGGACAAGCAGGGAGGCTGAGGTGCTGCCAGGCGGGTGGCTACTGTCCTCTCCCAGAACGATTCCTCTTACAACACTCACCCCACGCTCGGGGAAGCATCTCTGCTCTGAGCGCCAGACCCTTTCCAAATCCTTTGGTCTCGGCTAGCTTCCAAGTCCGCCTTGGTAGGTCCACCGGTTAAGGTCACCTCCCAGACCCCCAGCTTTCACTAATTTTTGCCATGCCTATTCCAGAGACATCCCGTCAGGCGCTGCAGACATTTACGAAACCTCGGTGACTTGATTCCCTAAAAATGGATTCTTGCAAAGCCCCTGTTGCCTTAAATCCTAGTCGTCCTTTTGTGTTGATTCCATAGGAAACTCTGTCCAGTCTTCTCTATCCCTCTCAAGGTCCTCAGACCCAAGAGCGCCTTTCAGTGTAACAGTAAAGACCCATCCTTCCCTCCCTCTCAAAATGCAGTCTCTACTTGCCATTTCACATGTTTTTTAATTACTTGGGTTTGAGACCTTAAAATCTGCTTGGACTCCTTCCTGTTAACCGCCAAATCCAGTCAGTCACAAACCCCATGCTTTTCATCCTTCACCCCTGCTCATCTGGTCTGTTTCCTCCTTTCCTACTAGCTTCCTCTGCATGTCCTCCAAAAGTCCCCCAACGAATTTCTTCACCCATGTTCCTCATGTTGATCCACTGGCGGACTTGTAGGATAACCCACCCTTTCCTCAAATGACTTTCCTGTTAAACACGTTAGCTCCTTTCCTATCTACTAAAACAAAACCTAAGACTCTTAGCTTAGCATTCAAGATTCATCACATCTGATGCCACTAGCCGTTCTAGAATTATCTTCATTAACTTCTGCAACACCGAGGCTTGGGACCTGAATTTCCACCTCTGCTAACACTGCTCTGGGCAAAGCAATGCCCACTCCCACAAAACCTTTCCTTGACAATGCCTGTTGGAAGGGAGTTCTTCTTCACTGATTAAGCTTTTCTCAAATGATACCTAAAACAGGCCTCCTCTTATTGCCAAATTTTGTACGTGTGACCTTTCCTACTAGATTGATTATAAGCTTTTTGAGGACGTGCTATATTTCTTTCTTGCATATTTTCATGTTCACAACAACACTAAACATAATAAGCATTCAACAAATGAATGAATTTTATGTTATTTTTTTCCATTAGTTTTCACATTAACATTTTTTTTCCAAGTTGGGCTTGACATAAATGCTGCGCTTTTGTTATGTCCATTGTAATTTCTCATGTTTTGAGCTAGTACTTACTCTCTGGAGCATCTGTGCTAAAAATTCGTTCAACTGATGAGAAGAGAGATCCTTCAGGTCTGCTGAGGTAAATGAATTTAAATCATCTTCTTTGGCCTAAAATAAATGTTACCTGGTTATTTCCATTCATGTACGATTTAAAAATATTTATTGGTCTATCTGACATAAAAGTAAAGATTAAGAAAAAGACAGATATACAAGAATGCATATGATGGTGAAAAATGTATTTAAGCCTTAGCTACTTTAATAGTTTTGAGATGATGTTACTATAACTTAAAGAGCTGACATGACTTCTAAAATCTGTATTACTTAAGAAAAATTAGACTATTGGGGTGCCTGGGTGGCTCAGTCGTTAAGCGGCTGCCTTTGGCTCAGGTCATGATCCCAGAGTCCTGGGATCGAGCCCCACATCAGGCTCCCTGGTCTGTAGGAAGCCTGCTTCTCCCTCTCCCACTCCCCCTGCTTGTGTTCCCTCTCTCGCTGTCTCTCTCTCTGTCAAATAAATAAATAAAATCTTAAAAAAAAAAAAAAAAAGTTAGATTATTAATAGTAAAAGTGGAAGAAACTTTTGACATCCTTTGTACCATTCAAGATATACGGATTTTCAAAGTAAACATTATAAAAGCATATCAACTAATTAATAGGCCTATTTAAAAATTTGGGTAAAGGATCAAATTGCATATTCTCTTAAATATCACTAATTAACTGATAAGACCACGAACTGATGTTTCCCTCCAACCCCACACGTTCTGTTTTTCCCACTTAATTTTGGAAATCATCTAAGAAAAAGAAAAGTCTGTCTGTACTTTTCTATTTAGGATTCACTGCCAAAAATCTTTGAGGATATGATTAAGAAATATTAAATAAAGCTTATCAAAGTAAGCATTTTTAAATCTTTAAAACTAGCTTTAAATTCTTTCAAACTAGGGTTTCTTTTTTTTTTAATTATTTTTTTTATTTTAATTCCAGTATGGTTAACATAGTTATATTAGTTTCAGGTGTACAATATAATGACTCAACACTTCCATACAACACCCGGTGCTCATTGTGACAAGTACACTTCTTAATCCCCATCACCTGTTTCACCCATCCCCTTAACCACCCCCCCGTAACCATCAGTTTGTTCTCTATAGTTAAGAATCTGTTTCTTGATTTGTCTTGCTTTCTCTCACTCTTTTTTCCTTTGCTCATTTGTTTTGTTTCTTGTATTCCACATGAGTGAGATCATATGGTATTTGTCTTTCTCTGACTGACTTATTTCACTTAGCATTATTCTCTAGCTCCTTCCATGTCCTTTCAAATGACAAGATATCATTCTTTTTTATGGCTGACAATATTCCATTATAGATATATACCATTAGAGATATTCCTTATCCATTCATCTATCAATGGACACTTGGGCTGCTTCCATAGTTTGGCTACTGTAAATAATGCTGGTGTAAACATAGGGTGCATGTATCCCTTTGAATTAGTGTTTTTGTATTTTTGGGGTAAATACCCAGCAGTGTGATTACTGGATCATAGGGTATTTCTATTTTTAACTTTTTGAGGAACCTCCCTCCTGGCTTCTACATAAACTAGGGTTTCTCTTAAGTTGAAAAGAAATATATGCAATGTTTAAAAAAAATCAAATGGGGCCAAATGAAAAATTCCTTTGTTTTTGCTCCCTGTCTCCAAGTCCTATTCCTTAGTAACCAGTATTAATAGCTCCTTGTATATCCTTCCAGAAAATTTAATGTATAAATATATAACCTTGTAAAGAAACATTATTTTACACCTTCCTCCCTTTCCTATCTCACTGTGAAACCATACCTTAGTATCAAAACTTACAGATCTCATTCTCTGCTCAGAAACACACAGATTTAAACTGTCTATTAAGGATATATCATAAGTGGTACAAACATGAAAAGCAATGGAACAATAAGCCAAAGGTCAAGGTGATGGTTACCCTGATGGGAAGGCAAGGTGGGTAGTGAGGAGCATGAGGCGGGGAGGGGTGTTCCAACGGTACCAGTGAGGTTTTATTTCTTAGGTTAGCGGTGGCTACATGGGCATTTGTTTTACAGTTGATTTTTACACCTTCAAACAGGTGATGTGCATTTTTTTCATCTGCTTTTATTTAATATTGAAGAAAAACAACTGAGCAATCAAATGAGGCAATGAGAGGACTCCTTGTAATCACTAGTGGTTCCATAGACTACGAGTCCTCAGTCTGTCCCCAACACTGCCTGTTCCTGTTAATACTGAGCTATTTATAATCGTCCACCTTGGCTGCTGAGCCTAAAGGAATATCTAAGCAGAAATCAGGAGCAGAAGCAGTTTTACCAGGTGGGCTGCAATACATTTTTCAAATGAAAACAGAGGTCCTAATACATCACACTGTTGTTAAAAGATCCTGTTTCCCTTGGTTCTCTCTTAGGCTTTTCTCCATGACACGTCTGTGAACTACACAAAACATCGATTCAAGACACGGGTAGAAGAGCTGAAGCATGATCTGTGGCAAGAGGTATTACCGGATTTCCCTCTCTGCATAGACAGGATCAAGCCTTTCTAAATGATTTGGTGTACATAACGAAACCCCTCTTCTAACCATAACTTAAGACCTCTGGTCCCTGTCATTATGGGACCAGAACACAGGAAGCCCCCCAGTCCAAGCCAAGTACTGACAGCAGATGTGCAGACATACACAGCTAGCCTGGGGGTGGGGAGCTGCCTAGATATTTTCTACCCCCTCAAAAAGATCCTGACCTAGACCTAAAGAGTTAGTAATAGTCTAACTTTGTAATGATATTATGAGAATCTTCAGAAAGCTGTCTGTATTTTATTTTAAAGGATGGTGTCTTTTCCCTGGGGTTTCTGGTTCCATTTTCCTGATTTGACTTACTCCTGATTTGTTTTTCTTCCTTCTCCTGGCTGTCAGAGGGTTCCCTCAAAACCTGGAGCTTTCTATGCCTCTTTCTTCTTCTGTGGAGAAGAAGATTTGATCGGTTTTCAAGGTCTCAACTAGCTATTTAAAATTAAACCTCAAAAATCTTTAAACTCTTTTATTTCCTCCTGCACTGTTCTAGTTCAAACCCCTCAAGCCTTCCGATCTGAGCTACTATCTCATCTGAACCGCTAGCTGGCCTTCTTACTGACTCTAACTTTCTCATCTCAGCTGAGCCTATATATTACACAGCTTGACTAACGGTCCCAATAAACAGCTCGAGTCATTTCGTTTGCAATTCAAAAACCTTCAGGGATCCGCTGCTGTTTACAGATTATGGGTTACAGTCCTTTGCTTGACAATCAAGAGCCTCCGTAATAGGGAACTAATTTATCTTTCCAACTTTGTTTTCCCTCTACTAATCCATGTATTTATCCACCAGTGGATAAATGTGGATGGCCCTGGCCATATAGAGGTGAATAAAAACAATTTCTGCTCTCAAGGAGCTTATGGCCTGGTGAAAGAAACAGATGCAAACAGTGCAGTAAAAAAATACAAATATAGTAAAAGCTTCCTTAAAATGAGCTCCACTAAAACCACTCATTAGATTAACTGATACTCTCCACCCTCTCGTTATGTAAAATGAATGGACTCATGTCCAGGGCACACCCTATGCTCAGAGTGGGTGGGCCACCCCGAGTACCTGTGTTCTTCTCCTCCCCTCTGTTGATTTATGTGTTAACCACATCAGCTAGAATTGTCTCCAAATGTGTTAATGTCAGTTGTAGTTGTAATCAGGAAATCTCGTTGAATAATAGGTAAACTGATCAAAGCGGAGTGCCAAGAAAAAGAAATTTCTATAAATATTAAGTTTATTGCTCTGAAAAATCTAAGTCAACTTTAACTTAAAAACTGCTGTACAAAAGAATGTTGCTACCGAATCTGTAGACAAGGTGCTTGTAAAAAGATGGGAATAACAACAGAAAAATCTAGAAGGGATACACATTGCTTTGCAAGTGTATTTAAATTCTATTTCCACTTTAAGGAAACTAAAATTAGAAGTTATAGGTTCATTAAGAATTTAGTTTATGCAGCTGACATACAGCTTTGGCCCCATAGTCAAAGTTTGAGTAATTTATGTTTTCAATTAAAATAAAGTGTCTTCCTTATGATCAATTTTTATGACACCCTGCTTTAACCAATTTTAACCAATTTTTTTCAGTTAGCTGACTCAACCTCAATGCACTCCCCCACCCCCCCAGGTGGAAGTATTGGTTCTTTCTGGTGACCTCTCGTTACTTCATCTGTGTCTTTTTCATGCTGCTCATCACTTACTGTTATTTATCACTAAACTTTAGAAACAAGTGTCAAAAGGCAACATCTAAATTTGTTGCAGAGAACAGGATGAAGGATAGCAAAATAGGCTACCCCCAAATTAGTGTACTGATTATTTTAGCTGCAGGCTCTTGAAAAACAGGAAAGGCAAGGAGAGGTTTTCTCTGAACTGCACTCATCTGCCTAAAGACAGATCTTCCAAACGGAACCCAATTGTCCTAGATCCCCTCCCCTGGGAGTTTCATCAGTCAGGCAAGATTGACTCTGATCACGGGAAAGGAAAAAAAAAAACCTGACATCACACCCAGACGAACTTTGTCCCACACTATCATACCTCCTATCTATTCTTCTAAGGGCCCATTTATCTTTCCTAAAAATCCTTTATTTTCCCCTAAAAGGCCTTCTCTTTCCGTACTGAAATGGTATTTAATCTTGAATTCTGGGCCACCTCTGAGTTACTCATTTTTCCGCGGGCCTCTCCCCTGTATGCATGAGATAGACACATTAATACATTTGTTTTTCTCCTGGTAATCTGCCTTTTATTACAGAGGTCTCAGCTGAGAACTCAGAGGGTAGAGGGAAAATTACTTTTCTTCCCCTACAAGGATTATTCCTACATTTTCTGTTATTTTTCATGAAAGCATTACCCAGGGCACATCTGCATTCTGGTTTCTCTAAGGGTTATATTTCAGGATATACACAAAGAAGCTCTTCTTTAGGAGGTTCCACAGATGTCAACAACTAACACCAACCGACAGAGCAGAAGGGCCTCCGTTCTTCCCTAACAGTTGCACCAGCGCTCACCTAACATCATTTGAGATTGACCTGGTGCGGGTAAGGGCTGTATGTGAAGCAGTGTCTTACAAATGACTGATGAGGAAAAGAAGCAAGAGAAAACGCAAGTATTTCTGCATACCTTTTTTAAGACTTGAAAAGAAGCAAGAAAATGAGAACTAACACCACCAATATCTATTTGCTCCCCCAGCCAAACTTAACTTTACACATTGAGGGCTGGTATGCCACCACTTTGGACAAACTTGGCTTATGAATGACCTTTCCAGATACGTGAGTTTGTGAGTAAAGTACCCTCCCGCTCCCGTCCCTGCCACCTCCTTCCTGAGTAGAGACATATTTGTACAATTCAAAAAGGAGTCAAAATCACACGTTAGTACTCACAGTCATCCACCGTTGACTTAAGGCAATGCAAGCATTTGTCAGCGTCATATCATAACTGCAAAGATGAAAAAATACTAGAGATTAAATTTCATAAAAATGTACCTGCTTTTCCATAAATGCAATGTTGAAGTTACAGAACATACTTAACTTTCAAAGTTCTTTTTTTTTTTTTTTTTTAAAGACTTTATGTATTCGTTTGAGAGAAAGAGGGAGAGAGAGCCCGAGGGAGACAGCATGAGAGCAGGGAAGGCAGAAGCAGACTCTACCCTGAGCAGGGAGCCCGATGCAGGGCTCGATCCCAGGACCCTGAGTTCATGACCTGAGCCAAAGGCAGATGGTCAACTGACCGAGCCACCCAGGCGCCCCTCAAAGTTCTTTTTAAATAAAGCCCAGGGGGGCGCCTGGGTAGCTCAGTCGTTTGTATGCCTTAGGCTCAGGTCATGATCCCAGAGTCCTGGGGTCCAGTCCCACATCGGGCTCCCTGCTCCATAGGGAATCTGCTTCTCCCTCTCCCTCTGCCCGTACCTCTACTCATGCTCTCTCTCTCAAATAAAAATCTGGAAAGCAAGAAAGAAAAGAAAAAGAAAGAGGAAAGAAAGAAAAGAGAAAGAAAGAAAGAAAGAAAGAAAGAAAGAAAGAAAGAAAGAAAGAAAGAAAAAGAGAAAGAAAAGAAAGAGAAAGAAAAGAAAAGAAAAGAAAGAAAGAAAGAAAGAAAGAAAGAAAGAAAGAAAGAAAGAAAGAAAGAGAAAGAAAGAAAGGTAGAAAGATAGAAAGATAACTCCAGAGTGTTGGAAATAGGAAATCTTCTACCTGACTTAAATATACTGGTGTCATCTGAGAACTTGGAAATCCAAGTGGATACCAAATTAATGAAACACCTGATTATCCTCCGGAGAGAATGCCTCACCATCTCAGCAAAGATGGTCAAAAGCTTCAGTAGCATCCGCTGAAGGCGCTGGGACTCAGGTGGGCACATTTAGGGCTTGCTGTGTGGCAGGCACAGTTCTAGGTGCTCGTGACAACACAAAGTCCTTGCTTTTGTGGATTTTACATTCTGTTGTTCCAACTATCTAATCTTCCAACTTTGTAAACCATCCAACAAATCTGCGAATGCCTATGTGGCAGGCACGGTCCTAGACACCAGGGAAATGATGGTGTCACGGGAGACCCTTGGGAGACTCCGAAATCATGTGATGATTTTGTTCCACTCTTTTCAGAAGAGAGTGGAAATAACAAACTCTGACCATTAAAGCCAAGCAAACTGCACTAAAATCTGTGTGTTCTCAACTTAGAAAATAAGTCCTCTGTTTTGCAACAACAATGGAAGAAACTGTATAAGGTGCAAAAATTCTTGCAAAACATCCCTCTTTGTCCATAAATGATGCTTGCTTGCTGTGAAATGTTTCTATTAGAGAACAGTGGGTTCCTGCCCCTGTGGGCCTAAATGAAATGAGTTTTAATTAGAAGTTACCTCTGAACCTCTGAAAGACAGTTTGTGCCCTAGGGGAGATTATAAAGGGGTTAAAGCAGCGCCCTCCTTTGAAGTAGCTGCCAGTTACTCTTTGTGAAGTAGCCAGGCTGTGGACTGAAGAGAAAGCCTTTTGTTTGTCCCCGAGACCAAATGGGATCAGAGGTGGTACATTGCTCAGGCAGTAAATCATCTTCAACTAGAACATTCCTTAGCAGTGATTTCATAAGGAACAATAGGACAATACAAAACCTCTGATCTCTTTCTGGGTGTCCTGAAACTTCCTTCTCATTGTCATGAAAAGAACTAGGTAAGGATTAGCCCAGGGAAGGGAAGCAGCCCTTATTTATGGCAAGGTCCTAAGAAAAGAAGTGAGCAAAACCAGATCAGAGCCCTGCTCTCATGGGGCTTCAGTGTCGTGGAGGAGAAAGACTTTAATAATCACACAAATTAAAATTACTGCTGTGGTAACAGCAATGAAGAGGCCATACACAGCACCAGGAAACTCTAAATGGGGACGGGATTTGGTCAGAGAGCTCAAGGAATATCTCCATGAGGAAGCGGTTCTTGAGCTGAGATTGGAATGACCTGGGTAAAGAGTATAGCCGGTGGGGGGAACAGCATGATCCTGGCTGGAACATGCGGTAGTTAGCATCCTCACATGACGACGTGTGGGGACCAGAGTTTAGGTCTCTGATTCGAAGAGAGTATTTAGTTTAAAAGGCAGTATATCGGAGGGGTAAAGCCTGCCAAGGTTTGAATCTCAACTCTTAACTACTTACGGTGCAAACTTCGGCAGGAGAACTTTACCTCGCTAAGTCTAATGTGCCTCCTCTGGAAATGGGGATGACAAATTAGAACACTGCTGTAATGATGACCATAATACTTATAAAAGTTGTATTTCTTATTGCAGAGGTTTTGACAGAAAGGAAAATATCTTCTCTGTATCACCATCCTTCAGCTGAAAGGAGGCATTCCATAATGATTTGCAATTAATTGAATTTATATTTGTAATATCATGGAAAAATCTTCTTTGACCTCAGGGTTAAGGGTCAAACACCTACTACGTCTACTCTCTAACTAGGACCAGCTTAAGGAAGTCCTCAAACCCTGTTAGGTATTTTGACGGGCTCAAGGATTTCGGCGAGTAAGAAGGGAAGCATTAGCGGGAAGTACTGACTTGGGTTTTACAGGAGGCATTCCAGGAGAGTAGAGCCAGGTGGTCCAGTCAACTTGATTGAGAAGATCAACCTGTGAACACGAAGAACACTGAGGTTGCTACGGAATAACTTTCTCCAGTGGGGGCGAAAAATAAATCGAAAAACAGACTTTTAGGTCCTCAAATCTGTAATTTTGTCTACACTGACATGTCAAGATAATTTCTCAGTCTCTTTCCTAAAATAAATTTATATTAACCAGCATCCTGTTAAATAAAGCAGGAAAATTAAATACATACAAAAAACCACATTTCTGAAACCTACTATTGCAGATCTCTCTGAAACATTCACATGTTGTTGAGATCACATTTTACATAGGAAAAAGTACCATGAAAGGTTGAGTCTTAAATTCTAAACCAATACTACTATTAAGGAATTCAAATCAGCCTAACAAATAGCCATTAAATACAGGTATATTGGGCATAAAAAATAAGAAAGCTTTTAAAAAGCCAACCTTATCTTTAAAGTGGGAATACAGGAAATCCTTCCAGTCATCAGTGGTTATGCTCTTGTAGGAGAACTTCTCAACATAAGCCTTTAGGAATCCTAGGAAAACCTCTAATAGTAAAAGAAAAAAAAAAACTGATTAATGGAAAGGTAACTACTTAATATTTTTTTCGGTGCATGGTATGGTATTCTTGACCATGGAGAACAGAGAACTTTCAGAGAACAGGGAAACCAATAAGGGCTTTAGTGGTGAAAGAATGTTCAAATCAGAGGAGGTAGGACTTAAGCTGGGCCTTGAAGCATATATGTAATTTGGTGGAAGGGAGAAGAGAAATCCTAAATACAAGTAAGAGGACAATGCAATGAAGAAACAGAGAAGGAATCCACAACACAAATTCTAAAAGCAATCGCCTTAGTGTGACCAAGAGGAGGAGAACAAGATGGGACAGTCAGAATGTGTGCAGGTGAGGGAGGGCCTTCAAAGTCCATAGACAAAGGAGAACACCCCAACACCTATCAGAAGGGGAAGGTTGCATACGTTCAGCACATCTGTATCATGGACAACTCTGGTGGCATTAAAGAGCATAAGGCAGATTTGTATGTTCTGACATGGAAGGATGTCTGTGGAACACTGCTGAATTTAAAAAAAACAAAGGTAGAACAAATTTTATATATGTAAAAATGATCCATTTTCTTTTCTTTTTTTAAGACTTTACTTATTTGAGAGAGAGAGAGAGCGAGCATGAGCAGGGGAGAGGGAGAAGTAGGCTCCCTACCTAGCAGGGAGCCCAATGCGGGACTCAGTCCCAGAACCCTGGGATTATGACCTGAGCTGAAGGCAGACGCTTAACCTACTGAGCCATCCAGGAGCCCCAATGATCTATTTTCTGTAATTAAAATATATTTGTCTGTTTGTTCACTTATACTTAGATCTGGAACCATGCACACCGAACTGCTAACAGTGGTTACCTGGGGAATGGAAAGGGGCTGAAGGACTCTCACTTGTTACTCTTAGAAACTTCTGTACTACAGAATTGTTTTTGAGTACATACTATTTTCCTAATTTTTAAAATACTGATGAGTTTTTTTAAAGTTATGGAACACGATTTTGAATTCAGCATATTCAAGGTTTGAAGTAGAGAGGTCACATTAGAAGATGATACAGATTTTCTTCAGCAGCTACACACAGAATGAACCAGAAGAATAAAATGGAGCAAAAACAACAGTTAAAAATGCTTCCTTGGGTGCCTGGGTGGCTCAGTTAGTTAAGCGACTGCCTTCGGTCAGGTCATGATCCTGGAGTCCCTGGATCGAGTCCCGCATCGGGCTCCCTGCTCGGCAGGGAGTCTGCTTCTCCCTCTGACCCTCCATCCTCTCATGCTCTTTGTCTCTCATTCTCTCTCTCTCAAATAAATAAATAAAATCTTTAAAAAAAAAAAATGCTTCCTTATTCTTCACATTGCCCTCAAAAAAAAAAAAAAAAAAATCAGAAAATGCCAACTACTTGCCGGGGCCCCCAAGAAGTTGTTCAAGGTAAAAGAGTAAAGCAAAGCCCTTCTCGTAGGGCACTGAAGAATATGCTACATCGGGGTCCACATTCGTCAGATCGACCACAAGTTTGGTGTAAGGATGCGTATCTCCAAAAGTCTTTATCTGCAAGACACAAAATTAGATGAACGTTCAAATATGTTGGTTATTAGCATGCAAGCACACAATAAGGAAGTATTACTTCACTCAAAGGGATAACTTTAGGGGAATCTAGAACTTAAACTGAGAGACTAGAAATTGTAGGGTATGTTAGCACAAATTTCTGTAAGTCTGTTAATGGAATGGCTACTTGTGTCATGTTCCATGATATTTCCTGCTCAGCAGTAGGCTTTATTCTTATAAAAAACTAGAAAAATGCGGGCGCCTGGGTGGCTCAGTTGGTTAAGCGACTGCCTTCAGGTCAGGTCATGATCCTGGAGTCCCTGGATCAAGTCCCGCATCGGGCTCCCTGCTCGGCAGGGAGTCTGCTTCTCCCTCTGACCCTCCCCCCTTCTCATGTGCTCTCTCTCTTTCTCTCTCTCTCAAATAAATAAATAAAATCTTAAAAAAAAAAAAAAAAACTAGAAAAATGTTTCAATGCCTGGTCAGCAAATTCAGCCTTCAGGAGGGAGCCTGAAAAATTCAAACTAAGTAACTAGATTAATTGCAAAGACCCAATGAGGTCCTACTGATCATGAACGTGACATTACACAGGCTAATCGCTGTATCAGTAAAGTATTATACCAAGGCCCCTGGGTGGCTCAGTGGATTAAGTGTCTAATTCTTTTGCTTCGGCTCAACTCACGATCTCAGGGTCCTCGATTCGAGCCCCACGTCGGGCTCTGTGCCCAGTGCAGAGTCTGCTTGGGGTTTCTCTCTCTCCCTCTGCCCCTCCCCTCCGCCGCCCCACACACTCTCTCTCTCAGATAAAGCTTTAAAAAAAAAAAAAGGAATATTATACCAGTATCTGCTTGATTTTCCACACCTGTAAGTATGGCTTTCTTGTTGCTACTTAGGAAAGCTAGTTTACAAACTAAACTTTCGAATGCCTATTCAACTTTGGAGAAATGCTTTTCAAAGCATGACTCACTTACCGAATTCTGTAGTTCTCCCCATCCTCCCAGCGCGTGAAAATGTCTGAACTTTTCACCAAACAGTCGTCCACAAATGTGGCGTTCCAAGTACACAGTATGTCCTTCGTTTAACCTGAAGAAAGGTTTTTTGTAAATAAAAAACAGTGACACAGCTGCAAGGAACAAGCAATTTAATCAAGGTATTTTCTTTTTGGCTTTAGTAAAGAATTGTAAAGCATGGACACTATGGTCTAAGCAGATTGCCTATTCGGCTACTCTGCATTCCATTCAGAACAATGGGAAGCGCAGCCCAGCAGATGGCAGCGGGGAAAATCCAGCCATGGTTCTCATTTTACGTGCCCATGTATTAAAATGTGACCCTACCAGGAACTAAGTAACAAGCACGAGCCGAATGCCCCTCCTCTACCTGACAGTGTGACAAGTGTTGTGGAATTTTTTTTTAAAACTGTCTACCAAAGAGATGATGACAAAGAAAAACAAGATACTGCCACAAAACAATTTAGAGTGGCGGGAGGCAGGGAAAGAAATTAATAAGAAGAACCAATAAAGAAACATTAATAATTAAAAAATCTTACCAAAAGTGGTCCCAAGTTTTGTTGGTCACTAGATTTCCTGTCCAACTATGAGATATTTCATGCGCAATAACCTAAAGTGGAAATGATGTGTAGTAAATAGGGGAAGGGATTAGTGGTAGAATTGATCGCCTTACTCTAAAATAACTCTGTAAGTAAGCATTCTAGTTCTTTCAGTTCCACATTGTTCAATTTTTTTTTTAACATCAGCTGAGATATTCAGGAAGTTAGCTGAGCAAACAAATCATCATTTAGCCAAAGACAAAAGTATGGTTTAAAAAATTAGAAACAAAAAATTATTTAGAAAATATTAAATGGATACAACTCTCCATTAAAATATATTTCATAAACATCTGAAGAGATCAGATCATAAAATGTTATGAAATCTATTAAATCTAACTGTTAATAGAACAACCCCTAAGTTATCTTTTATAAGCGTATCTTCAACATAACAATACAATGGATATTTAAAAAATCAGCTGACTTAATAGTTCTTTGAGGGTAAGACCACAATAACAAATTTTAACTTACATTGGAGAGTGACTTGTCTCCTGCCTAAAAAAGATGAAAATTACCTTAGTATTCAAATTACAGACTATGTTTAAAAGACTGCCTACATCAGGACATATTCCAGCTTTAATAGTACGCTGTATTTCTACTGTCGCACTCAAAGGGGTTCAAAAGCAGAGTATGTATTGAGAAAATAAAACAAAAAAAGGCAGGACTAAAAAAATAGCATGATTCTTTCTCTCCCTCATCTGGGGAATTTTTCCATGACCAGGAAGGCCAGTATACCTATCTCCAACTTCCAGGAAACATTTCTCCTTCCATTTTTTTATATCTGTTCTTATTTCCCTTATGTACCTTATTCTCTCCTAATTACCCACAGCATATTTAAGAAAAGTCCGTAGTGATTTAAGGTAGCATACAAAGGCATATAAATTATAGTTATATACTGTAGGTCTAATCCTTCCCTATACATGCTAAAGTGAGTTTTTGTTTGTTTTGTTTGACCCGTCCCTACATGCCAAGTATAAATGGTCTAGTTTCTGTGTCTGCATACAGAATTCATCCATATATTGCTATGACGCCGCCTCCCCTCCCCCAACACCCCCACACACCTTGAATATAATATTCTTGTCTCCCTAATGGCCAACTTATTTTCTTTTGAAAAAAACGAGATGATGAAAATGACCGTAATAAGCAATAACATCAGGAAGAAGAGGTATATAAGTAAGAGAAAATACTGTTTAAAACAAATAGATGATCAGGAGCCTAAGGCTCTTCACACCCGGCTGTGTGTGTGAGAACTCAGCTGTGCGTGCAGACATGCTCACACTTACCAGCAGAGTGGGGGTTACGAACGTGAGGCAAGGATTCTCCATGCCGCCGTAAGGGAAGGACGGCGGCAGGACCAATAGGTCATACTGCCCCCATACATACGGTCCTCCCAGATCTTCCGCAATTTTAAGCATAGATTCAGTCTGGAAAATGAGTGCATATATATTTACGTGTCTTAGTCATTACAATGATGAATTTCTTCAAAGTACCTGTTGCTTTCTACGAAGGTTATGAGTTAAGGATGCTCATTTTAAATTATATTGATGCAAAAAAAGTAGCAACTGCAAATCCACACAGAATAAGAGATATTTGATTCTCTTACCATATCACTTAACATCATCGCATTTCATACTTAAAGTCTTAAATCTATTGTCTACCAGGATTATTAAAAAGGGCAACTATATGACCAACCTCAGAAAATTCGTAAGCAGACTTTTCCACCTGCTCTTTCTCAGACCAAACCAATGTTCTTGGGCCAATTTGCCTGCAAAATTAAAAGGCTTAATAAAAATGAAGTTCAAGACACATTACTTACTTTCTAGGAAAGAGCTCAAGTACTAGCTACACGTCCTGACAGTAGTAGGTATGATTTACCATGTGCTTTTGGGGAGGGCGGGAGGTTTAATTAATGGCTTCTCTGAGATACAATCCTGTTGTATGCACACCAATAAATAGGCAGCTCTATAAGGAGGCCCTGTCTGGGCCAAATGAAAACAGAGACATAAGGTGCCCCCAAAGATTAGCTTACTGGCTCTGGTAAGAACTTTGGGGATCTAGTTTCCTCTCACAATCTCACAACTATAGAAACCCAGTCATGGCTCAGTAAGAGATTATTTGTTATGCACTTAAAGGTTGAACACTCATAGAAGAAGAAACAAATAGAAAAAGAAGGAAATCCTGTCACGTGCTAGAACATGGCTGAACCTTGAGCACATTATGCTGAGTAACCCAAGCCAGTTACAAAAGAACAAATACTCTCTGATTCCGCTTAGGAGGTCTCTAAAGTGTTCAAACTCATAGAAACAGAGAGGAGAATGGTGGTTACCAGGGGCTGGAGGGAGGTGGAAATGGGAGTTGTTGTTTATTTTTATTATTATTTTTTTTATTAAAGATTTTTATTTATTTATTTGACAGAGAGAGACACAGTGAGAGAGGGAACACAAGCAGGGGGAGTGGGAGAGGGAGAAGCAGGCTTCCCGCTGAGCAGGGAGCCCGACGCAGGGCTCGATCCCAGGACCCTGGGATCATGACCTGAGCCGAAGGCAGACGCTTAACGACTGAGCCACCCAGGCGCCCCTGGGAGTTGTTGTTTAAAGGGTACAGAGGTTCAGTTTTGCAAAATGGAACAGTTCTGAAAATCTGTTTCACAACAATGTGGATATACTGAACACTACTGACTACTGAGCTGTACCTGTAAAAATGGTTAAGGTGGTAAATTTTGTGGGGTTTTTAGCCACAATTTTAAAAAAAGAAGAAACAAATAGAACTATGTATCACTTACATAGGACTAGAACACAAAAATATTTTTTTCATCTAAATTTCATCCTAAAAATTTTACGTGCACCAAACCCCAGACAAGATTTCACCAGGGTGTCCTGCCCCAGAGAGAGCAGTTGCTTCTCAAACTTTAATGTGCATACAGATGATCTGGGGAGCTTGTTCATATGCAAATTTTGATTTAGTAGCTCTGGGATAGGGCCCAAGAATTTGCATTTCTAACCAACTCCCAAGTGATGCCAAAGCTATTGGTCTCTAGACCACACTGGGTAGCAATGGTAACCCGCATTAATCCAACAAATTTAATGAGAGCCACAAGTATGAGCTGCATATGTAATTTTAAATTGCCTAGTGGTCACAACTGAAAAAAGCAAAATGGAAGCAGATGAAATCAATTTTAACAATACAGTTTGTTTAACCCAATATATCCAAAGTAGTATCATTTCAAGATGTAATCAACATAAAAATTATTGATGAAATATTTGACACTTTTTTTCATACTAGGTGTCTAGAAATCTAGTGTGTATTTCACACTCCCGGCACATCGAAGGCCCCGTGTGGTTAACGGCTGTTGCATCCCACCCAGCATGTCTTGGCCCCACGGGCTACAAAGTCAGACAGCCTAGATCTGGGTCCTGGCCCTGACACTTCCTAGCTGCGTGACCCAGAGGCAGTTATTAATACTCACCAAGCATCAGTTTCTTTATTGGTAAGATGGGAAAAACAATCACATCTACTCCACAGAGTTGCGGGGGTTCCATGCCATAACGCACTGGGGTCGGCACACAATAAGCCCTTATAATGGTCAGCACTGTGACAATTACTAGAATTATCATTTAGTGAGTGTTTCCTGTAGGCCAGGAGCTTTACCTATATTGGGTCGGTTAATCCTCACAAAAATCCTTTGAAGTACATACTGTTCTTTCTAGTCTTTAGGTGAAGAAAAGGAAACTCAAGAGGTGAGCTGCCCAAGAATGTGGATAGTAACTGCTTGGAGCTGGACCTGGAATCTGAGTTTACCTGACTTCTCGATCTTGTCCACATTTCTGGCAATTTAAAGAATGTGACGACTACAGATATTCTTAATTTTCAGCTGTTTAGAAATAAGACTTAATTGGGCACCTGGGTGGCTCAGTTGGTTAAGCGACTGCCTTCGGTTCAGGTCATGATCCTGGAGTCCCAGGATCGAGTCCCGCATTGGGCTCCCTGCTCCGCAGGGAGTCTGCTTCTCCCTCTGACCTTCCCCCCTCTCATGTGCTCTCTCTCTCTCACTCTCTCAAATAAATGAATAAATAAAATCTTTAAAAAAAAAAAAAAGAAGTAAGACTTAATAAAAAATTAAGAAGGGCACCCTAGCTATTGGTAAAATTTCAATAAAATCTTTTATTTCTGTAATATTTATAGGTATCCAAGTGCTTTAACATATTTTACCTCACTTGTTTAACTAGGGAAAAGGGAGATATTACAATTTCAAGGATGAGGAAATGGAAGTTATGAGAAGTGACGGGTTCAAACTTATATTGGAATCCAGATCTCTAACTAAAGGCGAGAGTATGCTCATTCTGTAATACCTAGAAAATCTGAAGGGTGACTGGTAAAGACTTTTTCATTTAAAATTCATTGTTATTTGCATTTTATAATTAGATTTGAATTTTTCCAGAGCTGTCAATTTGGTATCTTGAGACGTGCACAAATGAGCTACTAGTTAATCTTGCCAGAGGTTCAAGATACTTGAAGTTTAATATTTTTGTAAACCTCAAGATTTGTTCAAAAGCTCACCTGCTTTCTAAAGCTCCAACAACTAAAGCAATCAAGTAGCAGGGGATGGGCACCTAAAGGGGCAAAAAAAACAACAAAACACACACATGCTCAAATTAGTACTTAGAAATGTTACAGAGTAAGATAATTCATATTTAAAAGTAAGTAAATTCCTTTTCAAATCTCACTGTTCTCATTTTTAGGGGGTCAAATAGTTCAAAATTGTGATGTAAAACATTTCAAAACATGTATTTCTCTTTTATTTTACTAGGAAAGACAGCGTCTGAAATGTGAAAGACATGACTGCACATAATATTACCGGGTCCATTTCAAGCATTTCTCAAAAATTAACCCATAAGAAGGAACTGTGCTTTTTTCTTAAGCTTTTTGGTTTTTTCCTTGACGTAAAACAATTTTTTACTTCCTTTTTTTAAAAACACTCCTGGTATATTTGAAAGACGTATAAAATAATCCAGCAATAAGAGGATGCTGAAGGTTCGGGAGCTTGGAATCCCAGATGCTGGGGTGGGAGCAAAATTGTCCACTGTGGTTCAATTACATGTTCTCTTTAGAAGGTCAATTAAAAAAAAAAAATGCATAAACACATTTAATTCATTAAAGGTCAAAGATACAAGTCAAATTACCAGCTACATAGGAATTTTAACCGTAAGGACTGTAACAGAGTTGGAGTTTTTTTGGGGGGGGGGGTCTAATATAGCTCTTCCATTTGTAAACACTAAATAACCACAGGCCTGCACTGTGGTAGGAGGGTGGACAAAAGTGTAACTTAAAACAACAGAAAACCTGCTGCTAACTGAGATGAGGGAGAATGGGATCAGGCCACACTCCCTACTTTGCTTATCCAGCAACCCCTTTCTTTAGTCCAGCTCTGTAAATAGAGCCCAACATTTTACAAGCACAAAAGAAATGAAGAACACAAAAGACAGAAGCTGCTTTTGAAATTCTGAAGTATTTCAAAAGCAATTTTACTCTCTGGATGGATAAAAGCTATTTACAGTTCACTAGCAATTAGAACAAAAAAGGAGGCCCTCAGATCTTACTTTTTGGCTGAATTTATATATTTTCCTGCTCGGGTCTTCTGGGTCAGGTGCTTCTCCATCACGAATGGCACTCATAAGTGCCACCAATTCTTTAGGAACAGATACCTAATCAAGAAGAGAAGTCATTTCCAGTTCTAAAGAAAACAGTCTATGTATCTTAAACTGCATGTGTAATAGACAATGAGCCCAGTAAGTTTGGACATATCAGGTTTATAAATAAAATTAGTGATATATAAAACTGGCTTCTTTAAAAATGAATGTGAGGTATCTATCTATCCTTCATCCATCCATGTTAAGAGCATTTGGTAGAAACTAGATTAGAATTCCAGCTCTGCTACTTACTAACGGCATGGACTTGGGAAAATAATCTCCCTAAGCCTCAGTTTCCCCATCAAACAAGAGTAATTCCTCATAGGACTGCTGCAAAGAATAAGTAGGGAAGAAAAGCCCAGCAACCTTCCTGGCAGGGCTAGTCACCCCTGTCCTCCTCCACACCCTCAGAACAGATTCACAAGGTATACTCACTTTAGGACAGAGAATACAGTTTTGAACAGTTTTATATTTAAACCATACACTTGGAGTTACAAATCAAAGAGCTTTTTAAGGGTCATGATTGTGAGAAACTAAGAGTTATTGCCCAAAACTGTAAAATATTTTCTCTGGGAATTTGTATGGAAAAGATGCTGATGGAGCAAACCTTATGGTCATTTAAAAAAAAATTTTTTTTAAGATTTCATTTATTTATTTGAGAGAGAAAGCAAGAGAGAGAGAGAGAGCACAGTGGAAGGAAGGGCAGAGGGAGAGGGAGAAGCAGGCTCCCCGCTGAGCAGGGAGCCCCCTTATGGTCACTTGAATGTGCACCCAAGCTCCATGATTCTGAGTTTTATTTCTAATGAATGCTAGAATCAAGGACTATCCCTTCAATATTAATGATCTAGCAAACATACATCCCGTGAAGTTCTAGATTTTCATATTCTTCTTGCCTGGCCCAGTATTTAAAGCTATTTCTGAGGCAGACACAGAATCAGAACCTCCAAAACCAATGCTACAACAACCGTAAGTCTAGAGCTAAAAAGCACTTGGGAAATAATTGAGTTCTGCTTCTTCCCTTTATTTAGGTGGCGATGTGTTATACAGATGAGACAACTCAGGGTTTTGAGGCCATAAGACTTGCCCCAGGTCATGCAGTTAGTAAGTGGTAGAGAAGAGTCCAAAACCTGGGATTCTTCGTCTCCAAGTATATGGTTTTCCACAGCACTATACATCCTAGGTGTGGTTCAGTTGTGGGATGATCTCAGAACCAAGAAGCCCCCATAAAGACAGGTTAGTCCTCAATTCTATTTGCTTGGTCTGAGTAGGTCTGGCCTGGGACCTAGTATGTACATATGTAGGTATGTACGTCTTCAGTATTACTTAGTTAGTTAGTACTTATTTATTATTTTTTGTAAAAGGATTAGCAGTACCTACAACAGGAATCGGGTGGACATGTAGTCAGATAAGTCTGCAATCTATGCCTCTTAGGGGACCTAGAAAGAGGTTCACGTGGCTATAGAGGGCATTTCTAGAACCTTTAATCCTGCAAATGGTAATTTTTTTAAGTTAAAAGATGTTTTCCCCAAATTCTTGTTTTGAGGTCCGCTATTCTGAATTCCTTTTAAAATCAGAATAGTACCCATTTCCTTTTATTACACTTATGTTCAAAACTGCCTTTAAAAGAGAGATGCACTGCCAGGATCCTGGGATCCAGCTGTGCATTGGGCTCCCTGCTCAACGGGGAGCCTGCTTCTCCCTCTCCCTCGGCCTGTCGTTCCCCCGCTTGTGCTCTCTGTCAAAAGAATAAATAAAATCTTAAATAATAAATAAATAAATAAATAAATAAATAAATAAATAAATAAATAAAAGAGATGCAGGGGCGCCTGGCTGGCTCAATCGCTGGAGCATGTGACTCTTTTTTTTTTTTTTTTTTTTAAGATTTTATTTATTTGACAGAGAGAAAGACAGCCAAAGAGGGAACACAAGCAGGGGGAGTGGGAGAGGGAGAAGCAGTTTCCCATGGAGCAGGGAGCCCAATGCGGGGCTCGATCCCAGGACCCCGGGATCATGACCTGAGCCGAAGGCAGACGCTTATTGACTGAGCCACCCAGGCGCCCCTGGAGCATGTGACTCTTGATCTCAGGGCTGTAAGTTCAAGCCCCACGGTGGGTGTAGAGATTACTTAAAAATAAAATTTTTAGAAAAGAGACACAAAATGAGGTCCACATCTTCTTTGTTACATATCTCATATAGAAGTTAATTAAGTAAAATATTACTAACTATAAAAATCCAGTTATTAACTCTGCTTATCATTTATACCACATTTACTTAAATGAGTCATTTAATTCAGTTAATAATTTGTGATACTTACCTCTGCGCTGTACGTTAATTTCACAGAAGGAGTGTCCTGGCAAGGAAGAACTGCTCTGCAGTGGATGGCCTGGGAGGGGGGAGGGAAAAAGAAAAAGCTATTCCCCTTTCTTATAAATCAAGTCATTCAGAAATTATTAAAATTGCAGCACTGCCCTTTGACACATTCTTTTTAAAAATACGTCTCCCATTTTTTTCAGATCGCGGATAGAAAAGTCTGATTTCCCATTTTAATGTATGGTCAATCCTCACGTTTCAGTTGAAGCATGAAGCAATATTAAGCATCGTCTCCTACTCTCTGCTCAGAGTAACAGCAGTACTCAGTGATGCTGGTAGGGATCCTGAGCAAAAAGGCTCTTTAGTGAAATAAAATTGAGAACCATGCATACTACATCCCTGTCTTAAAGAGCCATTTGGAACATTAGCCTCCTGGAGACTCTGAAAAGGCCTACAATAAAGAAACCTGTTTGAATTCTTACACTTGTTTTAACAGGAAACTATCTTGCTCTGGTTAATTATTAACATCTAATGGGAAGCCCATTAGATGTTCTGAGGAAAACAGTTTGGGGAGTGTTGCTAGACGCTTGACATTCCAATCTTGCAGCAAACTTTCAAAGTAAAAAGTAAGAAGAAAAGGAAGGAGAAAGAACGGTTTTTCTCAATACCATCTAGACTTGTATTTAAATTTGAGTCTAAGGTAGTATCCATTACTTAGGAATATTGAGAGGATTAAATATGCAAAGTATCTAATATAATGTTGGAAAATACAGTTAGTGTTTAATGAAATGAGTTCCTTTAGTTGTAAATTATTTAATTACTAACGGAATTAGTTTTTTTCCCTTTCAGAAGATAGTTTGATATGTATTACCCTTGTGACAGACTGTCTCTACTGATAGGATTCTTTATTCTTAGTTTTTAAACAGAAAACAGAAATAGTTTAAATTGTATCATTTTAAAGGTCATTTAATATGTTTACATAACATATACATTTGTAAAAGCATAAGGAAAATTTGGAATGGTTGCACACCTAACTCAGTGGTGGTTACTTCTGGGCAATGGTACCTGGAGAAGACTGAAAAATCTGATTTTTCACTTTCCACTTCTTTACTGTTTTTTTTTTAAGATTTTGCTTATCTATTTGAGAGAGAGAGAGTGGGGCGGGGAGGGTCAGAGGGAGAAGCAGGAAGGCAGTCACTTAACCAACTGAGCCACCCAGGCGCCCTCCACTTCTTTACTGTTAACACTTTTCATAACCAGTACCTATTACTTTTGTCTTATTAATTTTTCCTTTCTGTTTCATAACCATTTCTTGAGTGTCCACTCAAGAATGCCAAGTTCTATGCTAGGATTATAAATATAAATATGACCTAGACAGTCCACTTTAAGTGGACATGATTTCAAATTGAAGGGAGTTTCTTTTTAAAAGTGATATATGAATATGTTAATAATGAGATAGCAATGAAAATATATATCATTTTTATAACATAAATTAAAATACTATCTTAGGTAAGACCTGAGTATCCATAAGACCACTGTCCACTTTGCTTCAGTAAACTGAATGTGCTGGGAATTTTTTGTATAATAAATCATTCCAGAACTTTTTGTACCTGGCACTGACTAAAGAGATATGGGTGTTCCTTCCCAGAAGTCTGTTCAGGAGTGAGCCACTGAAGAGCCGAAGATTTTGGAGATGTCTCAAAAGAAATTTCTATAACGACTTCTTGATTTCTGTATGCAACAAACAAATATATTAGTAGAGTATAATTTAATCTAACTAAAGTTTGAATTCATAATGCACAGACTAAATAATACAAATGATATTTTATAAGGTCTTGTTACTGATGGAGAGTAAGATCTAGGAATGCTGCATCCCCAGTTCTTACCTGAATGCCTGCCTCTGGATCCCTTCCACCCTACCACGACAAGTGCTTAGGAAGACATAATAGGGACTAATATTCATTCAATACACCACTGTGTGTCACGCACTTTGCACCTGTGGTATCATGCAATCTTTCATGACAGTGGGAAAGCGGAAGAAATAATTTTGGAAGTTTGACTACCACACAGCGGTGGGTGCCAGAGGATGACACCGAGCCGTGCTGGTCTGCAAACAGTTACTGGACAAGTCAAGAAATGGAGAGTAAGCCTTTAGAAACTTGTAGAGTCACTTTTACGTCCATTGAATCTAGGGATCAAAAACGTGTGCTTGCTTTTAATCTCTTCTTCCTAGTAATTCATTTTTATTGCATTTTATAAAAGAATCAGTCTGTGACAGACTGGAAATAACCAGAACTGGTCCTTTGCCCCAGATAGTTTGAGCAGTACTGATAATGAGGAAATAGCAAGAACTCTGGAGACCAGCCTCGCGCCGGTGTGTGAGTCCTGCCTCTGCCACCTACTGGTGGTGCTGTGAACTGGGGCAGATTACTTGACTGCTCTGGGCCATCGTTCTCGATCTGTAGAATAGGGTCAATGATATCTACCTCACAAGTTACGTGCGGGTGTTTCCCTTCTTTTTCTTTTTTTAAGATTTTATTTATTTTATTGGAGATAGAGAGCACAAGAGAGAGTGAGCATGAGCAGGGGTAAGGGCAGACGGAGAGGGAGAAGCAGGCTCCCCACTGAGCAGGGAGCCCCACGTGGGGCTCAATCCCAGGACACTGGGATCATGATCTGAGCTGAAGGCAGTCGCCTAACAGACTGAGCCACCCAGGTGCCCTGCCCTTCTCTTTCTTAAACAGCCAAGAGAAGGCATGAAAACATTGGCCATTGAAAGGTGGGGTCAATCACCCTTGTTTTAGGCCAATGGTTTTCCACCCTTTTTCCCCTTCCCAATTTATCAAGGAGTGGGATATACTCCCAGGTCATCCTGAAATGCCTCCTTAAGATGGCATGCACCCATCATCACTCTAGACCACTCCCATGATCAGTAAAGAAGTAACAGTTATCAAAAGTTCTATTCTTGAGTATTTTATACAATGAATTTCTTTAGAGTCTTAAGAACATATAATTTTCACTATAAGCTTTAATCTGAACAGCAGACCAGTAAGAACACCAATTACTACATACACACAAACTAGAAATAGGAAAGGAAAATTGTCTAAATTAAAAACATTTTTCTCCATTATTTAGCTATATAAAAGATAAGGATAACATTCATACTTGCTCAGAGCAATAGGAAGAGAGATTTCCATTGGTGATCCTTTGTAACTTTGTTTTTCTCCAAGAGTATATTTGACTTCTTGTCCATTGATGACCACTTTTTCTATCGTGAGGTCCTTTGTATCCAAAGTCTAGAATTAAGTAAGTATTTTTAAATGATAAGAAAATTGTTTAATATACACCAGAGAACATGAATATTAGACATAGGTTAACTATAATGATTACAGTATAGAACTAGATGCTCATAGAGAGTAAAATAGAGTGAAATTACAGGAATTAAAGGAGTCAAAAGTTAGTGTAGGTCCTGTCTCTTGGGACTCTAAGCTCCCTGAAAGATTTTTCATTCTAAAGTTTGCATATACATATTGCTAGGTAATTCTGGGATAGTCACACAAATTTACGGTTTTAAGTGTAAGTCAAATCTAAGTTAAAATGCCTTTGCCCCTGTCTCCTAAAACTTAACTTCTCTGCCACAAAAAAAAAAAAAAAATCATCTATAGCTTAAGCTTCACCATGACTCCTTACCATATATTTCTTCCTGGAATTCATATAGTCCAGCTCCTATGTACTTTCATATATCCGGAATTTAAAACAAACCTTGGCACTTGTTAGGCAAATAAGCGGGCTGCACATCGCCGTTATGTATATCGAAAGAGCCCAACCTGGTGTGGCAAGTCTGACCGAATGATCTACACAAGACCGAGAGAGCGTATCTACTTGCCGTGGCCCATTTTGGACAACTGCTTTGGGCAGGAAAGGAGAGGCAACAAGCCTCTGAGTGTTCTCCATCCCCCTAATCCTCTGGGCCCTAGAGACCATACCTTTCACTATCTCTCAACTAATCTCTTGTTCTAGAATCGTCCACCTTCCTATGCCACAAGACTGTTTCTGAACAACCTAAACAAGTCTCCCATGTTATGTTTAAAACTTCTCCTGATCCTTCTGCCCTGATAACTATTCATTTGTCTCCTCCCTTTCTTAGGCTCCATGGGCAACCTGTGGCTGCTATTTCCACTTCTTCATCAATCTCTCCTCCTTCCCTCTCTTCAGTCTGGCTTGCAACTCCTCTGCTACTGAAAGGGGATGCCTCCTGATCAAGAGGTCTTTCTGTTCAGTAATCTGGACCTCTGTCCGCTCATAACCCTTATAGGCCACATCATCTGTTTGAAGTCCTTTCCTTGGCTTCTTTGACTTTACACATAAATGGTTTTCTTACTCGTCTAATGCTGTTTCTTCCCCTCCTTTCTAGCTCCTAAAAATGAATTTGTCCCAATGTTCTAGCCTCGATCCCTTGATTTTTTTGAAAAAGATTTTATTTATTTATTTGAGAGATAGCATGAGCAGTGGGAGGGGCAGGGAGAAGCAGGGAGCGCCCTACATGGGGCTGGATCCCAGGACCCTGGGATCTTGACTTGAGCTAAAGGCAGCTGTTTAACCAACTGAGCCATCCAAGCATCCCTGGATCCCTTGATTTTCTTGCCATATCGGACACACTCCCTAATTCTCGCTCATCCCACGTCACCAACCAATTCCTCTGTGCTGATGACTACTATTTCTACAGTCGGTCGGTATCCCTTCCCCCAGGACTGCCGCTGGATCTCTTAGTTGCCTGCTTGACATTTCCAAGGGAAATATGGCCTCATATTCAATGGGCTTCTAAAAATTCTAAAAATGAAGCCACCCTTATGTCCCCTAATCCATTCTCTCCCTTGATTTCTCTCTTCCGTTAACAGAATCCACAAGGTACCTAAGATTTGGGACATTCAAATAATCCACAATTGATCCCACTGCCCAAGCCCCCATAGCCAATTAACACGTTTTTCTTTCACACTGTCCTCATACTTTTTTCTCTTTCCTTCTACCACCACTCTGGGTCAGACCCTGCCTTAGAACTGCCTGCGATCTGATCTCCCTACCTCTGGCATCTTTCTACTGAAATCTGGCCGGCAATAGCATGCAGAGTTAGAAGGCCAGTTACCTCTCTTTCAGGCTAGTTCATTGCATGATAAGCTCAGGAAAAGTCACAAGGGCAATCATTAATTTGATTTCTACCTCTCTGGAGTCAACAATATTTAGGTGGAAAGAAATCTCCATTCTGGTTTGTTTTTTTTTTGTTTTTTTTTTTTAAAGCGGCTGAATTTGTTAGGGGTGTCATCTGTTTTCCTCCGAATAGGTAATTATTCCTTTTGGGTTACTTTCTTTCAGGGGTACCTCAACAATTGCTACTCTGTATTAGTAGAACTGACTTATCTTCTTGCACTTGCATATTCAGAATATTTGGTTTTATTAGGTTTATATCTTATTAAGAATAGGGTTACTCCTTTGTCCCTTCATATTCCAGTACCTATTTCTGGCTATCTGACTTATTTTAAAAACTTGATTAGAATATCTATGTCTATAACTACTCGTGTTTATACTGCTTTTACAACCGTAAGGATGAATCAACTGGCTCATTTCCCAGAGGGACATATTTGATTATCTGTATTGCCTAAACTTCTCAAATCTAATCAGAATCAGAAGAGCCAGATTATTGTCAT